ATCCCGAAAAACATATCATTACGACGTTATTTCATTAGTAATAATGCTTACGTGCTAAAGCTATGGACGTTATATATTTATCAACAGGTTCAATGTCATACGAATGTCTTTTAAAACAATTAGGCAAGTTTTTAGATGACATTTTGGGTAGAGCGTAATAGAATGGTCTCAAGCACCGATAGGACATAACGACACTGCGTATACATTACAAGATCCTCCTTTGTGATAAAATCTTTACTGAGTTAATTAGTACCATCTCATTGAAGTAAGTTAAAAGAAGTGTTTAGGTCATTGAATGTGTGTCTATTAATCAAGTTGACATAATATAACTGTAATTACTTCAACGGTGAATAGACAGATATAATTGTCAGTATGTATTCTTGAAACTGTATCAAATAATAAATACGTGTGCATTGAAACCTGTAACTTGTAACACATTGCCGAACAAAAATTTCCCCTCAAACGGTAAAAACTCTTTACAAAATCGTATCGTTGACATTGTGTATTAGATTAAACATCCATCAAAAAGATTTACGATTTGCACAAACCGTCTGAATCTTTACTTATCTCAATCACTTAAAGCAACCTTGTCAGTCCTTCAATAATTATTGATTCTTGGTTGGGGTTCACCTGCAACTTCTATGACTATTCTAACAAGCGCTTCCGATTTGACAGCTTTGACTTTTGCTTTTATTGTTTTAGTCGGTGCTAGTCGGTGCTGGGGGAGGGGGGAGGCGTGACAGATGTTGCACTTTTACATTACCTCTCATGAACAGACTCAATCATTGGTTGTTTTCAATGGTTCCGAGGGATCTCCCCTTAACCGACTTTTTTTTTAATCAACTTCATTTTGATTACTATTATCTTGTTGAGGTCAGAGCAACATGATGATGACAGAAAAGGCTCGTTGAGATCTCTAATGAAGAGACTTGATAAAACTTACTTTGTAGTTTCTATATTTTGGACTCTTGAATGTATATTCATAGTTTCTGATAATAATTATGTTAAACTATTTTTCGTTCGGAATAAAGGTGTGTAGGATATCGGAATAATACCCGGTAGTTGGTCATTTTAATAGCAATGCAATGCAATCAACACTGTAACAAATTAATACCCTTGAATTGTGACATTTTTGCAAGAAAACGCAAACATCCACAGAACAAAATATCTACTTAATCGTTGTGTTTTTTTAATTATAATTAAAAATAAAACAACCTTCAAAAAGATTTACTTGATCGGACCAGAGCGGCCTTTTTTTATTTTGTACAATCTTATCGATTCTACAATTTTTGTCGAGTCACTGTAAGTTTGTAAATTATGTGTTATTCAAGTGCTGAAGAATGAATACTGCCGATGCTAGGGATTGAGAGAGATGATAAGATGATTCATTTGTTTTGTTTTTCTTCCATGAATATACTTTTCCCAGATACAGAATTATATAATTTTTGTACAAAGCAGCTTTTGAACATATATTGTGTACTTTTTTTTTTTTTGGGGGGGGGGGGGGCGGGGGTGTTGTGTTTGTCTTGAATGCCAGCGCCCAAAACTATTCTGCCGTCAAAACTGCTGTTTGCTTGATCGATCATATATGTTAATAGTATGTTAATAGTAGATTTTATAGCATATTATTTTTATGTTATATTAGTTGAAAAGTAAGTTGTTTTTTTCTTTATTTTTAGATACGATGTTTAAAATTGCTCTCCTCTTCATTTGAAATAACTGTGTTTCTTGTGAATTAGAATTTTGCAAATTATACTTCTTTTACATATGATATGTATAACTTTATAGGTATGACTCATTATCGAAATAAGATCTTGTTAGATGATATGCAACCAGTCTTTTAATTTCATGTTAACAAGCTTTGTATGTATTTGTAAGGGTATCTTGTTGGGATATGGTGCTAATTATTTTCATATATACGCTAAGTAAATTCGGATGGTAGTTTGAAAAATAAATGAAAAGAACGTCCGGTGGTCCATCTATGGAAAAGCGATATGTCATCTAAAAGTCTGTCGCGAGGTAAAATGCTAAACCAATGTATCAAATCATCTATATAGCTTTTATTTACACCTCTTGTCCCCGCATTCCTCGCGCAAAAAAAACTCATCCATCTAGGCTTAATTAGCATGAAACGGATATTGTTTAAAGAAGATCTCTATATTAATCTGAAATATTTTATATATCTGTCTAAACAGATTAACTACATAGTTGTTTTTATCCATTTGGAAAAAAAAACTAAGTAGAAAATGTTTATCAACATGCCATCTGTACGTCTGCTACTCTATACGTGAGAATCAAAGGTTGAAAACTAATTAACATTAACCGACCTGTTTAAAACAATATAGTATAACACCTTGGTCATTTAATTATCCCTTTGATCCATAAAATTAAAAAATAATTAATAAGATCAAAGTACAGATCTTGGCCGCATAACATTTAACCTTATTCATGGTATCAGACGCGCATGGATACCTTTTCTTTTTAATTAGTTTTTTAGTGAGATATTAAGTTAAAAGGATAGACTGAGAAGCGTTTATAACGCTTATCTAATATTGTTCAGATCATTTTTATCAATGCGATCGGTTGAAATACTTTAGACAGAGTCAATTTGTCCTTACAAATATTTTTATTGCTAACCCTAATCGATTATTTTGTAACATTATAGCATTTAATCTATTTTAACCCGTTTAGAATTCGTCAAAAGTCGGGATACTTCGTACATAACAATGGCGTTATAACTCGCCCTTTAACTCGCTTTGTCACTGAAGATGGCGAAATGTGCCGAAGTTTTACGAGTTATGGTACACTGTAGCATGTCTGTACATTGTATCTTGCAGTCGTTGATGAATAATTGTCGTTAATATAATAGGTTGTTCTGTTTCAGTCTTAATTGAGGATTCTCCGTGATCACGTCATTTATTGGTGCTAACATTATGGTTGATTGATTAACGCCATAGGTTCGAATCCGGTATGTTCGTTGTATGAAAGTAACGAAATCCACTCCCGGAATGGCATTGGTTATATCAGGAACACATATATACCATACGAAAAAGAAGTTTTTCGTCACAGAGCGGTGCTCATTATTATACTAACACATTCTTTAATTTATTTCAAAATCGCAACATAAAAACGCGTAATTAATATTTTTGTCATACAAATCATTGATTCCTTGTAACAGTTTACGTATATAATGAAATGATGTTTAATTAAAAGAAACGCCCAAGAGTTGTTAGATACGTTACAAGTCAAAATGAGATGTCACTCTCATATATTTCAGTATATCAATGTATCAGTCAGTGATATCGCCTATTTTCGACAACTCTAGTAATTCTAGTATGTTTACTAAATGCTACACACATTTTATATAAATAATCCGTTTCAGTTGCAAATATCACACATACATTTGTATATCAATAAAGATATTATCCGTAACTCGACAAACGTGGATTGTTGTTTTTCACCACAAAAGAAAACCGAATTAAGTGATGGAGTCATTATCGCATCACATTAACTCTGTTAGTTATGATATATCTATTTTGTAAAAAAAAGGCTAATAATTTAGTACGTTAGCTCATTGAAAATTGGCATATACTTATAATTTTATACTTGATGATACTTATATCATAGTTTGGGGACCTTTCTGTTGAAAATTTGTCTGAGTTAAATCGTATACATATATGCACAGTGCGTTAACTGGAGTGCAGGTATTAGTTACCCGCACTCCAGAGCATGCCCATTGATTGGCTCATTTTTGCTGGGGTTTACTAATTGTGACGGAAGAGAAAGAGAAAGCGACAAAAATATCGTATTCAGATGCTCGTTCATTGGTTACTTTTTCCCGGGTTTCATATTGTGACAACAAGGAACGTGTTTGACTATGATACAAAAGAGAAAGAACATCAAAACACTCGGCAATCTGATTAATACTCGGGGCCTACGCCCCCTCGTACGATGCTCTTTCTATTACTAATATAATGTTACATATGTATTGCGCAATCATTTTTATTCCGAACTAGCCTATTGAATCATCAATACAGATGTGTCAACATTTGTAATATACACATACTATTATTATTATTATAGATGTTGAAATGTGTTTTTTTCTATTTCATTTAACCATTCATTCATTAAAATGTATTTATTTTTAGTTTTATTGATATATAGAGGACATTCAAGTTGTTATTTTTTTCTATAAATACAGTATTTATTTTCATCGAGTGGTATGAAAATAAATATTTCATGAGTGGCGTATTTTATTTCATCAATATTTCTCAATTTTTCATTTATATGTACATAATAAATAAATATATATGTTGAAGTTATTAATCTGAGATTGACAAATATACAGTTAATTTAGATTTAAAGGCGTTTGTATACATATACCTACTCCCCTTTGTGGAAGTGCCAAAGGCCAAACACTACATTGTATTTTTAAGAGGCTACATAAACTATCTTTTACGTCCCATAAGCAGATATAGTACAATAAAATACCGTAATTTAGTGCCTTATTTCATATTATGTAAGAAACAAGATGATTTCAACTGTGAAACCGTTTTCTGCAGGGAAAGAGTTTTATTTTTGGTATGGATCTAACATTATTACTTACTCCTATACTCCTAATGTGTCAACAAGGTACGGAATTAGACCCAAACCGTTGTAGTGTAAAATAAATGCTTACTGACTACTGAAGAAATTATTACGTTATTGTTATGCCACCATTGCCAACATTCCTATATGTATCGCAAACTTATAATTAACATGTGCAAGTTAACCAGTTTTACTTCGCCGAGTATCTTTTTTTAAGTGGTGAATAATAGAACTAAAATGTTCCTTGATTTAGATAGTGCTGATACTTAAAGATGAAGGAAGTATATACTTCTTCAATTACAGTGAAATCCAGAAGTAAGCTTCAAATTTGACTGATTTACTAATGAACAAAAGTACGAACTTTGACAAGGCCGAGACAATCATCGTGAAAATGTACGGTATATAACGGGAAGACAGTTTTTAACATAACCGGAAACAAGTAAATTTCAAAATGGCGGGAGATACAACTCCGATCGTAAATAATTGGATTCTTGATTACTACACATATTCTGCATGGCGCGAATTTAAAGCAGAAAACACAATTTCAGCAAGTACTCTAGACTCTATTGCAGGTATGAATTTAATTTCAATTTATGTAGCTTTCAGTTTTTTCGCCTGATGCTAGTGATGCAGTTTCGGATTGCAGAATTTTGTCTAAAATTATATTTTCTTATAAATATAATTTCATTACTATTTCCTTTTTCATCCGAGGCATTATTGTGAAAATAAATGTCCCGTTAGAAAATTTCAATGTAAGTGTAATAGGATGACTTTTAATATGAAAAAGGTAAAGCCTCAAAGCGAGCTCGATCTTTTACCGTAAGAAAGTTTAAAATAATCGTTCATTTTTATTTTACATTTTCCGTTTTTAAAATTGTCATTCGGTATTTCATACACTGCTTCCGTTTATTCTGGTTCCCTCTTTCTATTATGGTTCCTTTATAAGTGTGCAGGACACCAGTCTACGCTTCCGTTTTCAATCAGAGTACATCGGCTTTTATCGTTATCTTGTAATCTGAAAAGTTGCGATGTGTCCAATTAGGTTCTTCGGACGAAAATTTTCAAAACCATCACTTAGCAGGTACCGTAAAGCTCGCTTTGCGAGCAGGCCCTTTTGCCAAGTTTTGGCCAGCTCGTCGAGCTCGCTATTAACTTACTTTTCTACAAAATTATCACTTTGAAAGTTGCTAGCCGTACGGGCCCGTACGACTAGCCAGGACTCACTGTATTGTCTAGCCGTACGGCACTTTTTAAAAATACCTATATGGAAGTCAAACATGCATATGTTATTTTGTGCCTCATGATTATGATTTGTTGTTTTATTGGAATGAAAGATGAATTTTTGTGAATTAAGCACATGGATTGAATAAATAATGATCAGAGTCACGGATTTATATTTTATTGTAATATAAATCCGTGTCGGAGTGGAATAAATAAAAAGAGTATTGAAAAAAAAAACGGTGAAAGGCAAAAATAATTTATGATTTTCAAATAACCTAACATACAATTTATAGTCAAATAATTTTCAAATACAGTAGATAAATATCGAACATAAAAGAACAATCAATTGATTAGTCCAGACAGGTATGTATATTAACATATACGTATAAACTTCTAAACAAACTTCTGTACTGTCGATAATTGACGCAATTATAAGAGCCCAACAACAATAATTTTCGTTTGTTTGTTTTGTTTTATTTTAAAGGTGTCGAAAATTAAACTTAATGAAACAAAAAAGGGTTATCATCAAAATTTTGCAAACTATTTCAATTGATGTTATTAACCTGTCAAAGATCCATATTCGTACTTTTTAGCTCGACTTTTCTATGAAAAGGGGAGCTATCCTACTCGCCCCGGCGTCGGCGTTGGCGTCACACCTTGGTTAAGTTTTTCGTACCACCCCACTTTATTTCAGAAGTATTACAAGTATGGCTTTGAAACTTACCATACTTGTTCACCATCATAACCTCCATCTACAGACAAGAGTACATAACTCTGTCAAGGTTTTTGACAGAATTATGGCCCTTTTTTGACTTAGAAAGTGTATTGAGCTTGGTTAAGTTTTTTGTACCACCTCACTTTATTTCAAAACCATTGGAGGTATTGCTTTGAAACTGACCATACTTGTTTACCATCACGACCTTCATCAACAGACAAGAGGACATAACTCTGTCAAGGTTTTTGACAGAATTATGCCCCTTTTTGACTTAGAAAATACATTGAATATGGGTAAAATCCACTTATTGCCTTAACCTTTGAGATATTGCTTTGAAACTTTTAATGCTATTTCACATCATTACCCCCATCTGTACGCAAGAGAAGGTAACTCTGTCAAGGATTTGTTTTAAAAATTAAGGCCTTTTATCGACTTAGAATCTTGGTTAAGTTTTTAGTACCAGTCCACTTTTTGACTGAACTGTTTGAGATATTAATTTGAAAGTTGGAATACTTGTTTACAATCATGATTCCCAAACATGTCCAGGAGAAGGTAATTCTGTCAAAGATTTTATTTGAATTATGGCCCTTAACTGTCAATGTTTTGTATTATAGGCAAGCACTAAAAACTTAAAAAAATCTAAAAAAATTCATTCCTATGTCATTTACCAAGGTGTTCTGAGTGACGTAAAAATACCTTATTCTCTCAAAGTGGGTTTAATACTATTAAATTTATTTAAGGCTCAACTCAGTTTTTTTTTCTTTCTTACCAGCCCTCTTTTGACTTAAACATTTCAAACTTTGCTGCAGTGTTCAAGGGTATCACACAATTCAGTAAAATAATTCTTCACTAAATATCTTAATGCTCATGGCCATTGTTCACTTTAAAAATACAGAGATTCTTGTATTGCCTTTTACTGCAAAAACTTTTTTTATTGGCAAGCAATAAAAAAGTCGAGCGCGCTGTCTTACGGACAGCTCTTGTTTTACTGTAGCCAACAAGGCGATAAATTTCTTAAAAGTAAACATACATGTACGAAGACAATTGCTGTTTCTACGTTAAAATCCTCGTTTAAAGTTATAAAATAACATATGCATTTACGATACCCTACGGGCCATTACGGCTAGCCAATACAGTGTGTCCTTGCTAGTCGTTCGTGACTCACGTACGGCTAGAACTTTTGGCTAGCCGTAATGGCCCGTAGGGCTAGCCACTTCCTATCACTTTATATTCACAGACACTTGGGTTGTGGAGCTTAAAACGTCTTTAAAATCCAAATAAAATATATATTTGTCAATCCCAGCACATGTACTGATCATATATATCAAAAAAACTAAATATAAGCCGTTTTAAAAAAATTCATATTTCAACGTCTACAATAATATACAAAATATAAAAATGTTCGCCGCAAAAAATCCGCACATCTACCGTCAATATCACCATGTATTTTATTCCATTTCCAATATTTTCACATAATTCTTTGGTCCAACGACACAGAAGATATAATTCTTCTTGATGATGGTCAATTTTAACAACGGTAATATAAACAACGCAACAGCCGAAATAAGCATCAAGAGTATCGCCGTTTTACTTCTGCATTTACAAAATCTTTTGATAAATTCAAACGTGGCCTCAGCTTTGCCGTGTATAAATACGCTCCGCTTTAAAGTTTGGGAACCAACATATAATCGGATGGCTTCGTTCATAGCCGACTGGTTCCAATCTTCAAAGCGCAACGCATTTTGCACACGGCAAAGCTGCATATTTTTTATGAATTTCAAATATTTTGTTTCTAGAAAATGGGGAAAAAAATAAATGCTGCATTAGATGAAAAAAATGCAACTTAATAAAGTTTTGGAAGCCAGAACTACACTGAAACCTCCTCATTTTAAATTTAGACTTAGGGTTAGAATTACTCAGGTTAAAAACTTGCTAAAAGTAGGTTAATTTTTAAAAATTGAGATTTATTTTAACATTTTCGAAAGTGTGAAACAAAAGTTCAGAGCACAATGTTATAGGTGTGCATAATTATCCCCCGCCGAAAATTTTCGGCGGAGGATATAGAAATAGTCTCCGTCCGTCCGTCCTTCCGTCCGAAATTTTTGTCCGGAGCATATCTCTAAAAGTATTTGAGTTATCAACTTGAAACTTCATAGGTGGATAGACCTCATTGAGGAGGAGTGCAGTGCACAAGAATGATAACTCTACCTTGCATGATTTTTGAGTTATTGCCCTTTGTTATTTTTCAAAATTGATTTTTGTCCAGAGCATAACTCCAAAAGCCTATGAGATATTAACATGAAACTTCATAGGTGCATAGATCTCACTCAGGAGGTGTGCAGTGCACAAGAATGATAACTCTTCCTTTCATAATTTTTGAGTTATTGCCCTTTGTTATTTTTCATACCTAATTTTTCACCTGAGTGGAGCATAACTCAAAAAGTGTTTGAGATCAACATGAAATGTCATAGAAGGATAGATCTTATTGAGGAGGAATGTTGTGCGCAAGAATGATAACTCTTCCCTATACAATTTTTGAGTTATTGCCCTTTGTTGTTTTTTCATGCTATTTTGTCCAGAGCTTATCTCAAAAAGTATTTGAGGTATCAACTTGAAACTTCATAGGTGGATGGATCTCATTGAGGAGGAGTGCAGTGCTAAAGAATGATAACTCTGCTCTGCATTATTTTTGAGTTATTGCCCTTTGTTATTTTTCAAAATTAATTTTTGTCCAGAGCATAACTCAAAAGCCTTTGAGATATCAAAATGAAACTTCATAGGTGCATAGATCTCACTCAGGAGGTGTGCACTGCACAAGAATGATAACTGTACCTTTTATATTTTTTGAGTTATTGCCCTTTGTTATTTTTCATACTTAATTTTTCAATTCAATTTTTTTCTCAAAAACTATTTGAGGTATCAACTTGAAACTTCATAGGTGGATAGATTTTACTGAGGAGGGATGCAGCACACAAGAATGATAACCTACCCTGCATTATTTTTCAGTTATTGCCCTTTGTTATTTTCAGCCATCAGTATTCACATAGGTTTCAAATCTGTAATCACTATAGCCATCAGTTTTCATTACCAAAAGACCTCTTAAAATGGAATTATTCTGCTCTACTACATATACATTCTTCCAATGAGCAAACACATTCGGCGGGGGATGGCCATGTTGACATGGCTCTTGTTTATATCGACTTAATATAAAGTTTTACTTAAATTGTAACATTTTCAGCTTCAACCTTTTCAGTTTGGGCCCTGGTTGACTGTAATTCGTTCAGGCAGGGTTTTTATTGAAGTGAAAGTCATGGTTCAGCATAATAGTTATTATATATTTGGTGTTCCTGACACTTACTACTTAGTGACTTACTCAATAATAATTTTCAGGTACTAAATTGTACTTTGGACTGAAAATTTAGGGAGAACTTTTTCAGGAAAAATAGGAAGATGTTTTTAAATTTAGGGAGAAGTGATCATCAAATCTATCTATAACATTAAATTTTTTCCAATTTTATTTTACAAAAAAATAATTATAATGTGTAACATACATGTAACCTTTACATAAATTATGGAAGCTTAGTGATTAAGTCACATTAAACAGTTCAAGCCTCCAGATTCATGTTAATTTTCATTAAAATTTTGGAAATGTATTTAAAAGTAAAATATTGTAACTATAAGGTGAACAAATAAAGTATTTTATATATAGTCGGCACTTACAATCCAAGAAAATTAACAAAAAGTGGTCAACATATGCAAAAAAAAACTCTTACTGCGTTTAAGTAACGCAGTAGAAATATAGGGATAAAATACTGCAAAATCAGTCTTAACCCGCACATAACATGTAAAATATAACTTGGATCTTGAATGTTTTTATCTTTCTTAAAAGTTTAGTGCATTTTCTCAATATTGATTTTCTTGAACTATTTTGGCTTATCTGGAGGAGTGGGGCTTTAACACTCAATTTAATTCAACTGTCATAAGATCTTGGATGCTATATACATTTTTTTCTCAGTGTAAAACTATAGAAAACTATAGAATTATATTGATTAATTGAAAAGTAAATGAAACTGCATGTAACACATAGAACAGCTGACAAAACCTCATTAAAGTAATAGGTGACAGATGTTACATAAATAGATTTTAAGATTTCATGTCACATGTGAAAACATATCAAGAAAAAAAAGAAGAAATCAATATGTTGCATAAATAAATAGCAAAATGTCTTTAATTATGGACATTATTTTGATAAAATTAAACATTATTAAGTGAAAATGAATACATTGTAAATGTAATACATATATACATAAGATCTTGAATTTAATGTAAATTGTGGGAAACATATACAGTAAAAACTCTGAAAACCGGACCCTCTGAAAACCGGAATCCTCTGAAAACCGGACCATTTCAAAAGTCCCGTATTTTCTCCTTATAATTATGTTCATTGAAAAATTCCTCTGAATACCGGAACCTCTGAATTCCGAAAACCGGACGCTTTTCTGTGGCTTCTTATGCTAAACATGCATTAAAAATCCTCTGAAAAACGGACAGCAATTTTAAGTGTCAACTTTCTGTGTATTTTAAAGTATATTAAAACAGGTGACATGTTCAATTACAAGTTTTATCTATGCAGGTGTGAAAACACTTGTAAGTGTGTGTTAATTTCTTATTGGCAATTAAATCATAGCTCTTTCATTATAATTGTGCCTTTCCCTGTATAGGTATGATTTTTATACGCCCGTTTGAAAAACGGGACGTATTATGGGAACGCCCCTGGCGGGCGGGCGGGCGGCGTCCAATTTTGTCCGGAGCATATCTCCTACATGTATGGAGGGATTTTAATGAAACTTCATATAAATGTTCACCACTATGAGGAGCAGTGTCGCGCACATGAACCAGGTCTCTAGGTCAAAGGTCAAGGTCACACTTAGAGCTCATTGAAAAATGCTTGTCCGGAGCAAAAACTTCCACATGTATAGAGGGATTTCAATGTTACTTGGCACAAATGTTCACCATTGTGAGGCGGAGTGTCGCGTGCAAGATTCAGGTCCTTGCGGCCAAGGTCAAGGTCACACATAGAGGTCAAAGTTCAGATAAAAATATGAAGATGTGTATATGGACCATTTAGTCATCATTTATTGAGGGATTGTAACACAAATGGTCATTATCAAGACTATGGCTGTGATACATATAATTTAGGGTCAATATATACAAGGTCAAGGTCACTAAAGATGATGAAATATCCAGATTTTGTAAATAGAATTTAATCAAAGGGAGACAACAAAGTTATTACTTTGTTCATAAATGACTTACACAATTACTCCCCTTGATTCTATTTTCACTTTCAATTCTAAAAATAGCATTTAATCAAAGGGCATGAAATAATCCTCTTTCTTGGACTTGAATATGTTCTAAAGAATGTAACATTTATTTACACATGTTTCATTCATTGGTCAAGATTCTTAACTGTGATAACTATGGTGTTCTGTAGACTTGGTATTTGTTCATAAAGATCATACAGTAATTACCTTATCAAATGTAAATACTTTCTCATAGAAATTTAATTATATTTTAATTTTCAAGTAAATATCAGTTCAGCTCATTCAAAGATTAAGAATTGTAATTAAATGTATTTCCCTAGAATAAAATCTTAAATCAGAATTTTTTAGTTATTAAATTACATGTACTTTTTATACGCCCGTTTAAAAAAGATAAAAATATGAAGATGTGTATAGGGACAATTTAATCATCATTTATTGAGGGATTGTAACACAAATGGTCATTATAATGACTACGGCTGTGACACATGTACTTTAGGTCAATATATGCAAGGTCAAGGTCACTAAAGATGGTGAAATATCCAGATTTTGTCTGGAGCATATCTCCTACATGTATGGAAGAATTTTTATAATACTTTATGGAAATGTTCACCACCCATGATATGTATTGCTCCATGCATGATCCAGGTCTCAGGTCAAAGGTCAAGGTCACACTTAGAGCTCATTGAAAAACGCTTTTCCGGAGCAAAACTTCTACATTCATAGGGGGTTTTCAATATAACTTGGCACAAATGTTCACCATTGTGAGGCTGAGTGTCGTATGCAAAATTCAGATCCCTGCGACCAAAGTCAAGGTTACACATAGAGGTCAAAGTTCAGATAAAAATATGAAGATGGTTATAGGGACCTTTTAGTCATCATTTATTGATGGATTGTAGCACAAATGGTAACTATCATGACTACAGGTGTTACACATTTAATTTAGGTTAATATTTGCAAGGTCAAGGTCACTGGAGATGATTAAATATCCAGATGTTGTCCGGAGCATATTTTCTACATGCATGGAGGAATTTTAATGTTACTTTTATAGAATTGTTCACCACCATGAGACGTAGTGCCCTGCACATAAACCAAGTCTCTAGGTCAAAGGTGAAGGTCACAGAGCTCATAGAAAAACACTTGTCTGGAGCAAAACTTCTACATGCATAGAGGGATTTCAATATAATTTGGCACAAATGTTCATCATTGTGAGACTGAGTGCCGTGCATAAAATTCAGGTCCCTGCGACCAAGGTCAAGGTCACACATTCTGTGCATATCTTCCCTATTGATTTGTTTTAAGGTTCATTTAACAACACAGTGCCAAGAATAAAAACTTGCTTGCTAGATAACACTTATCCATAATGCCCCCATCTCCATCTAAAGCTTTTTCGTAAACGGGCGTATTTTGTGACTATGGCACCCTTGTTTTCTAAATGTTTTTAATTTGTTGTGTGTGTTTTTTTCTTCTTTAAATTTAAAATGTCTATAAGAATTAGAAACTTTTGTAAAATGATTCCGGTTTTGCTAAAAATTTTGATCTTTGTTTGGATATTTATTATATGCAAAAATAGTAATACTAAATACCATTAGTTACATATTTCAAAAGCCATCTAAAAAGATATATTTCAGACAATTTGTTGTTTAAATTTTTGATTTTCTGAATTATGCTCATGGATTTGCATAATAAAATTACTTAAGACATTTATTGCTAAAAGAAATTAAAATATGACTTAGAAAAAATGTTAAAAAGTAAATACAAAATGTTTTAACTAAGTCATAGTTCAAACACATCATAATTATCAATAAATTTATAAAACCTCTGAAAACCGGAATCCTCTGAAAACCGGACTTTTGGTCAGTTTTCAGAGTTTTTACTGTAATTGAATCTATTAAAGCAGTGGCTTTTCACCTTATTTTATTTACAGAGGCATATAAAAGACTTCTTCACGATGAATGTATGTTTTAAATCATGCAGTTTTTCCAAAATAATCTGAACTTACATGTTCATAAGATTTTTTTTGCATCCTAAATTAGCAATTTTAGCGATAATTTTGCCCAAAATCAATAGGCATAGGCCTCTTCCCAAATAAAAGAGAAAAAAACACTGCTTTAAGTCAACCCCTGGCCAGCTATAGTTTGTGTTATGAACATACTTTGCAGGTACTACTTGTCTTGAGATGCTTATTTTACAACAATTTAAGGTTTTAATTGCATTGATATCGGTCAAGATCTAAAGTACTTGCTTAGAATTTTGTAGCCTTTGTATTTTATTTATAAATTATAGTACAATTATTCACTAACATAGCATGGAAAATTATTTGAGTAGTTATATACAATTTGTACTGAGTTATGATTTATATTTTGTAGGAATTTTAGGTAAGACATGGCAAGGAGATGAACTTCGGAATGACAAGAAACTGTTTCTGACAATATTGTCACGTCTTAAAGATGGTTCTGATATAAATATGAGGTAAGCCAGTGTTTCTAGTTTTGTTTTGAGGGTGAAATAGGGTCACATTTTCCGTTCATGCTTTTCCTATGCTTGTACATTTGTAGGTGGCGCGATAACTCAGTTGGTTAGACCATTGACTCACTCCTGAGGTCCCTGATTCAATCCTGGGTAACATCCTTGAGATTTCTCAGAGACACTTTCAGTTTTTCCCACCTACCTATAGGTCTACTGGTAAGAAATCCAGGAAATCCTCGCATGTATCAGTGCTATACACTGGACATGTAAAAGAACCAAAGGGTCTATTCAATAAGAGCTAGGAACTGGATCTCAGATTCCCTTGTATCTCATAGATTCCCTTGTATCTCATAGCTGTCTCTGAAGTCTCGAGTCATGTTTGACATAATAAATGGAAGAGGGAGCGTGGGAGGGATGGATAAATGGATGGATTTTTGACAAAATTTTCCAGAACAACATCACTCCATTATTACAAAGAAACAAAGATACCCAGAGTATTACCTTAATGTTAATTCAATATAGTAGAGGTAGCATAAAAATAATGACAGGACTGTTATGGAGTGTTGTTCTAGTTGTTTGTGCCTGAAATCATACATGGAGGGGCACCTGAGGTCTTCCTCCACCAATAAAGCTGGAAAGTCAACATATCATCAATACAGTGTTTGTTCCACTTCAAAGCCAGTGATTTTTTTTTCAATTTTCAAAACAATCTGTGGCTTTCTGAAGGGGAAAATATAGAGTGATAAATCAGTAAAGGGGAAAATCAAATTCCAACAACTGAGAATGCAATTTACCCATACATTTTAAAAAGTTAACATAATAATCGTTTATTATTTTGTGTAACCAGGTATTATGAAAACTGTGATGACACCCCATTAGAAGACCTTGTTCCACATTTTATGAATCTAGTCAATCTGCAAATAGACCAGAAGTTATTGGAGGAGGGGGAACAACTGTATAACGTTGTCAGGTGTGAGGTAAGAACAAACCAAACTGTGAACTATATTCATATTGGATTAAACATATTTATTTAAAGCTCGATTGCGAAACAAGATCTTGCGTCTTATATTAATCACTTTTGAGTCCGCTTCCTGGAACCAACCAGTGCTGGTGTCTGACATATGAAGAAACATGGTTGTGACCCAATTAGGGCTTGAACCCTTGATCCCTTGGTAGAGAGGCAGACACCTTTATTGATATTACAGTGTAACCTCTACAGTGTACCCCTCTGTAAACTTTAGTAATAACAAGATCAAAATAATGTTCTGACAGAATAATGAACAGCTGCATGATCAGACTGCAGGAATGTGTCAGTTCACTGGCCAGGTTTTATACTGGTGGCAAACGCTTCTCAGTGTCCTTTTTTCAGCTGTCAACAGGATAAGAGCTTTAGAAAAAAAGAGCTCTGTAGGTTTTTTTCCAGGCTTTTGGGAACATGACCCATACCCATGGAATAGTGAATTTCAACGATGTTTTGTTAAAAATTGGGGAAAAAGGCATGACTTAGTTTTTGCAGTGATTAAATAAATGGAAAGAATTACTGTCTAGGATGGCATCTTCAAACATTTAAGCACCATAACAGTGAATTAATCCTTATTTTCAAAGATTTTAGAATTTGTTATTCGATATTTTTACTTTGTAACTCTCAATTGGAAATTTTTTCCTGTGAATTGAGAAAATAATATACTATTTTTAATTGGGAATATGACCGAATATCGGCTATAAAATAAGCCAAAAAAAACCTGATCTGTAAACAACTGAAATGTTAATATTATTTATAATTATTGGTTGCTAATTAAGACTGTTTTATCTTAAAATGATTGCAGGCTGTGAGGGCATGTTGTAGAGCTGGCGATTTTGAGAAAGCCAAAGATGTGTTTGAGCGACTAAAACTGAAGGAAATAAAGGATAAACCATATGTTAATGTAAGGCTAACTTTCTTTGAGTTAAAATATCCAGGCATATTTTACAAGTATAGAGCTCATAATTAAATAATAGCCACCATTCATTACCTTTATTGTAGCCCATTATTCAACATTTTAAAAGTTGTCAAAATGAAATTTGGATTTACAATGGCTTATCTTTACAAGCTTTAGTTGTTAGACAAAGAGCATAATTCTAAAATTTTATGCCACTTTTTAACTTAGAATTTTTAACAGACGAGCATTGATGCTGCAAGTGGTGCTCTATTTTAAAAAAAAGCAGACTTACATTTTTCCTTGAGACTTTCTGAAATGAAAAACCAATACACAAAACTTCCATTGTAAATTCTTCAAAATAGCAATAAATGTGCTGTCAGTTAATATTATTATTATAGAATATGAGTTACAAACAAAAAGTGTTTAGTATTTCTAGAGTTAGGCCCCTTTATCACATGAAATAAAATTTAACTTTTGTTGTTATATCTTTCTTGAACATTTACAATCCTTAAGTTTTTCTACTTATTGAGAAGTTTAATGCCGAACAGCCCCTAACACTAACAATTGTGAATTTAATTTCTCAAGGTAACCTTTAAAGCGACCTAGTTTTTTGGCATGTCAGGACCGAAAATAATTTTCAAATTAGGCGTTTTCGCGAGTTTTCATATCTATAGACATATAGGTAAAATTAGAACTGTTCAATAGAATTTTTTAAAACATGACACGATGTTAAAATACGATAAAAGAAATATTTTCTTCTTGGACGGTAACCCCCAACAGTTTTAATTTTGCATATAATTATGTCTATATGGAAACTCCGAAAAACGTCCTTAAGTGCCCCTGCTGTCAGACCTATGTAAGAAATTCAAATTCCATGTTTGAGGCTTTTGGACATTAAAAACAGACAAGTAGAGCTGTCATTGATTCAGTGCAAAGCATATCAACGATATATCGATATCGGGTGACAAAAATCACAGATACACCGATATATTAATAATATCCTATAATCACTTGTCTGTCATTCACTTTCATACCTGTTTAAATGATTTCATTTAAAACATGTTCTGCACAGTGTTTGGTCCACTGCATGATTTTTCCAAACAATATTTTTTGTCATCATTGCTATGAAATATTTCCACTATATAACAAAAGCATAATGTTAGATATAAATAACTGCTTCTGTATATGTTTTGGGTGAATTTTCATAATTTCTAGACATTTAATTTAAAAGTCAAAAGTATCGATTTTTTTAAATGTGTATCGATTATTGATCGACAGAAAAATATCAACGATTCATTTCTACAGACGAGCATTGGTGCAGCATTCAATGCTCTTTTATTTATGAATATTGACTGTGTATGTGTTTTATTTTGTAGATGATAAAGGAGCTGCAATCTTTGATGAAGAATAAAGATACAGAGACTTCCCTTAGTTATGATGACTTTGTTTCAGACATGACAGATTATCTGCAACTTATTGCTGACAGTTTTGAGGAGCCCACAATCATAGCTGTAAATATGAGCCGCGTCACGACAAAACAAACATAATGGGTTTGCGACCAGCATGGATCCAGATCAGCCTGCGCATTCGGATCAGGATCCATGCTGTACGCTATCAGTTTCTCTACTTGTTATAGGGTTTGTAAGCGAACAAAATGATCCTGATGCGCAGGCTGGTCTGGATCCATGCTGGTCGCAAACCCACTATGTTTGTTTTGTCGTGACGCGGCTCAAATATGTTTTACTTGGAAATATACTGCATATTGTCTTTTAGTGTGTTGTTAAGGAAATGGTTATCAATTTTTAGCTCACCTGAGCTTGCTCAGGGTGAGCTTTTAGGCTTGTTGAATGTCTGTCATACGTCCTCTGTCGTCAAACTTGGTCGAGATGCTTGTCTAAGATATTGTTTGGATGAGTTCGATGGATCAGGTGAGCGATCTAGAGCAATCTTGGCCCTCTTTTTAGTGATTTGCTGTAGGATAATGCACCATGCGAGTTCAAATGCGTAGGAATATAATCACGAAGGCTAATATGCCTGAGTGATAAATTACAAAGCATTTGAACGATAAACCTTGCATACTTATTCATTAATGCAAAAAAATTTAATGTCTATTTCCCTTCTAACATTTTAATAAAAAATATGCATTAAAATTTTTATTGTTAAATTCAGGCTGCCAAAAAGTTGCTGATTAGGAAGTCATGCAGACATAAAGATACAAACAAAAATAGTGAATCTCTTTCCAGGTATGTGATATTTGTAGAGCTGCTTGTACATGTATGATATTTGAGCCGCGTCATGACAAAACCAACGTAATGCGTTTGCGACCAGCATGGATCCAGACCAGCCTGCGCATACGCACAGTCTGATCAGGATCCATGCTGTTCACTAGCAGTTTCTTTACTTGTTATAGGGTCTGTAAGCGAACAGCATTGATTCTGATCAGACTGCGCGGATGCGCAGGCTGGTCCGGATCTATGCTGGTCGCAAACCCATTATGTTGGATTTTTCATGATGCGGCTCATTTTATTTTGTACATAAGCCTTTGTTTTGATTTAAGTTAACTCCCTTGATATATCTCTTCCACAAATTAGGTATTGTAAGTGACAGTATTGATGGCATTGAAACAGTGCTGTAAAGAACCATATATATCTCTGTTTTTCTCGTTAGAAACAAAAATAGTAAATATTTACCAATAGGGATTATCATGCAATGAAAGTCACTGATTCTTATTGTTTAGATACATGTAAATGACACCTGTGGCTACATGATTAAGGTCATTCACTTCAAATCACATACCCTTCACCCCTGTGGGTTCAAATCATGCCTGGAAGTTTGTATTATTTCATGTGAGTAAGTTAGCTTACAAGTGGTTAGTGGTTCTTGCCTTAAATAATGCACAGAAGGGCAGTCTTCCTCCAGAAGTAAAGCTGGAAAATCACCATATGAGCCGCGTCACGACAAAACCAAAGTAATGCGTTTGCGACCAGCGTGGATCCAGACCAGCATGCTCATCCACGCAGTCTGATCAGGATCCATGCTGTTCGCTTACCAACCCTATTACAAGTAGAGAAACTGATAGCGAACAGCATGGATCCTGATCAGATCCAAACGCATCAGTTGCAAACGCACTATGTTTGTTTTGTCGTGACGCGGCTCATATTCCTTTATAGTGATTTTGCAACATAAAGCACAAGCAAAAAAAAAAAGTTGAAACCATTTGAGACAATAAATTCATATGCAGAAACTTAAGCAGGCATTATTTCATTTATTGCCCACAAATATACATGTATTTAGACCACAGAAAAAGTAGAAAATACAAAAGTGTAGTCATGAAACTTTTAATGAGTATATATTAACCCTAAGCCTGTAGACAATTGAATCTCTCCATGTGACCATTGTAGACCAGTATTGGTTCTGCCTGATCATAGTCTGCTATTCTGTCAGTAGGGGCGTCCATGGCCGAGTGGTTAAGGTCGTTGACTTCAAACCACTTGCCCCACACCGCTGTGGGTTAGAATCCCGACGGGGACTTTTGATTCTTTCATGTGAGGAAGCTATTCAGCTAGCTTACGTAACGTCGGTGGTTCTACTCAGGTGCCCATTCTTGCCTGAAATAATGCACGGAAGGGCACCTGAGGTCTTCCTCCACCAGTAAAGCTGGAACGTCGCGATATGACCTATACTGTGTCGATGTGACGTAAACCCCCCTAAAAATTCTGTCATTACAGATAAATTTTTCTAGAAATTGCGATTGGTTTGTTTGTAATAAAAGATATGTTCATTTAAGATATTTATTGTGGTAAGGTTTAAAGTTGTATGTAGGTGTGGAAATTAGAGCAGTTGAAAGAATAATAATGTTAATCTGTAATTTGATTTAAACAAACTGTGGATTTAAAGTAAGACTAAGAGCCAAGGGAAAACTTACAAATGTTTGTAATTTTTTAGAATACCAGCAAAAGAGGTTTTAGATGAGATTGGAAACAAAGATAAAAGCAACAACAACAATAACAATGAGCGTCTGTCACCAAAAAGTGATAAACAGAGACTGCGTAAACTGTGGGACCAGGTAAGTTTTGTCATGATTGCAGTAAGCTTGTTATGCCCCCACAATGCGGGAGCATATAGCGTTGCACTTGTCCGTCCGTCCGTACGTCCCGAAATCTTGTGAACGCAACTCCTCTTAAACCGGATGGCAGATTTTGCTTAAACTTACAGGGATGAACAACCTTAATGTGTAGATGGTAGTAAAGGAAGGAATTTTTGCTGCGACCAAATTTAACAGAATTATGGCCCTTTGTTGATTTTTTCACTATATACTATGTAGAAATTTTGTGAACGCAACTCCTCTTAAACCGGTGGGCAGATTTTGCTTAAACTTACAGGGATGAACAACCTTAAGGTGTAGATGGTAGTAAAGGAAGGAATTTTCGCTGCGACCAAATTTAACAGAATTATGGCCCTTTGTTGATTTTTTCACTATATACTATGTAGAAATTTTGTGAATGCAACTCCGTTTAAACCGGATGGCAGATTTTGCTTAAACTTCCAGGGATGAACAACCTTAATGTGTAGATGGCAGTAAAGGAAGGAATTTTTGCTGCAACCAAATTTTACAGAATTATGGCCCTTTGTTGATTTTTTCATTATATACTATGTAGAAATTTTGTGAATGCAACTCCTCTTAAACTGGATGGCAGATTTTGCTTAAACTTCCAGGGATGAATAACCTTAATGTGTAGATGGTAGTAAAGGAAGGAATTTTTGCTGCGACCAAATTTAACAGAATTATGGCCCTTTGTTGATTTTTAGTTTTCAACTTGTGGCACATGTAGTCCAAAAAATATTTGACCTAGAGTCATAAGATTGACAGAACAGTGGCGTGTGGGGACATCCGTGTCCTATGGACACATTTCTAGTTATAGAATGGGCAGTGAATTAGCCTTAATGAGAAAGAAATTGTAAGAACTGATTTTATTTCACTAGTATCATGGTAATAGTTTGTCTACTCAGGGTTTCTATTGACGCACATTTCATGCGTCCTTGACGCAAAAATAGTAAACTAGGACCCTCAATTACTCTAAGTGTGCGTCCATGGGGACGCAAATTAAATTTTCCTCCGTAAATATCATTTGGAAATTCCTTCCGCTTCTTTAAAGGAAATGACGTAATTTGGTAGACGGGTTCTAATATTGAATACAGCAGAGTTATCTTTCTTTCAATTGATTACAGTTTAATACGGAATAAAACGGCGCACACTAGAAATTAGTTGACCTTAAAAAAGCGTCCCAGTCTATGCGTTTTTTGTTATAAAATTAATCGTAAAACATGTCGGCTGCTCCCCCAATTTTAATGAAAAGTGGCTAAGTTAACTTACCCGTGGCTCGTCCAAAACGAAACGACCACGGATATGAAATGCAGCCATTGCGTCTCAACTAAAAATGTAATCCATTTGCCTCGGAAAATGGATTTTTGAACTTACAAAATAGTAGATACATTTGTCCGTCATCATGACGTATATGCAGTTAAACAATTGATAAAATTAATCGGACCAGAATGAGATGTGAAAGATCTTGACTTTATGCAAGTTGCACAAACATTCAGCCAAATGACAGAAATAAAAAAATAAAAAGTAGATCTAACAATAAATAATAAATAGTTATATTTTTTATTTTATTTAACAAGGTCAATAAAAATGCATATGTAGTTGAACAATGTATATAAATGTAAAGAATTAAACCTAGACAATATATATAAGTAATACCTTACTTTAAAGTAATAAATGATTAGGACCCTCATATTTTTCTCTGGGACCCTCATATTTTATGAGCACGAGTCCCTGGGACTCTTAAATAAAAATTTCTAGTAGAAACCCTGTCTACTGTGTATTTTTGAGGGAATATATGGGCCCTGTTTTCCATTTTGAAAACTTAAATATTTCCCGTATTTATAGTCAAACTGCCAAAGATAAAAATATAAGATATGCAAATGATGTTTAAAGTACATGTACGGTGTAAAAATATACTTGGCAAAAGGTTGACTCACCATATCTCACAACATGTGCAACAGATCTTGTCTTACATAACACTAGCACCAATAACCAAAATCTATGGCTATTATAAAGTAAGGAACCAGGCCATTTCGTGCATTTCGTAAGGAGCCAGGCCAATGTGCATTTCGTAAGGAGCCAGGCCAATGTGCATTTCGTAAGGAGCCAGGCCAATGTGCATTTCGTAAGGAGCCAGGCCAATGTGCATTTCATTGCATTCTCAGTTATTCAGGACATGGTTGTTGATCAATTTAAACTTCTTTAAATTGAAATGTCCTAAATTAACTATGGTCAGTAGTTCTACATGTCCGAAATAATGCACAGAGCGGCCTTTTCAATTTTTCATTCGCAAGTATTAGTAAGGCTGGAAAATCTTATATGAACTTTAGGCTTTACATTGTTGACCTTACCAAACCTAACCTGTCACTTAAAAATAAATATTAGTAAATTCAAAAAACGCAGATTTTTTATTTACTTGTGTGTTTTCAAAGCTGTTTAAGTTGCTATCATAAATTCTTGTTCATGATTTGAGCCGCGTCACAACAAAACCAACATAATGGGTTTGCGACCAGCATTGATCCAGACCAGCCTGCGCATCTGCGCAGTCTGATCAGGATCCATGCTGTTCGCTTACAAACCCTATAACAAGTAGAGAATATGATAGCGAACAGCATGGATCCTGATCAGACTGCGCGGATGCCCAGGCTGGTCTGGATCCATGCTGGTCGCAAACCCATTATGTTGGTTTTGTCGTGACGCGGCTCATTTATGTTTATGATTTCTCGTGGTGAGTTGTGATGCTGATATGTCAATCTATTACAGAATGTAAAAGAGATGTTTGGAGATGAAAGCCCCCCTCATACAGAAGAAACTGAGGAAAGTTCTGATGTCTTGTTTGGTAAATAAATTATAAAACTGTCTTAAAGCTACTCACCGACGCATAAAATAAAATAGCAGAACGGTTTAAAATTATAGCTGGATAAAATTGCCAAATCTTTAAAAACGTTGGTATTTCAGGAAGCAAGGATCACTCTTAGTAATGGTCTATAATTATCTCATATATCATAAAGTGACATGGTGAGCTTTTGTGATCGCTGTCCAGCCTCCGTCCGTCTTCCATCCATAAACTTTTACTTTAAACGACATCTCCTCATAAACCCCTGTCGTAGATTTACATTATACTTTCCCGCGCTACTTTGTATGTAAATGGCGCTTTGATACGTTGACGTCTGTGACGATAACCCCTAAGCCAATTTCATCCAAACTTCACAGGAATACTCCTTTAGTAGTCAACTTTAGAAATTGTTCAAAGAATTTAATTCCATATAGAACTCTGGTTGCCATGGCAACTGAAATAAAAAAAAACTTAAAAATCTTCTTTTAAAAGAACCAAAAGAGCTAGAGCATAAATATATGGCATGAAACATCGCCTAGTCAGTGTCTACCAAGTTTGTTCAAACAAAATCCCTGAGGTCAATATTGGCCCAGCCAAGAGTTCACTGTGACAACTATTGTGAAAATTTAACGCTCTAACCTGACCCACGTGGGTCAATTTAGGAAACCACCATTCTATTCTTAAGGAGAAAAGTCCTGTCCCTGTGACTGCCTAGTGTAATCATTTGATGATATTTACAGAATAATGAAAGAAAGAAATGAAAATTTTGCCTGTGTCTCCCTCTCAGTTAACCTTTTATTATACCCCCACCACAAAATGTGGGGGGGGCTATAATGGATTCGCTTTGTCCCGTCGGTCGGTCCGTCTCCATTTTCGTGTCCGCTCTATAACTCCTATACCAATTGAAGGATTTTCTTTAAACTTGGCTCAAATGTTCACCTCAACAAGAGGATGTGCAGAACCCATGTTGTCTATGTGTCAGCTCAAGGTCAAGGTCACAATTGTCGGTCAAATATCAAACAATCAAATATTAGACAGTATGTCGTGTCCGCTCTGTAACTCCTACACTTATTGAAAGTCGGTCGGTCCGTCTCCATTTTCGTGTCCGCTCTATAACTCCTATACCAATTGAAGGATTTTCTTCAAACTTGGCTCAAATGTTCACCTCAACAAGGGGATGTGCAGAACCCATGTTGCCCATGTGTCAGCTCAAGGTCAAGGTCACAATTGAAGGTCAAATATCAAACACAATCAAATATTAGACAGTATGTCGTGTCCGCTCTGTAAGTCCTACAATAATTAAAGGATTTTCTTCAAACTTGGCTCAAATGTTCACCTCAACAAGGGGATGTGCAGAACCCATGTTGTCTATGTGTAGGCTCAAGGTCAAGGTCACAATTGTCGGTCAAATATCAAACAATCAAATATTAGACAGTATGTCGTGTCCGCTCTGTAACTCCTACACTTATTGAAAGTCGGTCGGTCCGTCTCCATTTTCGTGTCCGCTCTATAACTCCTATACCAATTGAAGGATTTACTTCAAACTTGGCTCAAATATTCACCTCAACAAGGGGATGTGCAGAACCTATGTTGCCAATGTGTCAGCTCAAGGTCAAGGTCACAATTGAAGGTCAAATATCAAACAATCAAATATTACACAATATGTCATGTCCGCTCTGTAAGTCCTACACTAATTGAAAGATTTTCTTCAATCTTGGCTCAAATGTTCACCTCAACAAGGAAATGTGCAGAACCCATGTCACCCTTTTGCCGGCTTAAGGTCAAGGTCACACTTGAAGGTCAAAAATTGACTTAGAAAATATTCTTAAATTTTAACATTTATATGAATATTTCTGAATCTAGAAAAGGTATTTGCTTGAAACTTAAAATATATATGAAAGGTCACAATGAAGATATGCTGGTCAAGTTTCATAACTCTGTATTGCATTTTAACAAAGTTATGCCCCTTTTTTGAGTCTTCAAATTTACATACAATCAAATATTAGGCAATATGTTGTTTCTGCTCTATAAATCCTACACTAAAAGAAGAATTTTCTTCAAACTTTACTCAAATGTTCACCTCAACAAGGTTATGTGCAGAATCCATGTCACCTTTGTGCCAGCTAAAGGTCAAGGTCACACTTGAAGGTCAAAAATTGACTTAGAAAATGTTAAATTTTAACACGTACTTGAATATTTCTGAAACTAGCACAGGTATTTGCTTGAAACTTAAAAGATATATGTGGTGTCACAATTACGATATGCAGGTCAAGTTTCAATAACTCTGTATTGCATTTTGACAAAGTTAAGCCCCTTTTTAAGTCTTTAAATTTACATACAATTAATACTAGACAATATGTTGTGTCCGCTCTATAAATTCTTTACTAATGGAAGGATTTTCTTCAAACTTTACTCAAATGTTCACCCCAACTGGGCGATGTGCAGAATCCATCTTACCCTTGTGCCAGCTGAAAGTCAAGGCCACACTTTAAGGTCAAAAATTGACTTATAAAAAGTTTAATATTGGGAAAATGAAAGGTTATTTGTAACTGTTTCGAACATGATTTGATAATGAATATTTATACTTTTACCTGTACAATTAGTCTTTTTTTCACCAGAGATAATTTCTTTTTATGTATTTGCGCCACTTTAGTTATTCCCTTAACCACCTTTCCAAGTCGTCTTCTGTCAAGGACATTGGTGGGGGTATGAATCGCATTCAGCGATAGTTCTAGTTTTTAATGGCATATTTGTTTCAAATTTTGAAAAGAAAATACCCTGAAAATTTAACAGGAAGTTACATAATGAGTATGTGTACTTTGAAATGAAGAGAAAAGAATATTACATCATTGATAACATCTTTAACATTTTGATTCATTTTTGTTAACAGTCAATCCAAAACAATCCAGTTCATCAAAGACACCTAGAAAAGATAGGTCAGCGTCACACAGTCCCTTATCAAAGACATCAACTCCACAAAAGAATGGGACCTCATTGTTCAAAGTACCTGCAAGGAAACCTTCAACTACAGATCCATCTAGCTCCAGGACGTCCACTCCGAAAGCTGGGCATTCAGCGGCTAAATCTCCTTTCAAACGACCAACTTCAACAAAAGAATCTGGCAGGTTAACTAGTCCAATATCTACAGTATCTCCTGTACAGAGAGTGTCTACATCAGACAGGTTTGTATTTCAATATATTCTATGTTTTTTGGATCATTTCTCACATAGGATATAGTTAAATAAACAGGGGGAGGGGAGTGGTGGCATATTTAGTGTATTGTAAAACTACAAACAAGGCAACAGAATGGTGACCCTTATTTGTCTGGTTATCTGGTTGCGACTGTATGTGATCTTCATTTGGAGATGTCTTAATCACGGGTTCTACTGTAATTACAAAAGATACATACATTTTATAGCAAGTTTTACATACTGTGTCTAAATCTAGGTTATGTGAGTTTGATACCCTGCTTCATAAATGGATAAGTCCATCATTCAATATGGACAAAAAACATTTGAGCCGCGCCATGACAAAACCAACATAGTGCGTGTGCGACCAGCATGGATCCAGACCAGCCTGCACATCCACGCAGTCTGATCAGGATCCATGCTGTTCGCTTACAAACCCTATTACAAGTAGAGAAACTGATAGCGAACAGCATGGATCCTGATCAGACTGAGTGATGGGCAGGCTGGTCTTGATCCATGCTGGTCGCAAACACATTATGTTGGTTTTGTCATGGCGCGGCTCAGTAATCATTTTTGGAGAAAATTACAAAATATGAACTGAATAGTTAACAGTGCACATTATGATGTGAATCAATGGGTAGAGTCAGTCGACTGAGGGAATACTTAATTTAGTAATATTTTTCACAGATATAACTTATAAACAATGATCCTGTGCGTTGATGTTGCGCATTAAAGGGAGATTCAGGCAAAATTTTCATTTCTTCGTTTTGAATTTTTCATTCATTATTCTGTAAATGTCCTCAAAATGAGAATTTGTTTACAAAATGTCATTTTAACATATTTTGAGTACATACGATCATTTTAGTATTTGTCATTAATTTGCCTCAGTATCCCTTAATGCTTATAACAAAGTAGTGGTTACTTTATCAATGGAAAATCTCTCTACTTTAAGGCACATTATGTCTTAGAAATCCATATTTTTTTAAAAATTTAGCAATGTGAAACATGTTTTAATAATGGATTTAGAGCTAAACTAAACTAAAAAAAATTAGATGTTTAACAACTTAAGAATGTAGCACTGAACATGCAGTAATGTGTCATAAAGGCAACAAAATTTAAACAGTAGTATTTTGACTTATATACAAAATAATAATTCACTATAATTATACCAATTGCAAACAGAGAAAGAAGCAAGAAATAGTTCATCGTCTAACAAATGATTAATTTTTGGCCGTGTTCCACAGGCTCAATTTCAGGTCTGTCGCTTATCCACTTCCTGTTTACCGACTTAGTTTAATTTTCTACATTAATGGTAGGAAATTTTCGAAATAGTTTTCTCAGCAACTACTTATCACAACCTATTTTTTGGATACTGTACTAAGATACCAAAAATCAGAAGTTTTTGATAAATAAAATTGATAGCATTTCTGAGGCATAATGGACCTTATTAATTTCGCCTGAGCCTAACCAGTATGAAAATGGTCAGCTTAATTTGTTTAATTATAATATAATAAATTATTGGCTATATTTTATTGTAGATCTGGAGAAGAAAGTCCAGACTTTCAATACAGGAAAAATAAAGGTCGTGCTGACAGACACGAACCGGTTATATCCTCTTCAAGAAAAAATGTGGCAGATGACAATCGTTGTAAGATTTTATATAACATCTTTACTTACCTATAAGTCAGTTTTCCATGTATTTACTCACCTATAAGTCGGGTTTCCATGTATTGACTCACCTTTAAGTTGGGTTTCCATGTATTTACTCACCTATAAGTTGGGTTTCCATGTATTTACTCACCTATAAGTCGGGTTTCCATGTATTTACTCACCTATAAGTTGGGTTTCCATGTATTTACTCACCTATAAGTCGGGTTTCCATGTATTTACTCACCTATAAGTTGGGTTTCCATGTATTTACTCACCTATAAGTCGGGTTTCCATGTATTTACTCACCTATAAGTTGGGTTTCCATGTATTTACTCACCTATAAGTCTGGTTTCCATGTATTTACTCACCTATAAGTTGGGTTTCCATGTATTTACTCACCTATAAGTCGGGTTTCCATGTATTTACTCACCTATAAGTTGGGTTTCCATGTATTTACTCACCTATAAGTCGGGTTTCCATGTATTTACTCACCTATAAGTCTGGTTTCCATGTATTTACTCACCTATAAGTCTGGTTTCCATGTATTTACTCACCTATAAGTCTGGTTTCCATGTATTTACTCACCTATAAGTTGGGTTTCCATGTAATTACTCACCTATAAGTCTGGTTTCCATGTATTTACTCACCTATAAGTCAGGTTTCCATGTATTTACTCACCTATAAGTCTGGTTTCCATGTATTTACTCACATATAAGTCTGGTTTCCATGTATTTACTCACCTATAAGTGGGTTTCCATGTATTTACTCACCTATAAGTCGGGTTTCCATGTATTTACTCACCTATAAGTCGGGTTTCCATGTATTTACTCACCTATAAGTCGGGTTTCCATGTATTTACTCACCTATAAGTTGGGTTTCCATGTATTTACTCACCTATAAGTTGGGTTTCCATGTATTTACTCACCTATAAGTCGGGTTTCCATGTATTTACTCACCTATAAGTCGGGTTTCCATGTATTTACTCACCTATAAGTCTGGTTTCCATGTATTTACTCACCTATAAGTCTGGTTTCCATGTATTTACTCACCTATAAGTTGGGTTTCCATGTATTTACTCACCTATAAGTCTGGTTTCCATGTATTTACTCACCTATAAGTGGGTTTCCATGTATTTACTCACCTATAAGTGGGTTTCCATGTATTTACTCACCTATAAGTTGGGTTTCCATGTATTTACTCACCTATAAGTCTGGTTTCCATGTATTTACTCACCTATAAGTGGGTTTCCATGTATTTACTCACCTATAAGTTGGGTTTCCATGCATTTACTCACCTATAAGTCGGGTTTCCATGCAATTATTTCGAAGACTTAAACATACATCTAGACTTTTAAGCATACTACAAAAGTTTATAGAAAGTTGAAACTGATTCATCTAGGAATTAAAGTTGCAGATAAATTTATTTTCAGCCTGTCATATGAGTGATATGCTTTTATGCCATTAAATACAGTCCTTATTAATTTATAAAAGCTCGCATTATCCCCCCTTGTCTTTACCAAATGTTTTATTGACATGTATAAGTTTTTGCTTCACTTTATGCAAAAAGAAGAGCAAAAAAAGTATTTCCTAAAACATGATATAATTGTTTCATATGAGGTAATTCACACTGATTTGAATGTCTATGTTTAAAAGTCTGAAATTTAAGCTTAGAATTAACATTATTTGTATTTTTTTATAACAGTACTTTGCTAATTACTTTTTACCAGTGGATAAAGTTTCTAAGTGTTTTTCAATCATAAATAAAATAGGCATCTGGGTATAACCATGTGAAGCTAAGTTTTAATATATGTATTATATGTTTGTTACATATATCTGCAGCGGTTGTATCTGACCTGTCATCTATGTATGGAGGCACCAAGAAGAGAAAATGGACCGATGAAGAAATGTACGAGTTTTACGATGCCGTAAACACTATGGGGGTCGGTAGATGGGCACAGATAAAAGAATATTTAAATACGACAAGGACAGGGGTGATGCTGAAGGACAAATGGAGAAATATGATAAAGTCAGGAGATGTTGAAAGAATACAGAAGAAAAGGCAGAAAAAGAAATGAATAGGTTGACTTCTTCAAACCAGTTCTGTAATTGTTCAATTTTTTGTGGTGTTTTATAACATTGGTATTAATGTGCCATATTCGAGGGATTTTTGCTCAGATTATTATGTTTTAGTGTGGACAGCGTACCACTTTTGAGGGAGTTTTACTCAAATTATAATGTGGGCAAAGTCCCATATTGGAGGGAATTATACTCGCAGTAGTGTGCTTTGATGAACAGAAGGCAATATGCCATATTGGAAAGAATTTGCTCAGATTATTCTATATTGTGTTCAAAGTGATCTATTTTTGATGTGGAAGGTACGGGTGTTTTATGGGCCAGGATTTCGGTGTATAATTATCAAGCAAATGAGCCGCGTCACAACAAAACCAACATAATGGGTTTGCGACCAGCATGGATCCAGACCAGCCTGCGCAGTCTGATCAGGATCCATGCTGTTGGCTTACCAACTCTATTTCAAGTAGAGAAACTGATAGCAAACAGCATGGATCCTGATCAGACTGCGCAGATGCGCAGGCTGGTATGGATCCATGCTGGTCACAAACGCACTATGTTGGCTTTGTCATGACGCGGCTCAAATGTTTTTGTAACATGTTTTATTAGCTTGTCTGTTCAGATATTATGATTGCTGTGTGGTCTTTGAAGTTGTGGTCAACGTCACTCAAAAAACTTTTATATGGCCCATTATTCAAAAGATGACAATATTTTTGGAGTTATGTTGTTTTTTTTAACTACGGGCGATAACACTGCATGTGGTGCTCTTGTTATCTTTTTTTTTATTTATAACAATGTTAATAGTAACAGTACTCCTAAACTGTATATATATTACATAGAAACTATTAGTTAAGGTAAATAATTTGGTTGTGAGATTATTGGGTTGATGCAATATTGGGAAATTTAGGACATGGAAGAACATGACTAGACGTTAATCACCAAACATTGTATTTTTGGGCGAATTTTTGTTGTTTATTTTCTGTTGAGAGACAGATGTGTGGCAATTCATTCACTCACTTAAACAGGAGTTTCTTTATGTTTGAAACAATCCGAGTCATTTTTTAAAGTAGCACTAAAATTTCACATGTCTGTAGTTAGTGGGAAATGCAATTATATAGGTGCTATTAGATATCAAGTGGAAATATGACAATATAAATGTCATAAATATACATTAAACTGAGGTCCTGAATGTCATAGATATACATTAAAGGAGCTCCACATTGGTCATGAATGTCATAAATATACATTTAAGGAGATCCACTGAGTCTTTTTGGCATCAAGGGACTGTAAATACTTTTTTGGAAAATTAAGAAGTCTTAACTTGTAACTTGTGTATAAAACTTCAGATCAAACATGCTAAAAATGCACAAAAATAGATTTTTAAATAATATTGTAAGTATACCCTTATCTTTTGCATATTTTCCTATTTCATGTGCCTCAGATTATCTAGCTGGAGCTCCTTGAATGTATATTTTATGACATTCTTGTCCTCAGTGGATTTCCTTTAAGGAACTCAGGTTAATGTACATGTATATCTATGACATTCAGGACCTCAGAATAAAATGTTCCCATACAAAATATTATTTTGCTACTAAGTAGGGTTTTATCCGTTTAGCAGTGATTTTGTGCATGCGCCCTTAACTTTAAGGCAATAAATTACTAAATTCATTTCATACAAACATTTTGGAAGTATGCATTTTTTAAGATTCAATCACTAATTTTTGTATCAGATATATAGCTTTATACATTTTAAGATGAAAAAAAAACATACAAAAGATTAAAAATTTAATTGTTAAGAAATGGTTTGTGATGTTTCCCTTGTATTAAGTCAAAAGCATCGAAACTCTTGAAAGTAATAATGTGTAACAACAAAATCGGTCATATTGGAGTGATTGGAAGTAGTACATACTAATTACTGATCCAAACCTACATCATAATTATGTTACAAAAAAAAAATGATAACAAATTTCAAGTCCTTACACCTCAGTGGAGTAAAATGGTAATATTGAAGTGTGTGTCTGTCTTTATTTGAAATATTGTAAGACAGGTACATGCTTCTTTCTAAATTGAATTCCATGTTTATTATCTTGCTTACTGACATATTATATTGATGATTCATGTTTGTTTATTATTACTATATAATTATTGAAATAAAGTTAGATCCCAAAAAGAAGGGTTAAATAAACATGTTGTTGTTGTTGTTTATCTAGTAGATAAAATATAGATTTTTTTTAAGATCTGTTTATAATTATGTGCCTGCAATATTTATGTCATCCTGCAGTCTGTATGTCTGTCTGTGATCTGTTTGTCTGATTGCGATTTGTATGTCTGATTGTGCTCTGCATGTCTGTCTGTGATCTGTATGTCTGTCTATCTGTATGTCTGTCTGTAATTTGTATGTCTGTCAGCTATCTGTGTCTGTCTGTGGTCTATATGTCTGTCTGTAATGTGTATGTCTTCTGTGATCTGTATGTCTGTCTGTAATTTGTATGTCTGTCAGCTATCTGTGTCTGTCTGTGGTCTATATGTCTGTCTGTAATGTGTATGTCTTCTGTGATCTGTATGTCTGTCTGTGATTTGTATGTATGTCTGCCTGTGATATGTATGTATGTCTGAAATTTGTATGTCTGGTAACGATCTGTATGTCTATCTGTAATTTGTATGTCTGTCAGAAATCTGTGTCTGTCTGCGGTTTGTATGTCTGTCTGTGATCTGTATGTCTGGTTATGATCTTTTTGTCTGAGAGCAGACAATAAAACTTTTTGCTAAACCGTCTCAAATCAGTAGGCTTTTGCATGAGATATTTCTTCAACAGAGCTTATTTTGATGACTCCACCAGCCTTGTCAAATTAGGATTTTATAAGATTCAGTTTATCAACAGTCAGCATGAACTGGCATCATTTGTGTTATATCTCGTTCTTTAGCGTTTTTCAAAGCAGTTGAAGGATTTGTGCAGTAATTATAATATCTGAATTTTATCATAGCCTATCTTTATCATAGCCTATCAATGTACACAATGGATGTCACAAACAAACAAACAAAACGTAATAATACATAATCTGTAAAATATTTGTACATTGCCATTCAATAGTTGAATTATAAGATATTTAAAGATTTATATACACAGACACATTTACAATATTAATGAAAAAAGAACTAACATTTCTTTTTTCATGTCTTCATGAAATAAGATTAACATATTTTATTAACATCAATGTATACTTTCTTTAAATATCAGAAAATTTATCATCTATTACATTGTATTATAAGCATTGCAAATTTATGAAGACTGGTAAAAAATCCTAAGCTTAGATGAATGATGGTTTTAAACCTTCTCCATATTAAAATGTGCCACGTTTAAAAATTCAAATATAAAATAGTTCTGATTTTTTTATATGACCAAGGTGAAAAAAGAGAAACTACGCTTGTTTTGCCACCCCTCGCCTGAACAAACTTGATCCGCCCCAATATCCCCTTTTCCGCTTTCCGATTATTACCGAAGTTAGACGGGAAAAGACCGAAATGTTGAGATTGTGATGTACATAATCACTACATGTAAAGATTTATAGCGAGGAACACAAACTATGCAGGTTAGCTTTGTTTACATATCTTTAACGTTTACTTTCTTTTGCATTCGTCTGCTTAAATACGTTTCTTTTGTTTAAATTAGTATTCATACAAAGACAGCTATGTTATTTAAATGGCATGCGTTATCGATCCGCAGCAGTACCGTTAAAGCAGCTTGCTCAAGGGGAGTTCAAAAAGTTAGTACCGCAGTAAGATGCAGTAGTTAAAAATGCTATTAGCATTTAAAAGGCTGGGGAAGTAATTAAAGTCCGTGATGACACGGAGCTAGATTTGTTGTTAGTCGAAATATTTCGTCGTCCCAAAGCTAGATATACACAAAATAGCAGATTTCTAGATATCTGGGACCATAAATGTATCTTTCTGTCCCAGTGGATACAATAACATAAATATATAAATCTCGGTTTGCATGAATGACACAGCTGCTTATATAATGTGGATATGTTAAGGTAGAATAGAAATTAATGAATAGTTAATAGTGTAATTTATAATACTCTTTCAATTAATAAATTTTACCTTTTTGCGATTGTTTCATTGTAACACCCTGTTTTTCAAACATACCTGTTGTTCTTGTTTTATGTCTGCTAACTTAAGAAATGCGGACACTGTTATTGTGCTAAGATGGGATACAAATCCTTCTAAATTGTTACACAAGTCTCCCAGGACCGTTAATTTATAATCTCGAGTCGGTGTAATTAATGGCCATTTTTCATCTTGCACATTATGGAACCTGAGGCTGTTGATCTGCGGTTAGTGGTAGGGTCACCCCTTGGCTTCAATTTTGGCAATTTTAAGATACAATGTTTCGGTTTTTCTCTTTCACTGTTCGAAGTTCTAATAATCTTCTGCTGATTATTATCTTAGAACTGCTGATGTCCTGTGTCTATCAACGAACGCGCACGTACCGGAAGGAAGGAGAACTATTTCATAAAAGTAGACCACGAAGAAGTACTTATAAGTTGCCAAAAATAAACTTAATGAAAGCTCATTTCTCCTGGGTGTTTTCTATATAAATTGTGAGCACAAGAAATTCTTCTATGTTTATACATATAGTATCTACGTCTACTTTACACTTAGTTTACTATTTTAACATACAGTACAGATTTCTTCGTTCTTCGTTCTTTACATTAATACATATAACAAACAGAATCATAGTAGCTTTAATTTATTTGTTTGTAAAGTTTCTTACAGCCTGATATTTCAGATCAAAAATACATACTTTTGACTTTGATTCTCACAAGTCATTCGCGTATGTCTGCTAAAAATGTTTTAAATGTTTTGTTTCTTTGGATTTTTTTTAAAATAAATATAATTGAATTTTGTTTAACGGTGATAGTAAAGCAAAACATAGCAGTGTGGTACTGATCATATCTGGTTGATACCATGCTGTTATAGTAAAGACAATCATGACCTCTGTCTCAATTTAACTGTAGCAAAAACCCGATTTGTCAAATCCTCGAGTACCATTTTACTTACACATGTATACATTTTTCAATTTGACATTTGAATTCATTAATGAAAATATTTCCTTGTTTCGAAGTGTGCTGTAGTAAGTTCTATTTTATTCATACAACCACGTTGTTTGTAAGTAAATCAGACAATTATAGTAATTTTATATCAATAGAAATTTCATATAAGGTTTATGAACCAAATGATTTCATAGTGTTTCAGTTAAGTAAGGGAATCAAACGCACGACGCTGGCGGACTGTCGGTTTTAATTGGGCTGCGGGATTCTGTGACTGACAGTCGGTTTTAATTGGACGGCGGTATTATTCTTTGACGGAAGGTTGTTTTTAAGGGACAACCACTTAAATAGATGATATTTCAGATAATTTATTACAAAATTCACAAGTTCTCCAATAGCGGGAAACATAAATACATGTACATACAAATACACATTTGAAAACGGTTGCATTACATTTTTTAGGATGAAAATTATATAATATTAAGATATAATCTTTACGTGCCCATGACATGAAAAAAAGAAGAAAAAATGAATTTACATAATTTATCATAGTGCTTATTTAAAGGATTTTATTTACTCACCCATTTCATTTCCTCGTGATAAAAGTTTTTTTATGTAATGATCTCATGCATGTAATCGTCATTTATAACACTGACTCATGTAATACATGCACTCCCATTTCCGTATGCTTTAAAAAGAGTTGTCAGTGTATAAATTTACTCTAAAGTAGATTTTCGTGTGTTTTTTGGGGGGTTAAATCAGTGTTTATTGGGAAAACTCATTGTTTTATTGGTGAAAGTCATTGTTTATTGGTAAAGAGTCATTGTTTTAATATGATACAGTGTCATTGAGACTTTGTCTAAGGTTTTCAATGGCAGGTTTGTTAACGTACAAACAAACGAACGATGTCGGAGATAATCAGTTATTTTTTTTGTACCGCATGGTTGGATAGTTTTGCTTATTTTCTTCCATCGTATATAGAAACAATGACTATGTGAGCAAGGAAGTTTCTGGAAATAACAAATGTAATTAAGGTCTTGAAGTGCTCTAGGATTAATTTGCAAAGTAGTAGAGAATGAATAAGAATATATACTGTTGCAACTCTTTTGGAGATTTTCGATATTCTTCTATATACTGTGTTGATAAGTTATGAAATTCAATTTCAATTTTAAAGGATAAGTTGCATTAACAAAATGTTCCAGCTATCTTAATTTTATGTTATCTTATTTTCTAGAGTTTGAGAAGAAAAAAGGGGAAATAACTCAAATTTGACTGATGAAGCCGACTTTAAATGATCGATCATGTCTGACTATAAATCTAAACTTGGTGATAAGGGATTCTGTAACTGGATCAAAGCTAGCCTCGCGATATCTGTCACTAAAGCGGGAATGCAAGATGTCGTCTGCAATAAGCTGGAAACCATTCACCGTACAGTTTTAGATGAGGTTCGGTCAGAAGAACAAAAGCGCAATAATATATACTGTTTCGGCTGTGTTACATTGAGCGTTGTCCCGTGCTCGAGATTGTCCTGTAATTACGTCTCTAAGACTTGTCCATTCCATAAACAATACCAGCCACGCCCATGTCGAAGCGGAATCTGTGATCAGATCAGACAGAAAATATGCGACAGTCATGTATATAGAAAACCGTCATGGAAGAATACACATGCAGAATATTGGTGTAACTCGTACTGGGAATATGCTAAATGCTTTATGCCACCTGACGGTTATCTTGACAAGAAATCGTTTGATGACACCGATTTTAATGGCGTCGTCAACATATTGATGAATCATTTGGATTTTAAGAGAGACGTAGACATCTGCGTCTGTGAAAATGTAAGTAATTCATTATGGTCACAATTTTGTGTCGCCTTGAAAAAGGCGACATTTAGGGGTTACTTTTGTCGTCGGCGTCGTTGTCAGCGTTCCCCTAAGCTTGTCCGGAGCATAAGTCAGTCATTATAAGTCGGATTGACTTCAAACTTGGTATGCATGCTTCTTGTAATGACCCGAAGTGCAGTGCACAAGAACCGGTACTCTGCATTTCTTAATTTTTGAGTTATTGCCCTTTGTTAATTTTCATATTCCATTTTTGTCCTGGCCATTTCTCTTAAACTTTATTGTTCACAAGGCGACACATCCGACTAGCAGAGTTCTAGTTTAAAAAAAAACAAACTGAGATACTGCCTGAAAGTTAGTACGATTTGTATAGTGTATTTATAATACATGTTTTTGAATAAAGGCCATGTTTGCAGTGTGTATCACGTGCGCGTTAGTGTCATTACACATGTACTGGAGTCAAATAGATAAAAATACGTAAACTGATCTTCTCTTAGAGACACTAAAATAATCAGACACGCCACACAAACACGAACATTTAGTAATTTAATTTAATTGCAAACGTTTCGGCTATATGCCTTCATCAGTGCAAAACATAATAAAATTACTTTTTTTTTTTTTTTTTTTTTTTTTTTTTTTTTCTTAGAGACACTGGAATTTAAATTGCCCTAAAGTTGCACGTTTTCGGAGAGATTATTTTTGGATGAATTTCCTGTTCGTCAAATATCTCTTGAACTGCTTGTCAGCCATTTTCATGATACTGGAATCAAACATTTATCTCATTGTGTTGACATACAGTATCCATAATAAAATTTGCTGAAAGTTACATGATTTCGAACCATATATGTTTTGGATAAATACCATTTTCACCATACATCTCTTGATTTACTATACATTAAGTTGTTTGAGTCATACATGTATCTTTGTCTTATATAGATGACGTGCAAAAATTGCATCGCTTCATGACGGTTCAATGTCATAAGATTTGAAACATAGCTTTATAATGTCTGTGCAAAATTTCATGAAAACATGGTGTGGTATCACACAAACTTTGGTCGCATACTTACTTTCCACATAATAACTGTAATTATGTTATTACACAGATTACTTTTATTACACTTTATTACTGTTATTACTCATTATAACTATTTTTGCACAAATTACTGTTATTACTCAGATTTCTGTTATAACACAGATTACTATCAGCACACAGATTACTGTAATTGCACAAATTACTGTTATTACTCAGATTACTGTTATTACACAGATTACTGTTATTACACAGATTACTGTTATTATACAGATTACTGTTATTAAACAAATTACTGTAATTGCACATATTACTGTTATTACACAGATTACTGTTATTACACAGATAACTGTTATTCAACAAATTACTGTTATTACTCAGATTACTGTAAGTGTTATTACACAGATTATTGTTATAACACAAATTACTGTTATTACACATATAACTGTAATTACAGAGATAACTGTTATTACACATTATTACGGTTATAAATATTACACAGATAACTGTTATTACACAGATGACTGTTATTACACAGATAACTGTTATTACACATATTACTGTTTTTACACAGATAACTGTTATTACACATTATTACTGTTATAAATATTACACAGATAACTGTTATTCCACAGATAACTGTTATTACACAGATTGCTGTTATTACACAAATTAATGTAAGTGCACATATGACTGTTATTACACAAATTACACATATTACTGTTATTACACAAATTACTGTTATTACACAGATTACTGTTATTACAAAGATTACTGTTATTACACAAATTACTGTCATTGCACATATTACTGTTATTACACATTATTACTATTATTACACAGATAACTGTTATTACACAAGTTACTGTTTTCACACAGATCCCAAATAATTGCATGAGCTGATTATTTAGGGAAATATGAACCTAATCTTTTAATGGTAAATTGCATATGAAATCAACTTTTTTGTTTGGTTTAACACAGCAGCGGTCACATGGCGACTTTCCAGCTTTACTGATGAAGGAAGACCTTAGGTGCCCCTCCGTGCATTATTTCAGGCACGAGCGGGCACCTGTGTAGAACTTCTGATGTTCCGTAAGCTATATGGATAGCTTCCGCACATGAAAGACTCTAAAGTCCTCGGCGGGATTTGAACTAACAGAGGTGAGGGGCAAGTGGCATAAAATCATATTACTTGCCCAAACTTCTGAAAGGCACTTATCATTTGAATTCATGTTAAGTAATTCATGTTAAGTATGCATGAATGCATTGTCAAAACAGGACATACCGTCGTATTGAAGTTATATTCTGCATATATGATGTTAGATAGTTATTATCTTAGCATGAATGAGTAAGCATAGAAATAAAATTTCTTAACGCAACCGTTCCGGGTGGGAAAATAAGTTTAAGGTTATCACGTCACGCATTCGGATGAGAAGTTTAAATTAACTATGTTACCCACTGTGCTATGGTGGCTGATTTGTGCCATTCGTGTTTTCACCCCGCGCCCCCGCCATTTTAATTTGGTAATTCTCGACTTTTCGCTTGGCGGGATCGCGGGACGAAACACGCTAATTAGCGGGGGCGCGGGGCGAAGTTTTATTTCATTAAATTTCGCCCCGCGCCCCCTCCGTTTTATTTCTAAATTATCGCTCCGCGCCCTCGCGGGGCGAAGTTTTATTTGTTAAATATTAAATTGTAAATATATTGTATTATATAGGCAAAAGTTTCATTTATGCTAATTAGCGTGTTTTCGATCCGCGACCCCGCCATTTAAACTTGTTAATTCTCGACTTTTCGCTTGGCGAGGTCGCGGGGCGAAAACACGAGATCAGGATCCATGCTGTTCGCTATCAGTTTCACTTGTTATAGGGTTTGTAAGCGCACAGCATGGATCCTGATCAGACTGCGCGGATGCGCAGGCTGGTCTGGATCCATGCTGGTCGCAAACGCACTATGTTGGTTTTGTCGTGACGCGACTCATATGTCAAATCCGTATGCTAGTTCCGGTATGCGTGAATCAAACAATCAAATCTCATCACCAATTTAGTATTATAGATAGCTATGTTTAGTTGATAATGATAGGGGATTGTAAATTATTTCATTTTGAAAACTGTTATATCAGTAATTCTAATCTAAGAATAAGAATTTTAAATCAAAATGGCGTCAGATTGTATGTTGTCTCGTTTCAATTTTGTGTTTTACATCCCAACAAGTTAAACACACAGCCAAAGTCAGCCTACCCATTTCTCAATGTATCACCTATAACAAACGTCTATTTATGATTTTCAAAATAAAATTTCTCAAAATTTACTTGAAAAAAAATATTTGTACATGTATGTTACAGGCACGAAGTACTGTAAATAGTGTGAGACATAATGGCGAGCTATCTCTAACCGACCAGCAACTAGAAGATGTCGTCTGCGCACTACAACAACTTCTACAATGCAGCCAAGATTTCAAAAACAGTTCTCAGTCGTTGGACGCTCGATTGAAATTAGACATGGTTAGTGGCATTTCCTTACTTCTGGAAAAAAAAAAACATAAAATTAATCGGCATTTGCCGTCGCAATTTTTAACGCAATTTTTCCAGAAAATAATCACAGTAAGTTACATACATATGTATCTATACAAAACAGTATGACTCCTTGGCAGAGCGGTAACGGTCATTGACTGAATCTTTTGACCCTCGCCGCTGTTTGTTCGAACCGCTCCAAGTCAGTTGGATCACCAATCGGAACATCTCGGCTATTACTAATAATAATTCTTATCTGAAAATTGACGGAAATAACCGAGAAATTGCGATTGTTTGATCCTAGAAAGATCGACAGTTCTACTAAGGAAATGACACGTTTCCAAAATGATATAAGAATCTTAGGTATTTTATGGCCATTAAAGCCGCCATATTATTTGAATAAAAGTATGGTTTTCATTGAAACTCACTCATAGAAAAAAACATGAATTATGAAAATAATGAATTGAAATATCTCGCACTTGATATTTGCTCATTTGGAGGCGTGCAGCTTTAAAGGAATAATAGCCGATGTTCCGATTGGTTCTGTTTATGTCGATCAAAAATCTCTGGTATGCGGTATGCGGAAAATTGACGGAAATAACCGAGAAGATGCGATTGTTGGATCCTAGAAAGATCGACAGTTCTACTAATATTTGTTAAACATAGACGTAATTCTTTTATAGTTGAAGGATGATTCCATCACTATCACAGAGGGAGATGTCAACCAGTGTCTGCAAAATCAATATAATGCTTTAGTGAAAGGTGAGATATTTAAAATTATACAAAATACATAAGTCAAATACACAAGAAAGAGTCTTAGTTTGGTTGGCAACCGCCTCCGTGGTGGAGGGGTTAGAGTCGATGACTTCTAATCCAGTTACCTCTCTGGCGTGGGTTCGATCCCCGGGAGATGCTTTGGTAGTTTAGCACGGAGGAAGGTAGTCTAGTACTGGTGTAACTCTCCAGGAACGACGGTTAGGAAACTACCCGCCTATATGACTGAAATACTGTTGGGAAAAGGCGTAAAATGAAACAAACAAACAAACAAAAGTTTGGTTGCCGGCTGTTGGTAATTTTGAACACTGTAATTGAGAATATGCGCATAATTTTATCGGAAGAAGTGTATTTGTAAAGACCATATCTATTGCCTTTGATAAAAGAGAAATATACATCATCAAACACCATCAAGTGCTGTCATTAAAAACACTTAATTTTAAAAAGATTATTTGTTAACAGTAACCACAGTTTTAACCTCATGAAATCCAATATTTATTGATTGACAGACTAACGAGATGCTGAGTTTAAATTTGCATTGTAATCTATTTTAAGATCTAAAACATGACATCATCCAGTATATCAAAGATCAACACGGCACAACATCTATCTCTCCAGTGCTTGAGGAGATTGACAGTCCATTGCTAGAATTCTATGTTCCACCCACAGTAACCATCGCGAAATCTGGTGACAAAAAAGGAAATTCTGACCAAGGCGCTTCTTCTTTACCGTCAGCTAAGGACATATTTTATGGACAAAATGAACGTTATCGCGAGATTTACCTGTGTGCGGACGCTGGCCTTGGGAAAACCGTGTTTGGAAAACGTCTGGCTTTAATATGGTGCCAAGCAAACGAAACGGAGCAAAAGGAATGTCACTTTACTCAGGACGAGGAGGACATTATGAAAGAGTTTGATTTTGTGTTTTACATTTCCCTGAAAGAAGCGGACCCTGTACTTCTTGACGTTGATGATATTGTACAACAACAGATTATTAGAAACCTTGCACGTGCTTCTAGCTACAGAAGAGAATTTATAGAGAAAGTGTTAACACAAGAGAATTGCCTCATTGTGTTGGATGGCCTCGATGAATGGTCACACCCAAAGGAACATATTCCATTTAGAAAACCAAGACAAAACTGCGCATTTTTCACTACAACTCGGCCTTGGAAATTCACTGTTGCAAGGATACGGCAAAGCAAAATAGACCAGCAACTAGAAATGAAAGGGATCGACTTTGCTGGTAAACAAAAGCTGATGTCTAATTTATTGAAAGCCAGTTTTGGTGAAGAAGCTGAAAGTGAATCTGAGTTACAGCTGAAAGGTTTTGACGAGGCGGTGAATAAAAGAAACATCACTGGCTTTGAGAATAGTCCAATGTTGCTGTTGTACTTGATGTGCCTATGGTTGGACGAGAAACCTATGGGTGATTCCCGATGTGGTTTATATTGTAACATAGTAGAACTTTTGCTGCAGAAATTTCTGACCAAGCAGCCGATACCAGCGTCACGAAACACGATAAAACAACTGCCGGAATGTTTCAAAGACAACGAGTATTGCTGTAGATATGCACCTTTTATAGAAGACATATCTCACTTAGCTTTCATTACGCTCTTCAACCAAGATATCGAAAATAAGTTTGTTTTTTCTGAAAAGCTGACAAAGAAAGCAATGTCGGCGGAGTGCTTAGAGTTTTGGTTGAAAGCAGGGATCCTGACGCAAGTCAAAGGTCAAAGAAGCCTCACAGCTCGTGACACTCGTGTGTTCTTTATTCATAAAACGTTTCACGAGTTTTTCGCTGCTGTACACCTAGCACATACGGAGCAAGATGATGCGGCTGACGTCGTGGTTAAAGGATGCCCAGATTTGAATTCTGTGTTACCCAATTCAAATTTCCTTGTATTCCTCTGTGGACTTAACCCTACTGTGAGCAGTAAAGTTTTGAACAGTATAGTTGCCACACTTTCAAACGACGCCCTGACGGAGAGGCTACGGAACAACACGTACTCGTTTGTTGACTACTGGGAGATATGTGAATTGAAAGAAAACTTTCAGAATATGATGGTTGCCTGCGTGAATGAATGTCGTGACAATGGCTTTGAGCCTCATTATCAGCTGGAAGATGTTTTGCTGAATTTCGATAACGATGTGGAAAATAAATATGTCAATGCATTATGTGACCTGACAGAAACCAAAAATGTTAAGTCTGTAAAATTCGGAGGAAAGCTAGCACAAGCAAAAGTACATGAATTAGTGGAATACCTTGAAATGCGTGATATGAATTCGCTACAAAAACTAGAACTGTGGGGTCATCCGAGTAAAGAAGATGTTGAGGTCCTTCTAGCGGCATCTCTGAAAACCCTGAAATGTTTACTTATTCATGGAGGAATGAATAATGATGAAAAGTACATTGAAATTTCTGAAACAAGTTTGAATATGTTACAATCATTGAGGAATATTAGATGTATTGACATGTTTTGTATTACTTTGAAGCACGACCTAATTACAAAGCTTTTCAACTGGTTGGAACAGAATAAAGAGATGACTCAGATTAAAATTGCGCGTGTCAAATGCGCTGACCACGTTGATGATGACTGTATGTCCGGGCAGTTCGTGTTTGATCTTTCAGGGCACAAGAACCTCAAGATCATCGGGCTTGGGGACATGTTTGCTTCAGGGGTGAAGGTCAACTCGTCAGCTTTAGAGGAATTCTGGGCAGACCATAATGAACCTATTTTGTCTTCTTTCTTAACAAGTTATATCACCTCAGCGGCAAATCTACACACCTTTGTAGTCGAGTTTATTAACTCGAAAGATACAGTTGATCAGATTCTAGACACATTGCCTCGTTTATACAATCTCTGTCACCTACAATTAAAAGGAATGGACCTTCGAGACAAAGAGTTGACTTTAACAACACGGCGCACTGTTAAACATATACGACTTATTGAAATTTCGCTGGAAAGTCGGGCACTGAAGAAACTGATCGACGAGCTAGGAACATACAAACATTGTGTAACTATGGAGATCGCATCGTGTGATGTTAAGCAAGGAACCGGTGATGGAAGTGTCAGCTTTGAAGACCTTAGACAAATGATAGAGCTCTCTACGGGAAAGTTTACAGTTATTTCAAACCTGAGATGTTCAGGTCATGATGATGCATTTGCATTTCGAACAATACTTCAGAAGTGACACTTTATTGTAAATGTGAAATTCAGGACGTTTTGTCTTAAATGTAATGAACGAGTTAAATGTAATGAATTTAAAAGTAATGAAGTTAAATGAAATGAACAAGTGAAATGTAATAAAGTTAAATGAAACAAACACGTGAAATGTAACGAAGTTAAATGCAATGAACGAGTTAAATGTAATAAAGTTAAATGAAACAAACAAGTGAAATGTAACGAAGTTAAATGCAATGAACGAGTTGAATGTAATGAACAAGTGAAATGTATCGAAGTTAAATGTAATTAACATTTAAAATGGAATGAAGTTAAATGTAACGAACACGTGAAATGGAATTAAGTTAAATGTAACGAACAAGTGAAATGGAATGAAGTTAAATGTAACGAACAAGTGAAATGTAAGGTACGAGTGAAATGTAATATCGGACATATTTTGTGTCATGTTTGAGGTACTATAGTAAATGTAATTTAGGTAGTATTTGCCGTGAATGTAATGCACTAATAAAAAGTAAAGTCGGCGTCTTGTCCACAAAATGTTCAATGTTGTAAATGTGAAATTTAGGATGTTTTGCCATAAATATAATGAACGAGATAAAATGTAATATTCAACGTCTTTTCCGCAAAATTCGATGAAGTATTTGTCAAAAATGTAATATATGATTTAATGTAATGTCGTAAGTCTGTTACACGAAATATGATGTCATACATGTATATTAGGGTTGTGTTATAAGGTTACAGACCTAAATGTTATCTTGGCAATATCTCATGTTATTCGTGGCATAAAGTTTGAACGAGATTAATTTTGTTGTGTTCAGTGAAGAAGATGAATAAAAATTTGTAACATTTTACACAATTTTTCTCTTTAATGGCAGATTTTGCCGAGTTGTCTCTCACTGGGTAGCATGAAAATCACCATTTTTATGGTAATTAAGTTGAATTGGTTCATAATGGAAGACCTGTGAAACAAAAAATAATTAAGGTGGTCACTGATTGAAATTATGTAGTAATGACAGCTGAGGCGTTCCATAGTTTTGTTTTAAGCGGGGAACGATCACGATCGTTATTGTCCCCCGCCTTTTCGAAGAAAAAAGGGGGATATAGAAATAGGCTCTGTCCGTCCGTCCGTCACACTTTCGTGTCCGGTCCATAACTTTGTCATTTATGAAAGGATTTTGAAATAACTTGGCACAAATAGTCACAATAATAAGACGATATGTCAAGTACAACACCTGTACCCCTACCTCCAAGGTCAAGGTCACACATAAAGGTCAAAGCTAAACACAGTCTGTTATTTGGTATATTTTGTGTATTGTCCATTACTTCTTCATAGATTAAGGGATTTTGAAAATACTTGGCACAAAAAGTCACAATGATTAGATGATATGTCATGCGTAACATCAATGTCCCTACCTCCAAGGTCAAGGTCACACTTAAAGGTCAAAGATTTACATAGTCTGTTATAGGGTATACTTTGTGTCCAATCTATAACTTTTTCATAGTTCAAGGGATTTTGAAAATACTTGGCACAAATAGTCTCAATGATAAGACGTTATGTCATGCACAACACCCTCCAAGGTAAAGGTCACACTTAGAGGTTAAAGGTTAACATGATAGATTTTTAAATTTCGTGTTTCATTTTGATTTTGTGTACAAATTTATTGTTGCATTTGCAGATCTAGTTGGACTGAATGTCCTGAGATCCATACCTCAATCTTTTGAACTAGTACAATTTTATGCTTCGTATAAAACTTCCCGAGGCGGGGGACGTTGGTAACTCTGTTACAAATTCTTGTTTTATTCGGATGTGTTTAGATTTTACCGGATGTATTTAACTTCCGTTATTGAATCCGATCCAGATAACACACAATCTATGGAGAAAAAATGAAAGTATAAGTATGTAACCCAAACGAGACAAATGTTCTCTTTGACATAATGGACGGCAAAGTTCAAGAGAAGATAATGTTTACAACAGGCCTTTCAGATGTTTCGATACAGGTAAACTGGAAGTGTCTTTAATATATTTACTGACTTATAGTTTTTAAATTGTTAAATTGTGTCAACATAAGCGTACTTGTTGTTATCAGGCAAACTGAAGAAACAATGTAGCGTTGGAATAAGATGATTCAGGCATAAATGTCCACGATAATGATACTCAATAATACTCTGGTCTTGCCATATTCTAAATTCTTATCTATAATTTGCAAAGATATTTATCATTTTAATACATGCGTTGATAACGTTTAAATGTTTTACAGCAGATGATCACGAGAGTACTAAATGTTTCAAGATTTTCCAAGAATCACGACGCAAATATATATAGTATCTTTCAAAATGAAATATATGTAGTTAGCCTTACTTCTTGTGTTACAGATATACATGTACATTGGTCAATGGTTCTTACTAGAACTTGTATAATCTGTATACAATACTTGAATACGAAAGATCAGAAAAAGACGAGTACTTCATCTCGAGTACGAAAATTGTGGATATGTTCGTTCTCGGTGTCAAAATTTTCCACCGGATGGTAATATCGTTGGGTGCCTGTATCTTAAGCAACAATAGAAGGTAATTCCTAAATCGGAAGTGTTCTCCCGCAACATGTGCGTGGCTCCCCGTTTCACTCTATGTCTATGAATGTAAAACGGAAGCCGCGGAACACTTCCGGTAGGAATTACCTCTACATGTGGAATATTTCTTTAAATACAAGCACATAGGACTTAGTGCCACTCGTGGAGCATAAGACCATTAAAAAGTTTGTAAAATCCAGTTGTTTAATTGCATGTATTTTCGACTCATCCACAGGAACTTGAAATTCTATCAAATAACCAATATTAATTATAATATCCAAATATACCCCCTATATACTATTTTTTTATAGTATACGAGGGTTGTCCCAATATTCTGTGACAAGATTGTTTAAAAGCTAAATAAAACAGGTACGAATTTGATATTTTAATATGTTATAAACCCATATAATTTAAACATTTTCACAAATTTTCATAGAAAAATATCAACATACAACAAAAATATGCCATAAACACCATGGCAATTAACTGAATTGCGGCGCACGTCCAACGTCAAAGACCGTGTTAAATCTATATAAGGCGCCTTTCTCAAATACTCTCAATGGCTTTCAAAGCAATAATGGTACCAATTTCTGACTTTCTGACTTAGATCATGTGGTTGTTAATGTCTGTTGAATGTTTGGATGGCATACATTAATTTTTGCTATACGCGAACTTCCGGTCTCGTTACACCTGTTTTTAGCTATAGGAAATAGGCGGCGAAGATCGGTCTTCCTATCCGTGTTTTCCTTATTTTCGCTTTTTGTAGCGCAAAACTCTGGTTCCGTTCATGCCTTTTGTACACAAGTGCTCAGGATATGTTGCTAAACTGTCTTATTTGGTATATTTGATGAAAATCGTAACATGTGTCATCTCGAAATAGTCATGAAACCTGAGTGACCTGTTTCCTGCGCCGCAAATTCTTCGAACCGCGCCATTTTAACTTTCCTATTTTATATGAGATATTTTCATTTATTCCTATCTTTTTCGTTTCTTAAGTTATTTAACTAAAATTTTCAGAGATTATTTTAACATAGCAGCTAATTAAGTCAACGTGACATTGTGCAGACACATTATCAGATATTTGAAATATACGTAATTAATTTCAGCCTATTCATAACAAAATGTAAATTATTTGACGTGCGCCGGTAACTCGAACCAATGTCGTTAATACTGAAAATTTCTAAGGAACTAGAGTAAATTTTTTGTAAATGATTTGTTGTAATGTTAAATAATAAACTTAACTGTTATATGTGTGAATTATTTTCTATTGGCGTTAAAAATGAACCGGCTATAAAATTTGTCACGGACTTTTGGGACAACCCTCGTATAGGGGGTATATTTTGCATATTATCGTTAATAGTGATAGAATTTCAAGTTCCTGTGACTCATCTGATCTCTTTGTTGATGCATTTAAAAAGCATACATATCAGGCTACAATGTACATGTCATGACGGTCTCATCTTTCGGACCTGGTTGGATTCTTACTTTCGGACTTTGCAGTGGTTATTTACATGTAAATAAAGATCTGTTCATAGTCAGTTTTGATAGAAAAATATATATTGAATTGATTCCATGCGAAAATCCGACGGTATTACCACCCGGTGGAATTTGACACCGAGAATGGACATACCCACAAGTTTCGTACTCATATGCTGCATACCTTGTTTATATAACCATGTAACAAAAATAATAAAAAAATATATTTCACATTAAAATACGTTAAAATATGGCCTTGTCACATCGACACCTAAACTTTTATGAACAAATTTTTAAAAAAAGTTTCGAAATTACCCGAAGTAACTCTTTTTTCTATATGTTAACTATTCATAATTTTTATGATAGCAACATTTTCAATTTTTTGTTTTGGAGTTCTTTAGGGATTTCGATTTTTCTCTATTTTACACGCACCATTATATACATGTATATTGCAAAACATAGAGAATTGTGTGCAGTTTATAAATTGCTACGTTTTCAAATGTTCATCTGTTTTGAAATACATTTACTTTGCTTATACGTTTTATGTTATTCTGTACTTTTATCAGTTTTATTCATTTTAATTGTAAGGATTTGTTGTGATGATGACGAAAATAAACTATTTGAATTGAATTGAATCAGCTTCGCTAGTTTAAGAACGTGTTTGTATGTTAATTAATTGATAAACATAAACAAATTATTGCAACGATCTTTTAAAATCATTTATTGACGAACTTCATTGTTGTTTATGTCATTCTGATGATAAAATCTAAGCGTTGTAAGATGAACACGAATAATATAGACTTTTGATTTTATCATTTAACATTTAATTAGTGTATCTAATTGAAAAGCATAGCCTCGGGTTGATTCAATTATTTTTTATTGTAAAAAAAATGACAACTGGTCAGTCGAAGCTAGTGTGTTTTACTATATACATGAAAATCAACAATATTTCAGAGATATTTTTATAATAGAAGGAAAATTTAACTATGAAAGGTAAGGTTTTTTTCTGTTAATTTTAAAAGCAAATAATTTTATCATAATCTTTTACATAAAAGGTATGCATTTATTCGTATATAATTGTGTATTCATTTCTTTTTCTAAAGTACGTGCAGTCTTTACGACGAATCTTCTATTTTTTTTTTTTTTTTTTTTTTTTTTTTTGAAAATAAATTATGTCACCATATTTGTTTATGAATAATTAAGTTTTTACCCTGTCGGAACCGGAAGTGATCAGACTATGTCACCAGTATAAAACCAAACCAGCGTGCACATCCACGCGGTCTGACTAGGCTCAATACTTTTGGCAGACTTTTTTTCATATTTTGATATATGTAAAATTAATAATTGACAGTAATGCCGGCAAATAAACACATAAGAATTTTCGATTCATGTAAATATATTGAATTACTTAATATGGTGTAATGACGTATTTAACGATAATATAAGCGCAATATTAAAATTTAAAATATACAATACATGTATAAATTCAATAGATATACGTAAACATATTTTTCATTTAAAGGAACACCTTTTTCTGCGTCTGAACTACAAAGAAATAAGAACGGCTGACTTTATTTCCAAAATAATTGTGATATCAAAGCAGAATACAATTAAGATGAGAATGTATAGCAAGAAAACTGAATTCATTTAATTTAAGAATTCTTCCTACTTTCAAGTATTATATTTGTATGATTTCAAAGACGGAAGCGAGAAACAGGCATAATTAAATGAAAAAAATGACGAAATAGGACAGGCAATAAAATCTTTGGGGCATTTGTACACATTTTTGGTTTGACCATTGTACTCGTTTTTTTTAAAGGTGCACTAATTCGTTATGCAACTTTACAAAAGATGGAAATGCAAACTTGCACTTGTGCACAAGATATCATTGCTATTTAACTCAAAATGCGTTTCTTTTACTGAAAACAACACATTTTAGTACATGTTCGCCCATTGTACTCATCGCTCATAACAACTTTTCGACTTTCAGACCTAAACAAAGAGAGCTACAATATAACCAATAATAGAGCAGTACGTGGCTTTATACAGGGTTCCGTGCGGCCTTGTTTTACATATAAATTTTAAATTAAGTGTATGAAAATTATCATAATTCACTTGTGGCTACCGCCACTCTTGAAATATAAATTTTCATACCACTTGATGAAAATTATTCCTACGTATTGAGAAGAAAACTTGAAAATCGTCTATAAATTTATTTTAGAGCAAATGGCACATACACAAAATCATAACTAAATTGTCGAAACCGTTCTTAAAATAGCAACAATATATTTTGTTCCGAAAATTTCTATGCTTACATACAAGAAATGAATTTAATGAATGAATGAATGTATGTATGTATGAATTAATGAAGGAAGGAAGGAAGGAAAGAACGAACGGACGACTGAATGATGGATAAAAGTATGAATGAATAAATAAATAAATAAATAAATAAATAAACAAACAAACAAATCAATCATTAATAAATACAAAAATAATACCACTGTTAACAAATCTATAAAATTATTAATGTCAACATTAATGAGCTGCGTCATGACAAAACCAGCATAGTGCATTTGCGACCAGCATGGATCCAGACCAGCCTACGCATCCGCGCTGTCTGATCAGGATCCATGCTGTTCTCTAACGAACTCTATAACAAGTAGAGAAACTGATAGCGAACAGCAGGGATCCTGACCAGACTGCGCGGATGCGCGGGTTGGTCTGGTTCAATGCTGGTCTCAAACGGATTATGTTGGTTTCGTTATGGCGCGGCTCAATTTTCAATTTGTTGTAATTTTGCCTAATGAGATTTTCTCTATTTGATTTTCAAGAATAACACCTACACTTTTGAAATTAAAATGGTCGTACAATGTTGAAATGATAGTTATCAATGTAACACAAACTTGGGAAATGGCCATTTAATAATAAATGACGGAAAACATATAAAACAATGTTGATATGAAAGTTATTAATATAACACAAAATTGTATACAAAATTATTTCTTAAGATGTTGCTTCACACTCTGAAAAAATGGGTTTATTAAGTGCGAACCAAGTGATAACGAAATGATATGTGCAAACCGAGTGATAACGAAATGATTAATATTTATTTATTTTTATTTTTATTTATTTATTTATTTTTATTTATTTATTTATTTATTTATTTATTTTTTTATATTTATTTATTTATTTATTTATTTATTTATCTATTTATTTATTTATTTATTTTCAGGTATTATAAGTTCCGTGTTTGTCGTACTGCTTTGTACCAGAGAGATATTTTCATCTTGTAAGTTGACTTTGACTGTTTTTATTACTATTGTTCGTGTTTGTATGCAAGATTTTGTCCCAAAAAAAAAAGAATAAAATTAGTGGAACAGTCGCATATTGTTCTAAGCCTTAATAAAATAATCAAAATCTCCTAATTCATTTGGTCAAAGGGCCCTCAGTTAATTGTCAACATCCCCTTTATCAATGGTAAAATTGTCCTCGATAAGTAGTCAAAATCTTATCAATAAATAGTAAAACTCTCCATAATAAATGGTAAAAATCCTCTCATTCAATGGTCAAATCTCCACGATCAATGGCTAAAATCTCCTTAATCAATGGTCAAAATCCCCTAAATCAATGGTCAAAATCTCCCCGAATTAATGGTCAAAATCCCCTAAATCAGTAGCACAAATGTCCTTAACCAAAGGTTAAAAGTTTCCTAATCAATGGTCAAAATCCCCTTCAATCAATAGCCAAATTTTTCTTCAATAAATGGTCAAGATCCATTAAATTAGTAGTCAAAACCACATTCCCTTGTCCCATCAGTTAACTGTTGATTTTTCTACTGTTACTTACGCAGTGTGGGCTATTTTTGCATATTTAAGCTTTTTTTGGTAATTTTCGTAGATTTTTTTAGTCCGTGCTTTAATGTGTTAATTACTTTCTTTGTTCACTCGACAATATCTGACATTTTAATAAATACATTTTAAAACTTGTCATGAAAATTAGAATGACTCTGGAGTCTGGAGTGATGCTGCTTCAAATTAGTTTGCGTCATATTTTTTACGGTGATGTTATGTCTCGATTTATAAATATTCATGTTCTAGGTCGGTAAAAAAACACAAACAGTTCCCGTAACATTCTTTTTGAAACATATTTATTGACATTTTAGGCCCAAGTGGTTCCACAGCATTTTCTGGTCGGTGTTTCGTTGCAGGAAAAAGTACAGTGAAATTTACGCATGCATACGTAAGTATTATTATCCAGATATATAATGTCTCTTCTGTTTTCATCAGCATTTATTTGAGGGGTGGGGATGGAGGTTGAGGGACGAGTGAGGCGATGTACTTTCCGGGAGGTGATATTTTTTATTTTTACCATTTTACTTATTATTGTCAAGTGAGATATATCTGTTGTTCACGCAGGCGCAAAGAGCGAGTGACATACATGTATATTAGGTTGACATACATGTATATTAGGTGTCGGTTAGAAGATAACTTTATTATGGGTAATTCTTCTCCGGATGTTTGAGCCGAATTAGCCGCAAAGTTACGTAGTTGTTGTTTTTCTTAAGTTGTACTTACATAGGGAGTACATGTTGCACTCAAATCCTCAATATCATTGTCATTAATTAAAATGAAGTCACGCTTTAATTACGCAATACTTGTTTCTCCATTAAATTGGCAAAATTTGCATAAAATGTCTACACTTTCTTGAAACTATGATTTACAACAAATATATCTTCAAAGCTTTTCGGGAAATAGGCCTATTTTAAATTGTACACGAAAATTGCAAAAATAAATAAAAATAATGTATTTGATATATTTTAAGGTGTTAATGCATTAGATGACAGTGTGCGTTTTTTTTTTATTTCAGAATTATTGCATTGCGCTCGGCTGCAAGATGGCTGTGCCTAGTGCGGCCTTAAAAACACAAATTCAAGGTTTCGCATCTCAGACTGGCGGTATGTAATAATATTCACCCCCTCCATTAAAATATTACCAATTACATAACAGGATTTGTTTTATAACATCGATAGCGTGTTTTGTTTTCTTACGACTGTGATTTGATGAAAATAATGTAGAAATGTATTTATGGATTATTTTTAATTGATAAGGATAGAGTTATTCAACTTTAAATTCATGAAAGATTAGTATATAGCACTGGCCCAATAATATCTTGAACAATGTTAATGCTAGTGAAATAAATTCTGTTTAAATTCTATTCATCTCGGTTTTCCGAATTTTTTAGAGAAAAAAAATCTAGCCTAACATTACGTAGATCAGTTCTTATTGTAGAGGTATAGAGTAATGATATCAGTTCTTTGTAAAACTGATTTTTAATTTGGAAAATATTTGTATCAAATGAGAAGTAAAGGTAACGATTAACCAGTTTACGATTATGTTCACAGTGTGTAGAGTCATAACCAGAAAGATTTAGTAATGTAGAAAGAGATACAAATGTACAAGATTGTGTCACCTATGTTATAAAAATATGATAGAGTCAGAATATCATTTTATATTTTGTTGCTCAATTAAGTCTATTTTCAATTCGTTATTATAAGTCCATATTTATTATTGTTTTATTTGGATCTATTTTTCTAAAATCCAACAATTATTAATGTACGTCGTATTTGTTACAATATGTAATTGTATGTAACAAATTCAGACTGCCCTGTAATTTGTTAAATAAATTGTGAAGTCTGCAAAAATCGTCATCATAAAAGTAATGTATCTGTCGAAAAAGTCAAGACATCTATTGCTACTTCATTAAAAAATTATGAAATGGAAACAGCTAAGTTAATTGTTACCTACCGAACACCTGCACTGCAATATATAACGGTAAAACTTCTGACCAAAACACATGAAAAGGTTTAAGCTAAAGTTGTACCTTTCTTTAACTTTGACAGTGACAATATTCTTATTATCAATAATATTAAATAAGTATAATGAGGGACAGTAGTGAATAACCTCCCCTGAGTACTCCCTATAAATAGATTGGACTCTCGGACTTTATCGCCTATTTCTTTGCAGCAAACTAAATTAATTAGGGCTAATTATGATCATTTGTAATATTCAGATTAGATATTGCGATAAGATGTAGAATCTGACATAAATGAAACATTTTTCCTTAAGGTTTACATATTTGTTGATGCATATGTAAATAATTGATTAAGATATGTCAACCTGTCTTATATAAAACTCAACGATAAAAGCAAAGGATTCCAAATATTTTGACCTATTTACATTTTGGTTAACCTCGGTTTTTATCAAGGGAAGATAATCCACTACTGTCCCCCATTATGTTCAGTACTGAATTTATTGAATTAGATTAGTAAAATAATGTCATGCCAGCCTTTATGAAGCATAATGTTATTTTATTCAACGAGTTCAATACATAAAGTAATGAACCTACACGAATATAATACACTATTTATAACATTCACAAAGTAAGAACTGTTAACCACAGGCACGAGTATCGGACCTGGGAAGAAAAAATATGACCAGATTGATAAAAAAAAAAACGTGTTCATCTTAAAAGTGTCAAAAAAACAAAAACAAAAAAATCTAAATAATGACCCCCTTTAAAAATATACTAGAAGTTAAGAGAAGGCCGGAAACTCGAGCCTACGAGCAAGGCACTTACAAACTTGCTTGCATGATTTCAGTCGGCCATATTCCCTAGCCATGTAAGATAACTCCCTGTTTCCCTGTCTAATTCCACCAAATTATTCCCCTTTCAAATGAACTCAAAGAAGGGACATGTTAAAAAGACTTTGTATTTATTTATTCGATTTTTTGTTCAGAAACGGACAATTTTTTCTTTACCTTTGTTTAATTTGCTTTCTATCTATATATGGTTCCTATGGTAAACATATCAGTTTTGATGGTAAACAAATGAATTTTCTGAACCGAAAGTAATCTAACACACAGCGTTGCTGTCATCACATGTAAACAATACATTAAATCGGTAAGAATATTGAGATATTTGTTTGATTATCAATTTCAAATGCAATGTGTAGTTTATGTGTATTGTTTTAATGTGTCTGTCTGATATTTTAGTTGAAAAAGCCATGTACACTTAGTGTCGCTTCATAGCAACCGAGTTTAAAACGTGAGCGGTAACTGAACGAGATATGGCAAAGCGCATGTTCGCGCACTGACTTCCACTCTATCGAAATACTGCATATACGTAAAGCGAAAGTTCGTAAGTGCAAGGGATTCATTTCCCGGGCCGTTGTGAAAACAATTGTCCAGACAATTAAAAAAAAGTTTTATCACTATTTCACGTTTATATTAAGCTTCAAAATGAGACCAACATCAAGCTTCTAGCCGTTCATGAAATATCTAGGAAACGAGCGACTTCGTGCTTAAAATCCGTGGTAGACAGAATTGCGGCACAGCAATTCGATACGTAAACATAGACTAATACATGTATGTCAGCTGAGTATGGGTCAAAATCACTTGAATTTACTAAATAATATTACTAAATACATAAAGTTGGACCACTCACAACCGTCAGTAGCATCTGATGCACGCAAAATTCGAATTTCAAACCTTTCCACGGTCTTTAGATTACTTTCTACGCCATTGTCAATCAGCTGTTCGATATTTTGTAACGAGTCTTCTGATTGGCCAATAGCAACGAAAACCGCAACGTTTCACACAAGATGCCTAATGGCGTAGAAAGCGATTGAAAGACCGTGTAAATGTTTGAAACTCGAATCTCGCGTGTATTAGATGCTGCTGACGGCTGTGAGTTGTTCATCTTAATGTATTTAGTAATATTATTTAGTAAATTCAAGTAATTTTGATCCGTAGTCAGCTGACATACATGTATTAGTCTATGTTTACGTACCGAATTGTTGTGCCGAAATTCAGTCTACCAAGGATTTTCAGCACGAAGTCGCTCGTTTCCTGATAGATATTTCATGAACGGGAAGGGCTAGAGACTTTGGGTTGGTCTCATTCTGAAGCTTAATATAAACGTGAAATAGTGATAATAGTTTTTTTTAATTGTCTGGCCAATTGTTTTCACAACGGCCCGAGAAATGAATCCCTTGCCCGTAGGCTCGAATCTGGAGTTTCCGGCCTTCTCATAACTTACAGTATATTTTTAAAGGGGGTCATTATTTACATTTTTTTTACACTTTTAAGATGAGCACGGTTTTTTTTTATCAATCTGGTCATATTTTTTCTTCCCAGGTCCGATACTCGTGCCTGTGCTGTTAACAGAGTAAAATGAACCACTTTTACACAACGCGTCTTTGTTCTACTCACAATGATTACCTCCCTTGGCAGATTGTTCTAATAACATCAAACTCCTCAAAGTGATTACCTCCCTTGGCAGATTGTACTGATAACATAGGAGATTTATAAAAAAAAATACTTGACGTCAAAATAAAGGCCAGGTGAAGCATTACCTCTTTTCACGGGTACTGTTTTTGATAATGACTTCTGATGCTTGCAGACCGATCGAAAGCAATAATAGATATGAGTCGCGTCATGACAAAATCAACATAGTGCGTTTGTGACCAACATGGATTCAGACCAGCATGCGCATCCGCGCAGTCTGATCAGGACCCATGCTGTTTGCTATCAGTTTTTTTCTACTTGTAATAGAGTTGGTAAGCGAACAGCATGGATCCTGATCAGACTGCGCAGATGCGCAGGCTGGTCTGGATCCATGCTGGTCGCAAACCCATTATGTTGGTTTTGTCCTGACGCGGCTTATATACATGTATAAATAAGAAAAAGGAAATGAAATACTTTTTACCATCATTATTGTTTCACCTGTTAACGAGTAAAATTTTGTAACTCCTGTCACATTTTTGCAGGTAATAAAAACAGTGGTCACGATCACTAAACAAGATCAAAAGTTTGCGAGACCTTTTTAAAACAAATTTTCCTCTATTTACAGTGCAAAGTAATGTAGCTTTTGGTGTCATGGATACACTGGAGGAGGGTCAGTTTATTGAAGCGCCCACTGGGGAACTTTTCACTGACTTAGATTGGCAGAGTGGTAAACCGACCGGAAGTACTTCCAACAACTGTATTAGAATGCAGAGTGTTAGTACCTGGAAGATGGAAGACGTCAGTTGCACAAGTTCGAATAACTTCATTTGTGACTGTGGTGACGAAAGCACCTAAGTGGAAAATTGAAAGGTATGTTTTTATGCCCTTTTCCAAAAAGTTAATGTCATATAAAAGTTTATATAGTGGAAAATTTAATGGAATGTTTTTATGCCCTTTTCCAAAAATTTAATGTCATATAAAAGTTTATATAGTGGAAAATTTAATGGAATGTTTTTATGCCCTTTTCCAAAAAATTAATGTCATATAAAAGTTTATATAGTGGAAAATTGAAAGGTATGTTTTTATGCCCTTTTCCAAAAAAAATAATGCCATATAAAAGTTAATATAGTGGAAAATTGAAAGGTATGTTTTTATGCCCTTTTCCAACAAATTAATGTCATATTAAAGTTTATATAGTGGAAAATTGAAAGGTATGTTTTTATGCCCTTTTCCAAAAAATTAATGTCATATAAAAGTTTATATAGTCGAAAATTGAAAGGTATGTTTTACGCCCTTTTCCAAAAAATTAATGTCATATAAAAGTTTATATAGTGGAAAATTGAAAGGTATGTTTTACGCCCTTTTCCAAAAAATTAATGTCATATAAAAGTTTATATAGTGGAAAATTTAAAGGTATGTTTTTATGCCCTTTTCCAAAAAATTATTGTCATATAAAAGTTTATATAGTGGAAAATTGAAAGGTATGTTTTTATGCCCTTTTCCAACATATAAATGTCATATAAAAGTTTATATAGTGGAAAATTTAAAGGTATGTTTTTATGCCCTTTTCCCAAAAAAATAATGTCATATAAAAGTTTATATAGTTGAAAATTTAAAGGTATGTTCTTATGCCCTTTTCCTAAAAATTAATGTCATATAAAAGTTTATATAGTGCAAAATTTAAAGGTATGTTCTTGTGCCCTTTTCCAAAAAATTAATGTCATATTAAAGTTTATATAGTGGAAAATTTAAAGGTATGTTTTTATGCCCGTTTCCAAACATTAATGTCATATAAAAGTTTATATAGTGAAAAATTTAAAGGTATGTTTTTATGCCCTTTTCCAAAAAAGTAATGTCATATAAAAATTTATATAGTGGAAAATTTAAAGGTATGTTCTTATGCCCGTTTCCAAAAAAATAATGTCATATAAAAGTTTATATAGTGGAAAATTGAAAGGTATGTTTTTATGCCCGTTTCCAAAAAAATAATGTCATATTAAAGTTTATATAGTGGAAAATTTAAAGGTATGTTTTTATGCCCGTTTCCAAAAATTAATGTCATATAAAAGTTTATATAGTGGAAAATTTTAAGGTATGTTTTCATGCCCGTTTCCAAAAAAATTAATGTCATATTAAAGTTTATATAGGTATGTTTTTATGCCCGTTTCCAAACATTAATGTAATATAAAAGTTATACATGTATTTTGTGATCGGAACATCTACAACGTTTCAGTTTGTGTCGGTGAACATGTCACTCAGCTTTACATACTGGTACTTTACAAAACTATGTCGTCAAAAATTGATTTGATAATCTTCAATAAAACGACACTAGCTAGACATGTTCCAGATCTAAACGTAGCTAATGCTGAACTTAACTTATGCTGATCTTAATTCGTGCTAAGCTTAACTTATGCTGATCTTAATTAATGATAAGCTAACATTATGCTGATCTTAATTAATGATAAGCTAACATTATGCTGATCTTAATAAATGATAAGATAAACTTATGCTGATCTTAATTTATGTTAAACTTACATAATGCTGATTTTTATTTATGTCGAACTTAACTTATGCTGATCTTAATTTATGCTAAGCTTAACTTATGCTGATCTAAATTTATGCTAAGCTTAACTTATGCTGATCGTAATATAGCAAAACCAATTTAGTATTTACACATTTTACACGAAGAAAAAAAGGTTCTATGAAGTATTAAAATCTTTAGTTAAATGATAATTTAGCTTCATGATTATCTAAACGCATATTTTTTATATATGATTTCTCAAAATCATCATTTTTCTGTATAGAAAAAGACGAACTTAACCTGCAAGGTTGTATTCATATTAATGTCTCTTATTTAAATATTTAAATCGTTCCATCAGTCACTTCTGAACTTTGATTCTAATAATATTATGAATATGAATGTTCATTTTACAATCTTGAAGCAATAACTTTATAAATTAAGAACGGTTAAACTTATATCACGTTTAGATGGTACATTTATAAATTTAGTTAATTTATTTGAAATCATCCCTTGAAGAACACACACTTATACATACACAATGTTGTATTTTTATTTTTCAGTGCGATAGAGCGATGGCGTATGGCCAAAGAAAATGAAACATATTACATCAAATGAAAGAAATTATAACAATTATAGGTAATAAAAAAATATCGAATCAAAATTGTGTGTTACTTGCGTCTTATTTCTCCAAAAAGATAGAGTCAGATTTAAATCTATACATGTATAATTTATAGATGTATGTGAGCTGAGTTTATTAGAACACAATGATACGGTGGCTGATTTATGCCTTGACATACTTCGGCTCCGCGGGGACGCCGACCAAAACACGAAAATATATAAGTGGCGAGTGTCGTATTTTCGTGTTTTCGCATTTGCGCCCCGCGACGCGAAAGTACAACAAAATGTTGACTTAAAGTATATCAGAAACGTTAACTTTGTCGTATTTTCGTCCGGCACCCCGTACAAATCAGCCACCATTGCTAAATGACCTTGACCTATTTACGCATAAACGGTGACCCCCCCCCCCGGAACTGTAATTTCATTATGTTGAATTGGGCAATATAAATAATATAAATGATAGCAACACAGGTATATCTATCTACTCTACCATTTATTTGTCCATACGAGTCCGCAATCTAACAATCAATGAATAAACATCAATTCTAGATATGAGCCGCGTCATGTCAAAACCAACATAATGGGTTTGCAACCAGCATGGATCCAGACCAGCCTGCGCATCCGCGCAGTCTGATCAGGATCCATGCTGTTCGCTTACAAACCCTATTACAAGTAGAGAAACTGATAGCGAACAGCATGGATCCCTGATCAGACTGCGCGGATGCGCAGGCTGGTCTGGATCCATGCTGGTCGCAAACCCATTATGTTGGTTTTGTCATGACGCGGCTCATATTTTGTAATTGGCTTGCTGTGAATTGGAATTTGATAGAAGTATAAGCAATACATTTCATTATGCAAATACTACGATCCACAGCAATCATCAAAAATAGTCTTTCAGACTGCAAGGACATTTTCTGGAAAACTATCTTAGCCACTACTACTCAATCAGTGTAAGTGAATTGGCCTAAAATAGGCATACTATTTATAGAACCTAGACATTTCAAATATTGATAAAAACAATGGAAATCATTTAAATATTCATATAAAATACTTCTTGAAAAAAGTGTTGAAAGAGTTCTAAGTGGTTTAGTATTAACATTAATATGATGAATACTAATATTTTTATTATTGAACGATTAAGTGAGCTGGGTCACGACAAAACCAACATAGTGGGTTTGCGACCAGCATGGATCCAGACCAGCCTGCGCAGTCTGATCAGGATCCATGTTGTTCGCTTACAAACCCTATTACAAGTAGAGAAACTGATAGCGAACAGCATGGATCCTGATCAGACTGCGCGGATGCGCAGGCTGGTCTTGATCCATGCTGGTCGCTAACGCACTATGTTGGTTTTGTCGTGACGCGGCTCAAACATTGTCTGCTATTAATTTTGTAGATTCTGTATCTCACACCGACAACGTCCATATTATAATTATAACATGGCGACTTATCACATATGATACTTAGTATTATTACCATAGTTATTTTTGGTAGTTCAGCAGATCCTTATATTATGCAGAAGAAATCGACAGACGTCGCATATACGCTTTCTTTCGACTGTTTTTGTAATTCCAATAATGAGTACATTTTTGTCATGTGCGGGGCTGGTTTTCCCTGACGTCATTATTTGATGCTGATATTGCTGCTCTCAGAAGGGCCATTAGTGATAATATAGTCCAATCGGAACATCCTCGACTATTATCTATAATAACGGAGACTTACGGAAAGGGCCGAAAAGTTGCGATTGATAAAGTCCTATTTCTCTTAAAACCACCTGAAGCTTAGGTATGAAACTCGTTGTCAGAGCTTAGTCGATGTATAGAAGAAGTGCATTGTATATCTATATGTGAAGAAATTGTCCTCTTGAAAGAGTTATGACATTTTATAATATGAGCCGCGTCGAGACAAAACCAACGTAATGAGTCTGCCACCAGCATGGATCCAGACCAGCCTGTGCATCCGCGCAGTATGATCAGGATCCATGCTGTTCGCTTACCAAGTCTATTACAAGTAGAGAAACTGATAGCGAACAGCATGGATCCTGATCAGACTGCGCGGATGGGCAGGCTGGTCTGTATCCATGCTGGTCGAAAACCCATTATGTTGGTTTTGTCATGACGCGGCTCATATTATAAAATGTCATTTTATTGACATGCTGTATGATTTACGTGACGTACAAGTAGAAATGCTTGCTTTAATCATGGAGATTTATATATAATGAAATAATAATAATAATAATAATAATAATAATAATAATAATAAAGACTTTATTTAACGAGAGAACTCATTTGGATAAACATATCAATCTTCCATGAGGCCCTCAACAAGGAACAATATAATTTAACATATTCAAACTATTAAAATACTAAATGTAAATACATACAGGAGATTATCAATTTGTATACATCAATGCGTGATAAAACCTCAAGTATAAGGTTTTAAAATGGTTAACAGATGTAGCAGACTTAATATAATCAGGAAGGCCGTTCCAAATACAAGATCCAGAATAAACAAAAGACTTACGAAATTGTTCAGAATTTGGTCTAGGGGTATAAAGTTGAAAATCAGATGATGAACGCAAAATTCGAGTATGAACATCTGACGATAAAATGAAATTATTCAATAAATAGGAAGGCGCCTGATTATTCATTATTTTAAACATCATAATAGCTTTTTGAAAAACAACCCTCTGTGAAAAGGTCATCCAGCGGAGTTCAGAAAAAAGTTCAGCAGATGGAGTGTCATAATCTTTGTCTAGAATTAGTCTTGCAGCTCACTTTTGGAACTTAATGAAACAGTCTTATATATAATAAACAATTTTAAGGTAGTTTTACTGTAATGCTTTTCCGCGAAATAATTTCTAACATCGACCAATATCGTAAACAATTGGTCATTTCCGGAACGTTATTTTTCACAATATTCAGTATTCATTAATTTTCAACCGTTTAAAATCGGAAGTTAGTACATAGCGATAAAAGATGAGTGATTGTAAATAATTTAATACCCAAGACTTTGAAAAGATAAAGTTCCGGAAATACCCGATTAGCTACGATATTGGCCGATGGCGAGAAAGCATTACAGTAGCACTTACTTAAGTTTTTCTTTACAACCTTGGTATTTCTTTTAGATACATCAATGTATCATGTCTTCCATAAGAATGCGTTAGTTCCAGTTATTGCTCATTTTACTAACAAACGCATATTAAAAATTACATACAAAACAACAGTATCTATGGAGATAAATACAACAAAAAGTGATATTTTGATAAAAACATTTTTTTATTAAAATAACGGAATTATGGAAAATATAACAACACCACACAGCAAACGCCTGGTAGACAGATCGGTCTTTCTGAAATTAAAGATATGGAACATCTATTTATAAATTCAGATTACCTTGAACTCATATAAATGTCAGTGTAATGTTGAGATTTTTTTTCATTTCTGATTAGAATGGTGTAGATCGTGGATTATATGTAATTTTATAATCAGAGACTTTGTGCCTGGTACCTTAAATGAAGTTGTGCATAGCCAAATTTATCTTGCATGAAAAACAGGGCACTTTGGGATTTAAACTCCTAGTCATGGCCGGCAAGTGATATTAAGAGACATGTGATTTTCTATTTATATTGATACAGTGATAGTATGCTAGTAGTATTCATTCGTGTCTAAAAGTCTAACATACAGAAATTTGTTATCTTTATTGTTACCTCTCTTTGTATAAACATGCTTGAAAAGAAAAAGATCTTACAAGTTGAAATTAATATCCTCCGCCAAATTTCTTTCCACCTCCAAATCCATAACCCTGACTGTAGCCACCGACTCCACTTGATACAAATCCACTTTGACCGTACCCGCCGGCTCCACCGCCGTAAACGCCGGCTCCACCGCCGTAAACGCCGGCTCCACCGCCGTACCCTTTACCATATCCAGAACTGAAATTTTGTATGTTTGATATGAGAATATGTTGATGAGACTTTATATATCAGTGTGTATTCTATTTCGAATCCTCGGCTAATTTCAACAGGAATGTATATATAATCTGTTCTTGTTTTTTTCCATCAAATAACCCATGTATTATAAACCTGTTACTGGATTTTTGACAGCACAAAGGTCTGCAACAAATCAGATTTGCAGTAAAATAATAAATGCGGTATTTCTTAGTCTGATCACGCGACGCACACCATGCACCGTATCTTGAGCAATATTTTACCAAAAATTGTGCCTCGAATTGTTTTTTTAATTAAAAGAGGAAACTTGTTCAGTACCACAGGTAATTAGAAATAAAAATAATAATGATAATTAGTGCTATTGACTTTAGCATGACAAAAAGAAAATCAATTTAGGCCTACCCTCCGATTCCAGCGCTGATTCCGCCATAACCACCATATTTCTTGCCGATGCTTGGATATTTTCTGTAGCCACCGGTTCTTCTACCGTATCCCCCGTACACACCTGAACCGGAACCTCCATAGCCAATGGTGTATCTGCCATAAAAATCATCATCATCATCCCCGTAGTAACCACCGACGATACCACCGCCGATACCACCGACGATACCACCGCCGATACCACCGACGATACCACCTCCGATAGCTCCACCTCCGTATCCACTGCCATATCCTGTTCCAATACCACCCCTCTGATATCCTGAAAAACATATGTAACATGTTTTGATAATGTTAGATATTAATAGCAATACATATTTATCTAACAATGCTAGCCGGTGGGGCGTGAAAGAGATACCTCTCATGAATATTCTAAATCAAATCGAGACTCCAGTTTTCACTTTTTAAAGTTTTGGTTTCATGTCCAAATTTTTTGTTTCACTCTTTTGATAAAAATAAGCATTCATTTTCAAAACGTGAACACGCATAATATCAGGTTACCCCTTATTCTTTGAAAGCTGGCAACTTCAAGTTTTCTTTTTGTGTAAGACGAAAGCTAAAGAAAATATTAGTTTGATAATAACCTCCAAAACCTCCTCCAATTCGAATTCCACCGCCGAACTTTCCGTGTCCACCGCCGTAACTTCCTCCAATTCCACCATATCCAGATCCACCACCGTATCCGCTACTAATTCCTCCGTATCCTTTTCCGTATCCACCTCCGTAGCCTCGACTGTATCCACCGATTCCTCCACTAATCATTCCACCACTGTATCCACCACCATATTTCTTCCCATATCCACCACCATGACCGCCTCCGTATCCACTACCTCCGATACTCCCGCCGTAACCGCCACCTATACTGCCGTAACCGCCACCGAATCCTTTTTTAATCGGATATCCTTTGCTCTTACGGCTGTAATAGGATGCGTTGACGGCGAGGGCGCCGACCAACAATAGGGCTAAGTGTTTGATCATGTTGTTGTCTGAAATGGGGGGAAAATGAAAAGTATATATACACAAACGAAACGACAAGGTTATACCTAAAAACGGACAAAAGGAAAATACCGTGTTTTATTCAATTATAGAGTAGATATTCTTTACATAGGTTACAAGTTTTTTTCCCTACATGTCCTTTAACTATTGAACTTCATGTCTTTTACTATATTTTAAAATCTTTATTTCATATCAGTCTTTAAAGAATCAACACAACATGTTTCATGTTACATTTACACATTTATTTCTATACATGGTTTGTATTTAGCATTTAGCTTGCTGTTACCGTTGTTTTCGTTTCGCTAGCACTGATTTATAAGAATATTTTGATATGAAACTTGTATTTGACTCGAGATGCGAGGAGGCCGCCTTGCGTGATCCCCGGGAAAGCCAAACAAATACAGGTTATAGAGTTATAGATCAAGATATTTTTAAAATGACACCACCACCCCCTCTTCCCCCATCCCATCCCCTCAAAAAAGAAGAGCGACAGATGTAAAGTAAGGTATGTATATACGAGAATTGTATGTAAGTATACTTGTTCAAAATGCAGGAAAATCTCGAAATAACGTAAAGGGCTACTAGTCTTATATATAATTTTAACGCGTGGCTGTTTTTATATGTCTTTTAAAACAAAAAAGTTATTCTACTTTTTCATTACATACATTTAAGTTTGTCTTTTTGGTCGGAAAATAAAGAAAACTTTAGGAAAACGTATCTTTATATACATATTAAATAAGCTAGTGCTCATATAAATTATGTGCGCCATTTCAAATAAACAGTGTTACAAAAATACAAATGATTTTGTTATTCGAATACGAGATACAAATATTTTCTTTTTTTTTTTGCTAAAAATTTTAAAAATGATAAAAAAATTGTAAATGTAAACAATTTACTTAGGAATTTATATTAAATAATCACAGTCAACTAAAAAAGTTGGTATTATGTTTGAAAAATCTTGAAGTAGATATATACACTTAGAATAAACAAACGAATCCTAGATATTTGCATTAAAAAAGTCGAAGAAAAGAAGTTGTATAAACAGATCATTTAAGATATTTAGTAATTATTTTCATTAAAAAATCACGGTGAACAAATTATATAGTTGGTATTTACATATCTTACATTAACATATTTAACCCCAATTATTTTTATTATTTTTAAGATGTACAAAGTAAAATGATATAAATATGTTTGTATTATTAGTATTATTATGTAAATAAACAGTCGACATTCAATCTCAGCAGTTAATAAAAAATGTTAGCAATCTAGCTGAATGATAAAATCTTTAAGTAAAACAACAACAACAAAACAACAACAAAAGTCATATGTAAAGTAGTAAGACGCGGAATATACTAGAATAAATAAGACAACTGTGATATAAGGATATAACAAAACCTTACCTGGTGGTGTCCAGTGACTACAGTGGTGTTTGTTGTTTATTTTCTTTGACTATATATACACAATCAGCTGATTATTGCGCAATAATTTAATTAGATGATCTGTCAGTTATGTCTATATGTTTCTATGTATTGTGTCTAGTTCAACGTGCATTATGTCTGACAGGCTGGACTCACGGGTAATTATTTTACTAGTAAAAACATGCGAGCATTACGCAATATGACAACCCGTCAGGATGTTACATTTTCTGTAATTACTTTACTGTTTAATGAGTATACATGCACTTACAGCAATAAAACTTCGGTTAAATGAAAGTAAATCTGTCATACAACGGGTAAAGCTATATGTAATGAACATCTTTACTGACAATAGCTTGGGTATAATAAAACGTTTAGACTGATATACTTTATAACATGGAAAAGTAAACAATAAATCATTATCATTAATATTATAAAGATTTATGGCGGATATTTTGTTAACCTTCTGTTTAAATCTGCCTGTATACTTGACCACAGGGACTGAGATAACGTTAAAAAACGTCACAATGCGAAGAGCTGACGTTTTGTTACGTTACGTTACGTTTTATCGTGTGGCTTGTTTGTTATATTTTTCTTCGACATAACATATTTTATCTTCTTCTAAAACCCGATTTTCTTTTCATTTCTGGTGCCCCATTATAGTTACTATGGAGATACAAATTAAATCCCAACCGCATTTTGCTTCTTTTGTATTTTGGCAGTTTGTACAGTTATATAGTAATTTGATATTTTGCATGAAACTCAAAATACCACATTGTTAACATATCCAAAAACATATTTCACATTCATTGTTTTTATCTTAAGGTGATAAACATTTTACATGTTCTAAGTCCATTGCTAGGACATGATAAAACACTTGCTTTGCCCATTTCTACGGAAAGACAGATTATTTTTCATTTCTGAGGGTTAATGCGCCGGATATGAGAAAACTCTTAGCTCTTGATCATTTTTCAATTTTCCAAACGATTTTATGTCATTATGGCATTTATGGAATAAGGTAAAACAAATCGGTTATTTCAGACGACATTGCATTCGCTTTATCAACCAGTAAAAAGCTGTATTTTCAGATGATTTGTACTGTATTTTACAAGTTTTGCCTTATCCAAAGTAGTATAATTATTAAGTTAATATTTTTGCTGTTATTTGACACAAATTTTGCGAGAAAAGCTCAGATATCGCCTGTCCCAATAAGGTGCTATTACAATTACTGCATCAACACTCTGTATAATTAATAACTATTTAAATAGTGCACAAGTTAGCATTTAAAATGGCCTCCAAAATTAAGTTTTTTGTGCATACGTTCTCAATTCAAAATTATAACGATTTGATGATATACTATGTACAAATAAAAACAGTTCTATTCGGTTCTGTATCCCAATATATTGTTATATTAATTATACAGGTTATATTTACCGACAGTATGGTCAATGATCAGTTGTAAACACGGGTTATATAACAACTGACCGTTTATAGGAGGCCATATTACATGTTAAAAGTTTGTTTATAATACATGTACTTGAATATGATAGTGCACGATTTTTTTTATGAAAATAAAAATCAGTCCATAATTTAACAGACGCAGTTTATACGAGTATTACCATTGTAATATGAATTACACCATGGCCCTGTGAAACGCGCGTTAAAAATATCTTAAAAAATATCAATACTTATTACATCTCTTTTTTTAAAGCAACTCGCTTTACTATAAGAATTGATTTTATTGACAATTATTAACAAATGTATTTTGTTTCTTATCATGAATATATGCTTAAATGCACAGTTTAATATATATTGTATTTATGAAAATTATCATATAATTATAATTCTAACATAATGGCCATGTTAGTATTTCATGTTTTATTATTTGTATGATCGAGTATTATGTGTTTATTGATGAGTCTCAATAAAAATTAGTAAAATATATGATAGTGAAACTTTGATTATAATGAATGTCTATACTGTATATAGATAAACAAAACAAACGATTGTAAGGGAATATGTTCACCCATTATTTTGTGTTCTTGTTGATTGTGTATTAGCTAAAACCATCATCAGCAGTCATTTGTTGACACACAGTAATGTCTGTAAACAGACTAAAACAGACAGGTTCTGAATAAGTTGTCAACGTCAGAGTAAATATGAGCCACGTCACGACAAAACCAACGCAATGCGTTTGCGACCAGCATGGATCCAGACCAGCCTGCGCATCCTTGCAGTCTGATCAGGATCCATGCTGTTCGCTATCAATTTCTCCGTATACTTGTAATAGGGTTTGTAAGCGAACAGCATGGATCCTGATCAGACTGCGCGGATGCGCAGGCTGGTCAGGATCCATGCTGGTCGCAAACGCATTACGTTGGTTTTGTCGTGACGCGGCTCATTTGTTTTATAGATCAACGGAGGCTGTGGAAACTGTCTGTGCTAAAATTCGTCTGTATTTGTATTTAAAGAGCCTGTAAATATTTTATTTATGGAAGCAATTAGTTTTATAAAATTTGATAAAAGACCAACAAATTGCTTATAGTTTGTCTCGTACGCATTGTACGTAACTATATAGCTACCGCCTCCGTGGTCAAGCGGTTAGAGTCGATGACTTCTAATCCAGTTACCTCTCTGGCGTGGGTTCGATCCCCGGGAGATGCTTTGGTAGTTTAGCGCGGAGGAAAGTTGTCTAGTACTGGTGTAACTCTCCAGGAACGATGGTTAGGAAACTACCCGCCTATATGACTGAAATACTGTTGGGAAAAGGCGTAAAATGAAACAAACAAACAAAAATCTCCTTGACGACAGACTACCTCCTTCACGACAAAACTGTCTCGCAGAACAAATATCCTATATTTTCTTTATTAACTATTGTTTTGATCTGATTTCAATTTTACTTCATTTCTAGACCTTATATCTACTTGAAACGTATTTGTTTTTTATCTAAATCTCAGTTTAGATGAAAATTGGAGGAAAAATAATCTGTTTCATGATAAAACAGTCCATTTCAACGTTGAATTCGCTAACTGCATGGAAATGCCGCTGCAACTACATTTCAAACACAATTATAACAGCTTTATGTTTTCTAGAAACTTTAATCAAATCTACATGGCATAGCATTCTCCGAATTTTGATATTTGCATGGTGTAAAGTTTACAAAATATATAAAAAATGCAAACACTTGACACTTGGTTTTAGCGACATGAACTAGCTCGGAAGTAGCGATAGAGCGATTTACCGTATACCTCCGAAAAAAGGTAGCTCTATCATTTACCAGGCGTGATATTTGAAATGAACATACAGTTATGGCATAGGCAATAGACATATTTGAAATGAACATACAGATATGGCATAGGCAATAGACATCTTTTATATAGAATTGTCAATCATAAAAACATTGCCGATATGCGTACGCGACAAACTGTTAGCAAGTTATCGGTCTTTATCAAATTTTATAAAATTTATTGCTGTTTAGTTCAGAATAAATTCTATAAAATTTGATATAATACATATAGCGGACAATCACTGTTTTGTCTAGCTTAGTCTATCTCGTATATTTTTGTAAAAATAACCTTATGACGGTGACGTCATATTTTAACGAGTGGTTGACAGATGTCGCACTGACTGTTAATGGTGGCCCAGGGGTAATGTAAAAATTTTGGAATCCCCTTCTTTATCATAAAACTGTCGTCCTAGTTATTGTTTTCTTTAATCATTTATATAATAAATATTCATTCTGTATTTTTTTTATTTATACTTTAAGTTTATAGTTTAAACATTTATTACCACGTTAACGTCACAATAATCATTTTATTTTAAATAATGTATGTTAAACAACATTTGTACATAAAAAGTGAACATATATTTCATTTATCCAACAATTTCGTTCACCGAACTGAAACAGAAAATAAAAAATAAATCAAATTTTAATATTTACTGTACATGTTCATACATTTTTTTGCAAACTAGCATCGAATATAATTTTCCGAATTAAAGTTTGTTTGAATAAAACATACTTCTGTCATTTTTTATGCTAACATATTATTTGGATAGTATTATTTTTTTCCCTTTAATAAATTAAATAAAATTTAAAGATTTTTAGTCGTTGTAAAACGAGGGAAGATTCGAAATGTGCCGGTTTTTTCCAACTGTACAATGTGTTACTTGGATGATATACAAACAAATTTCAAATCCCACAATTCATCAATAAATGTCTTCTTCCCCTATCCCAAACCACCTCTACACCGGGAAAAAAGGTAAAAGGAGAAACCAATGAATCTCTTTCATAGGCTCATAGGTAGACACATGATATACAGCGATTAGTGCTCGCAAATTCCGCTCACTTTCCATCAATATACAAACTTAATTTTATCGTATTAGGCACTTTTTCTAGTCACGATAAAGAAATCGGGAAAAGTTCAAAGATCGAAATTTAGCTTTACGCTTTTTAAACGAATATTTAGCCAATATATATAATGAAACCTTTCTTTCATACCATTTTTCTATGTAATTCTGACCATTGACCAAATATTTTGTTGTTGTCTAACCTTGGGTTTTAAGTCACAAAAACAAAAAACTTACGCTGTCTTCTGACAAATGTATCTCTGGAAAGCATGGCAAACCTTGTCATTCCACAGAGGTTTTTTTGGCCCAGAACCATCGCCGTCAAGAATCTCCATGCAATTTTCATTACCACCGCTATTGCTTGGGTTACCAGGGTGCCACGTGCTGTATGTGACCTTTTCATTGGACGTAAACCATTTCCATTCACCTTCGACTTGAAGGTCATTTCCACCAACCCAGTAAGGAACTGTTAAAACAAACAGTTACATTTTTTCCTTTTTTTTTTCTTTTTTTTTGTGCAATACTTAACGAAACAAAGATGATTATATAAGTTCAATAAGTTACAAATGAGATCCAATGGTATATACTGTGTATCAGTTGTTGGCAGACGTCATTAACCAAACTCCTCACAGTGATTACTTCCCTTGGCAGATTGTAATCACTGCCTTCACAGACGTCACATGATGATGAAAGTCACCAAACTCCACGCAGCGGTTACTTCCCTTTATAAGTACACTAACTATCTATGCCGAAGAATTAAGGGGAGATCACAGCGTGGAGATTGGAAAGTCACATGACGTAAATGTAAATATCGACCGTTACATAGAAAATCTAACGTCATTTTTCACGTTATGTTTTATTTAATTATTTTAAACTTTTTGTACCTACGTCCGTTATATTTTATCAAAAAATTATCAAAAGTATACAAAATAATGAAAAATAAATTAAAAAGCTAAAAATTATAAAATATCAAAATATTGATATTTAAACGTTTGTGATGGCAGAGATATCTTTACTGGTTAGGGGAGATCGCTGCGTAAGAGATTGGTCATTAACAATAACTTAAAAGTTATTAAAAGAAATTAAACAAACAACATAAAATATATATAAAAGGCAAAGTTCTCTTAGCTGAAAATAAAGCGCTTGAAAAATTTATGTCATTCTTTAACTCATTTACCAGAAAGTAAACTTTCTTTTAATCTTTAAATGAACGAAAAAAAGACTTGTCGATGTGAATAAAAGAAAAGAAGTCTAATCTATAATGATAATTGAACTTACAACCAAGGGAGTTAACTTCATTTATGATAAAATTGTTTTCACTGGCGTCTGTTATTTCGGCAAGATTAGCACTGTAGAGTTTTTCACAGGAAATCTGAAAACACGTGACTTAGCATGAAAAGATACTGTCAACGACACCATAAAAAGTCAATTAGTTTAAATATTCAATAATTTAAGTGTTTAAGCGGCCATCTTTATTAACAAATCATGTCATGTAATTTTATTCGGTTAAGTTATTATTTCACAAGGTCGGCTTCTGCTCACTAGGGTGACTGTATTTGATAGTCTTCTAAGTTTGCAGTATCCTCACAGGCTAGAATTTAATATAACTTGTCAAACATGATCAACTATCCTGGCTGGCAGACAGTACATAAAAGTTGTTACGGTTGTGTGCCCACCTACTTTCATAAGTATATATCACAACAACCTCTTACGACTGCGTAAGGGAAGCTCAGTGGTCAAGAGCGTTGTTATTTTTACTTGTAAGCGGAAGGTTCGTATCTCAGCAACGACCGGATATCTTCTGGTGTATTTGCATCTTTCTGGTACGAACTAAAATCTAAAACTTCTCTTCAGATAGTATTCAGTAACAACAGATGAAGAAAATAAGATTACCTCGGCATCTAGCCATGTTTCTGTATCATGACTGAAGTGGTAACATGAATCACCATGTTTGATGAACCCATCACCACATTGACCTAGTACTAAAATAAAATAACGAGAATATTAAATGAGTGTAGATTCAATACTGAATATATTGGCGAGCATGATATTATTTCATTTTAAAGAGTGTTATAAATTTAGTAATGAACCTACACGACTATAATATTCTTACACAACCATAATATTCTATTTATCACATTACATCTCGTCAAAAAATATATATATACATCGCCGTGCCCTACCATTTTACAGAGTTGCAAAAGCGACACGGGTACAGTAAACTTCACTTATAGCGAACACGGATATAGCGAACTTCCTGTTATAAGGAACAATTTATTTTAGCCCGAATTTTCCCCGTCCTCAGCAGATCGCTGCATATTGGATTTAGTTGATATTTTACGCTGAAAAAAAAAAGATACATGACAGGCGATGTACCCTATTCGGACAGCTTGTCTAGCGAAAATTAAGTACAAAATAAAAGGATATATCGTCAATTTGAAGAAGTTTCTCACAGTACCCAAATTAAATTGATGGTTTATTTTTGAAAATTTAGCAGTCATTGCTTAAATCATGTGGTGGGATCATCAGCAAGCTTGAAAATCGGACAAATGATAATTAATGTCGCGGCGTCTTCAATTAATTAAAGCAATTCAGTTTCATATGATGTTTTCATAAATAATATATAATGTACGCAATAAGATTAATAAGTTCTTCATCAAGATATATTTCAGTTGTACCAGCGGGTACACCTATACCGGAAGTGGGTGTAACACGTCACAATCTCGGTCTCGTCTGTCTCGCGAGAATGATAGAACGCCAAAATGGCGGCGCCAATGAACTTATTTCTCAAGTAAAAAATAGTGTCTTTAAACACGAATTTCTCACTTATAGGATTGATTTCAACAGAAAAACTGTCATGGTACCTCTTTTTAAATGATGAATATTTATATAAGACAGACATCAATCCATCCATTCCTATTCCTTTAATATAAAAATATACGGTTATAGCGAACACGGTTATAAGTAATTATCGCTTATAAGGAACTCATTTCTTAGTCCAAATTTAGTTAAATGTACCGAAAATTACTCTTTTATAACGAACTCCAAAATTTTGGCTATCTGTAAATATTAACTTTTGTTTTCATTGACAGGGGTTAAGATTCGGTCGAATGTACTGTACTTCAATATATTTATAAAAATTAATTTGTATAGCAGTCCGTAATAGTTTTCTATTTAGGATATTTATAGCATAAGTTTTTGTCACCAAGGTAAAATGGTTATTCCATTTATTCTATTATTTTCTTTCTTTAATAGTTTTGCTTATGATAATTTATAGCCGGTTTTCAACATAATCAAGCACCTTTGCAAGCATAATCCATTGAAAACTACAAAGTACGCTTGATTGAAATGAAAAGAAATTTACATCTTTCATTAGTAAAAGTCACCCTTAAAATATAATAGAAGATCTTCAATATAAAAGGAAGGAAAAATCGAAAATCTTGTTTACTCTTAATCATGGAAAGAAATCGAAAAGCACTGAGTTTAGAAACAAAATATGATATTCTATGAGAAAGGGAGTAGAACTAAAACTGAAATAGCAAACAATTTTCAATATGCAAAAAGTACGCTCATGGGTATTGTGTCTAAAATGAAAAAAAAGAGACTATTTTTTTCTTAATCAAATGCTCTCCCAAATGGCAGACGACGGTAAACAATCAGTTCGTTATATGTAAATCTGTTCCCTATACGAACTTTGATACAAAGAACTAATTCGCTATATGCTTACAAGGAACTCCGGATATAAGGAACATATTTTGAATGTCCCAATGAGTTCGTTATAAGCGGAGTTTACTGTATATGTTAAATTGAGATATTATTGTGAATATAGTAAAGAAAAGTCGGTTTTAAACAAGCTTTACAACATACAATACAACATCACAAACAAACTTTCTCGTATAATGATAATAACCTCTCCTAAATAATGTTTGTTAACCACAGGTTGTCGTCCTTTGACGAAAATATTTCCAATTGAGCTTGTACTATGAATAATAGTTGAGTGGCACTGACCGCATTTTTTACAAATTATTCATATATAACATACTTATATAAATGTCCATATAGCTATTATCAGACAGGTCATGTATTAGTGCTCTTAAGCTGAATTTTGAAATATGATTTAGTTCAAAAAGTTATCGACAATATTTCAGAACACATATTTGTAGTAAAATTGTTTTATATAAGTAGAGATATAGTTTCTATTTCTGATAATTGATATAAATGTATGTGACAGTACCTGGTGTGTGGCAGCACAGGGCAAGAAGAGCCATAAACACCGGTAACACAGGCATAACTTATGTACTAAAATAAATATGTTCCAATTATGGTACAATCTCTTATCAGATGTGTTTAAGGTTGAACACCACTAGATGTCAGTGTATATACATGTATGTCTGTTCTATAGGTCCTTATTTTTTTTTCACTCCAACAAGTCACAATTGAATGACGTAATTTGTTAATAAAGGTGAACAAATTAGTACTAATCAATGTTACAGCACTCGTATAGAGTATTGCCCGTATTAGTGGGTTTGGAGATGAACTATGTATATAAGTTTGTGTGGTGTTTTTTTTAATTCATGATTAAGTCGTACATAAATATTAATTTTCATTAATTGTAACCCCCATCCATCGGAACCAACCCCTGATTATTTGCATTGACTTTGCTGTCTCCATTTCATAGATTACGCTTGCGCGAAATGTTACTTCCGTTGTTAGGGAAATTCCTATAGATGAGCGTTGTTTTATACCAAGTCAAGAGGTCTTATTTTTTATTTTACCTTAGCTTAACGTCTTCTCTCTTTAAAGTCTATATAGAGACCAATAGGCTTGCACTCTTACCCCAGACAATATGTTCTTATTAACAGATACAAAAATCATGGCCGAGTGGTTAAGGTCGTTGACTTCAAACCACTTGCCCCTCACCTCTGTGGGTTCGAATCCTGACAGGGACTTTGGATTCTTTCATGTGAGGAAGCTATCCAGCTAGCTTACGGAACGTCGGTGGTTCTACTCAGGTACCCGTTCGTGCCTGAAATAATGCACGGAAGGGCACCTGATGTCTTCCTCCACCATGTAGTAAAGCTGGAACGTCGCGATATGACCTATACGTTGTCGATGTGACGTAAAACCCAAAACAAAACAAAGATACAAAAGTCTTAAAACATCACGTGTTTACTCTGACACAATACATCAAAAATAAACAAAGCCGGCTTGTTTTCATCTCCAAATTAACACAATTCAGTATAAAATTAGTTTAAACTAAATTATTTGACAAAAGAAATAATCTTAAAATAGTTGAATCAGCAAAAAAAGAAATATATATTTAAATTTATGTAGATTTTAATATGAACAACAGAGAGCATATTTAGTTTACAATTTTATTTAGATTCACCACATGTTTTGATAAACAACTGAATTTATTCATAACTAGCCTACGATCTGTTCATCGTTTCTGAAAATAGTAAAAACGCTGATAAATGTTTACTACAACAGATACTATGCGGAAGAAATTAACCTGCTTAACCTATGCAATGGGCCTGCCTGGCTTTGAGATTGGAATAGTTCATTCAAAGTTTAAGTGTTTAATGGGTAGTGTATAGTTTGTGTATAATGTATAATTGTGTTAGTCTATAAAGAATGGTAATATATAAGAATGTAATAACATGACTTAATCTAGATAAATATGAATAAATGTAATACATAAGTAAACATTGTCAGGGTACTAATACACTCTGTTTCATTGACATCATGAAGTGCAGTACATGTATGATTGACATGCGCTATTTTTTAAAGTTTTCCTACTCACACTGGTTTTTCACATATATATTTTATGAATGTATGACACGTCAGATCATTCCACGATGTTCCGTGAGGGCCATGCACAATTTCCAAGCAGTCCTCCGTGCCACCACTAGGGTTTCCAGGATACCACGTGCTATACGTGATGTCACTATTTGACGTATACCATTTCCACTCGCCATCTACCTGAAGATCACTACCGCCTATCCAATAACGGTCTAGAAGAAATAATCAATCTTAAAATTATTCCAAAATGATAACAGCTCCAAATGATTCCCCTGACTTTCTTTTTAGAAATGACGTAATAACGTATGCTCCAACGTTACAAATGAAGTCGGATGAACTATCCCAATTTTTTTCTGATGCCTACAAATGGTAAATTAAATATAGTGCAAAAAAAATTAGTAAATCGAATGAAATAGAACCAGCACTCAGAGGTTAGACCAAAACTCAAACGGAGAATCTTCTTTCTTCTTCTATTCAATACGTCCGCATCAATACAGTATAGGTCACATGGCGACTATCCAGTTTTACTGGTGAAGAAAGATCTTAGGTGCCCTTCCGTGTATTATGTCAGGCAAGAATGGGCACCTGAGTAGAACCAACGACGTTCCGTAAGCTAGCTGGATTTCTTACCCGCATAAAAAGATCCAAAGTCCCTGGCGGGATTCATTCCAACAGCGGTTAGGGGCAAGTGGTTTGCAGTCAACGACCTTAACCACTTGGCCACGGCCCCTGAGATATATATTGTTTGATATATTTTTAACAAGAAAACTGAAATGGATAAATACCTCCAAGGGCTGCAACCTCTTTGAGTAGAAACATGTTCTCCTTCGCGTCAGCTATTTCGGCAAGATGGCCACCGTAAATCTTTTCACAGGAAATCTTAAATAAATAACGGTGTTCATATTCATTATATTTTAGGCATGGTAATGCTATGTTTAAACTTAATGCGATACATATCGGGTCGGGAAAATATCGGCATGGCACTTTTGATGTGTGTTTTTTTTAACTTAATATCAAATTAACGGAATCGAAAGCCGTGTCAATATATACATAGGTTTCAACATCGTAATACAAGGAAACTGACGAGGTTCACCGAAGTTGGCCGGGCTTTAAACGAGCCACTAGAATATGATCCGATATGATTATGTGAGGAGCGCTACAAGAACAAAACTATCAGTGGCGGCATGGCCGAGTGGTTAACGCGTCGGCCTAGTAACTAATCGCTAGTCGAATGGGTTCAAACCCCGTCAGGGGCAAGTCGTTGTTTCATTGAGCAAACTTTACACTCATTGCTCAGTCCTGGTTAGTAAACGGATTCGAAAGTGTGTCTATAAGCTATTGGCTTCCTACACAATCGAACTAAAATAAATTCTGTATAAACCAAAACTATCAGAAACATCAAAATTTAAGTAATACATAGAACATTTAATCGTTAAAAACGCGAATCGTCAAACGAAATTATAGGACAAAATTTAAAAGAAGGTTACTTATGATCAAACGTGAAGGGACAAGGTAAAAAGTTACCAGGGCATCAAACCAGGTTTCTGTGTCACGACTGAAGTGATAGCACGAGTCCCCGTGCCTGATAAACCCATCAGTGCATTCCCCACATACTGAAAAAAAACAACAACAAAAAACACGAATAAGTACCTCTCGTTACGATCGCTACTTTTCGGACCTTTCCGTCCGTCTTTGGATACCATTATTGATAATAGCCGAGATGTTACGAATGCTCTCGAAACAAACTGCGTACAATTTCATATTATATATATTTAGTAATTATATATTATATATATTAGGTTGTGAAGAAAAGTCATTTTTTTCTTACATGTATGTGTTACAGTTACATACAATACTTATCAGGCCGTGTGCTTCAGTTCAAAACAGAGACACCGTATTGTCTGTCCACACGTTTATGTCTCTCTAGAAGGTCTGAGAACGCTACTGATTTTCCCATATACTTATATTCAATATATGAAATGAACCCTAAACATACCTCTTAATTGAGTAGATGTGATTTGTCTATGAGAATAAAATGTTTTACATATACAACTTATCTTGTTTCATAGGAACGTTCAGCCAAGTTATTCGCAAAATGACTTTGAAGAGGACCTACCTTGAATCGTTGTATGTATGAAACACGGAAACTGGCGAAAAGTGCCTATTTTTCTCGAACGTGTGACTAAGTTCAAAGTGAGACTTTTGTCGCTAATGTTATACTGAGAATAACTGTTTAATCTGAAATTTGACTTTAAATTTAAAAAAGGCCAATGACAAAATACTTTAACACGTACATCCAACAAAACATACTAGTATATGTTTTTAATCTGTAAATATTTAGTTACATTTGAAAATGAATGTTAAAGATTTACCTGTAACTTCACAATTTAATACAAAAACAATCAGAATTAATAACCTCGACATGTTTGTAATACCTATAAGATTGAATGTTACTTCATAACATGGCCTCTTATCTCTAAGACGACTTATCTATAAATAGATTCTCCGATATTTATTAGGACTTGGTCAAGTGACAAATAATTCATAATTATAATTATGTAACTTATTAAATATTTATATGACCGTAATATAACAATCGATGAACTAAAGTTCCATTTTGCTTCGCTTTAATGACAAAACCAACGGAACAAATATCGCAAGTTGCGCTAAACACATTAAAGCAACATTAAATAAATATATATAAATATTTTGCCGTTAACTCAAAGAATGAGCATTTATATAGTTCCATAAACCTTTTAGACGGAATCGCGGGCTTGGTGCCAAACAAGCCTGACTTCTTCTATATGTCAGATCAGTTACTTTATACAGTATTGAATCCAGCATTAAATTGCAATCATCTAATCACCAAATGAAATAAATAATCGACTACAACAACGAAATTGCGGCAAAGAAAGGTGCGAAGTGCTTCAAAATTTCATCATAAATGTATTTTATTTTTATATTTTTATCTATTTTCTTCTTATTTTCGGGGAGGGGGGTGGGTGGGTGGTATTTTGGTGTTTCAAGATAGCTATACTATACTCAATATTTTAATGTGCTATATTTTAGATGTGCAAGTTTTTCTATTTAGAGTAAAAGAAAGAAATTCTAAACAAAACTCATGTATATAATATCTAACATTTTATTTCTGTTTTTATAAACCCATGGCAAAAAGTCACATTTCATTTTCGTCCCACTATTTGCTCATTGTTACTAAAAATAAAGGAAATGAATAAATACATTGAAAACTATGTTACTAGAATCTAATTATATTGTCACGAATTAAAATCAGCTATTTCAAATGTTCATAGCTTAACATTAAGCATTTTGCACCTAATTTTTTAAAGAACGGGTACAATGTATTTGGAAAGCCCAGACAGGTACCGCACATCTCCCGTGCATTCTGTTGATTTAAAGACAATACGAGAGAAAACATACAGAGAAATACCATGACAACCATAATGATTGGCGTCCTAGGGCAGCGACATACAAATTATCATTTTAATATAAAGACTTACACCGCCTGATAGAGCATTTAATACCACGTGACTTGATTCTCAATTATTTCCCGTTCAAATGACTGACTAAAAAGTTTGATTGGCTTAATTTAATAGAATAGAATCCAAATAAATCGATTTTCTGCAGGGCTGACACCTGGAATCATCATCATCATCACCACCATCATCAACAACATCATCAAAATCATCATCATCATCATCATCATGACAAAACCCATGACCAGATCTGTATTCAACATGATCTGATATAAGTTGATATCGGCAACATCCAATATTTCTTTGAAAATGCTGATAATTGTTTATTGTATCCTATGAACAGTTCCCACGTACTTCCGTATGTGTTCCACTATTTTAAATGGAAACGAGAACCAGTATGCGGGCGGATCACTCGGATGTGCAAAATATAAGTTTAAAAATAGCATTTAGAAATATAGATCTAAATGTATTAAAAACGCCAGAAGCCACTTTGTACCTATTTTATGACAATTTATGTTTTGAGGATTGTGAATAATGCTTTTATGCTCGAAAAAACTTACAGGGGCTTTTCACAAATATAGCGTTGTTGTTTCCCACATTGATCGTCATTCCAGACTAACGTGTTTATCTCTATACAGTTCTCGTTACCATGGCTGTTGCTAGGCGGGCCACCCCAAGCAGTAAATGTGACGTCATCACCGGAAGTCGCCCATTTCCACTCCCCTTCAACTTGAATGTCATTTCCGCCAATCCAAAACTCGGCTAAATGACAAATCAAGACAGGATTGAAGTATAGATATTGCTTTTTATTACATGCTTTTCGGTGGTTTATAGAAATATATCAGTGATATAAAATTGGTAATTTCACTGTTTGAAACAGTGAAATTACCACTTTGATAATTTCACTGTTTTGAATTTAAGCCCCTTACGTTGTTTCAGTGAAATACCAGCGTGCACAGTACTGGGTACCAACTTAATGACGTGACGTCGTAAATGACGTCACGTTGTATTATTATTTGGCGCGCTTTTCATTCAGTATTAGGTTTAATGTCTTTTTAAAACGTTTCTTTGCATGTAATAAAAAGAAAATTTGTTTAGTTTAGTGTAAGATCGAAATATATTTCACCTTGTGAACATCAAAAGTTCATATTTCACTCGTGGCTGCGCCACTCGTGAAATATACCTTTTGGTGCTCACTCGGTGAAATATATTCCGATCTTACACTGAACTAAACAAATATCCTCTATTTATTACATGCTTTTCGGTGGTTTAAAGAAATATATCAGTGAATTAAAACTGGTAATTTCACTGTTTGAAACAGTGAAATTACCACTTTGATAATTTCACTGTTTTGAATTTAAGCCCCTTACGTTGTTTCAGTGAAATACCAGCGTGCACAGTACTGGGTACCAACTTAATGACGTGACGTCGTAAATGACGTCACGTTGTATTATTATTTGGCGCGCTTATCATTCAGTATTAGGTTTAATGTCTTTTTAAAACGTTTCTTTGCATATAATAAAAAGAAAATTTGTTTAGTTTAGTGTAAGATCGAAATATATTTCACCTTGTGAACACCAAAAGTTCATATTTCACTCGTGGCTGCGCCACTCGTGAAATATACATTTTGGTGCTCACTCGGTGAAATATATTCCGATCTTACACTGAACTAAACAAATATCCTCTATATTTTTTGACGCTTGGAATACTTATATATATTTGTCTTTTGACCTATATTAAGATACAAAAGGGTTCCACCATATCTTTATTGAACTTTATTGTACCATATTCATATTGAACTTTACCAGCATCTGTACCGAATTTAGATTGAACTACTTTGTACCAAATGTAGATTGAACTGCTTAACTCAAAGCAGCTTTCAAGAGAATACTATTTCTGTTATAATTAGAGGAATGATGAACGTATGCAGACAATGTTATAATGACTCACCTTTGAGTACAGATGACTCATTGACGAGATAATTATTCTCCTTGGCAGTCTCTATTTCCACTAACTGTGCTCCAAATAACTTGTCACATGTCACCTGTTCCAAGAAAACATCATAATAACAACACTACGACCTACATTTTAAGTTCATTACACAACATTACACAGCTGTGGAACCTTTATTGGACGAGTCGCTTTAATTAGTATTGTACTCAACATTATATAAAGACCTCTTTATTTCATATCTCCAGTTGAAGAAAACACTGAAAAACAACGGTTCTTTGTATAAAACACTAAGAATAAAAGGTATTTCATATGAAGCACTCACATTCAAAGGTGTTTTGCATTAAGCACTCACATTCAAAAGTGTTTTGCATTAAACACTCACACTCAAAGGTGTTTTGCATTAAACATTCACACTCAAACGTATTTTGTATTAAACACTTACACTCAAAGGTGTTTTGCATTAAACAAGAATAACTATTGAAGACAGGAAATTTTATTTAGAGTACAATATGAATTTGATATGACTTTTTGAGACTCGGAAAAATACTAGGCTTGATGGAATACAATATAGATTTTATGGACTCAAAATAAGAAATCGATGCTTAACGGGTGTGATTGGATAAAAGAATGACTTATATCGGCAGATCACTGGTGCAAACGCTGGAAGCTCATTACTTACATTTCAGGTGCCAAATATATGTTTTGAGTTCCTCATCAAGATATATTTTAATCAAGTCTATCATACATGCATGTGTAAGCATAAAACAAAGAACTGTCTGTAAGACCTTACGTAATAAAACTGGCAAAAATACTCCTATCACCGTTGAATTAAATGATTGCTTAAATATTAGCTGAATCATTGGACAGATTAGAAAATATGAAATGAGTGATTGTGCATATATACGCATTACTCATTATAGGTGTACTTTCATGTTGTTATTTCTGTGAAAAATTGAATAAAACTTGTCGGTTAAATGTCGAAACCATGATGATGGAAAGTCGAAAGTACGATAGTGAAAAGTCGAAATAACGAAACAACGAAACCACGATGGTGAAAGGTCGAAAGTACGATGGTAAAAACACGAAATTATATCGATATTTTATCATCGTATCTCCGACTATCCATCACAGTCGTTTATTTATTTTGACCTATCACCATCGTATTTTGGTGTTTTTCGTTGTTTCATGTTGTTCGTGTGTCGCGATGGTCCTAACGGGACACCGTAGTATTAACAAATCTGTAAATAAAAAGTTACCAGGGCGTCGATCCACGTCTCCGTGTCATGACTAAAGTGATAGCACATATCATCATGTCTAATAAACCCATTGGGGCACTCTCCATAGACTGAAAATAGTAAATGACTCCGGCATGTTAGTTGAGATTGAATACCGATTAATTCGGCGCTAGGGGACATATTAAATGTTGCAATTTTACATTATCTCTCATATGATATTGTTGTTTTCATTATACCCGCTGGATCATCCCTCTCTTTCAGATTTTTTTAAAACTGAAGAAATAAGTTTTAAAATAAATCTTCTACTTTTAATGTCTTATAACCCATTTCTATGTCTCTTCTTGTATGCCATACCTATAAGTAATAAGACCGGACAAATTTCAGTCACTTTGTCGAAACCCATAACCTTCTAAAACCGGAAGTTACCCAGACCAGCCGTCTGGCATGACTCTTTTCTGTCGATGGCTCATTTGGTGAAGTTTGACATTGAAATCCCATAAACCTTAAACTACCTTTGCTGCAGTTATAAATGAAGTATATATGCATATACATGCTCGTTTATATTGTTATTTCGTGTTTCGAAGATATTTTAGTTCAGTAATTATTCGTTATGACTTATACAGAGTGAAATTATTCTCACTTACTACATTTAAAATAGATGAAGTGGAAGCGTAAAAATACCTGGCACTGCTCTATGTAAAACCAAAGCCACAATAGCTAATAATATCGTCATGTTAATAGTATCTTGATTTTCAATTTATTTCTTAAACCTGATATTTTAATGCTTTTCTTATCTTAATGACAACAGTTACTGACAATATATCTAAAAATAGCCTCTAGAACGACACTCGCTATTATCTATAATCCGAAGACTTACGAAAAGGCCCGAAAAGTTGCCATTGCTAGAACGAAGCGATAACATACATCTCTAGTACGTTCGACATTGCAGTGCAAAATATACTTACAATTATACTGTTAGAATCGTTTATTACCGATTCTAATTAAAATATATTTTTACGATAAACGTTGTTTGGCGCCAATTTATTTAACGTTACGCGCTGAACAGTTTAGCGCGTCATTTTGACGTAATTGTTTGTCATGAATCAGTTACATGTAGCGGCGTTAAACGTGAAAGCTGGAACTGTATTTTTAAAGACATTATAGTCGGTAAGATAGCTGCTTAAATTATTTTGATTTATTTATTTATTTGTTTACGGATAAAAATAATTTTCTAATGAAGTATTTATTAATTTTAATCAATGTTTATACGATTATTTATTTTATGGATTTTAACTGTACTTCTGTTTATTAAGAAATAATTATTTGATTATCCTATTCTATTATTTATTTGTTAAGTTCATAATAGAAATGAATGTATTAGTTAATTACTTTATCATTTGTTTCAGAGAATCGCTTTGTTTTATGCTGATGTGTGAAAATAAAAGATATATAGAAGCGCATACTGGGAAAGTCTAGTTGTTATCCGAATTCCTTTACATATACTATCAATAAAAAAACCCGTAAAACTACAGTTATACTGCCAATATACAACATCTTTATTGATTTGACAGCACGTTTTAACATTTTAAAAGTCTTTAGTGACATCTCGAAGACATCCGAACGTGTCTGGTATAATCTATTGGTATAAATGGAACATTATTGCTGTGGTTCCACGCATATCTTTAAAGAGGACAACAACCAGTCGTTATTCGTAACCCTTTATGTGATTGACACCAGGACAACGTGACCCCAGAACACAAGTCCTTTGCTTTCCTTGATTATATAAATGTCATAGTTCAAATAAACGTCTCTTTGTTGATGGTTTGTATCTACTTGTTGATACACCAAACACTAAAACATCTTCACTTAACGTTGACTTACAAAACATTCATATATGACCAACATCATGGTTGATAGACTTTATGTTTAATGTAAACAAAACAGTCAGTCTTATATTCTTTCATAAAAGAAACAAACATTTTCCTTCTTTAGAAATGAAAGTCGTTGACTTCAAAACCCTTGTGACTTTGGATTATATCAAGCGAGGTAGCTGTTCGGTTGCATACTGCACATGCGACGAAATCAAAACAACCGGCCACCACATGTATCTTGTACATTGCCCTATTTTTGATACTTATAGACGTTGTGCTTGAGTCACGTTGTCCTGGTGTCAAGCTGTTATGATCTCACGTTGTTCTGGTGTCACTTTGTCCTGGTGTCAAGCTGTTCTTGGGTCACGTTGTCCTGGTGTCACTTTATCCTGGTGTCAAGCTGTTCTGGGGTCACGTTGTCCTGGTGTCCAGCTGTTATGATCTCACGTTGTTCTGGTGTCACTTTGTCCTGGTATCAAGCTGTTCTGGTGTCAGCTGTTATGATATCAAGCTGTTCTGGAGTCTCGTTGTCCTGGTGTCCAGCTGTTATGATCTCACGTTGTTCTGGTGTCACACTGTGTCGATGTCAAGTTGTTCTGGAGTCTCGTTGTCCTGGTGTCCAGCTGTTATGATCTCACGTTGTTCTGGTGTCACGTTGTCCTGGTGTCACGCTGTCGTCCGTAGACTATAATTTGCAGTAAGAATACATATTTTTGTGACAAAACATTGGAATGGGGGGGGCTATGAATTGTTCTATGAACACATTTCTAGATTTTGCTCTTTTTCATTCTTTTGTATGTTTTTCTTCCTCAGTTTTTTATTTGTTTGTGTCGTTGCTATTGTTTGTTTGTTGGGTTTTTTTGGGTTTTTTTTTTACTCTTTTTTGTTTTTTTCTGAAAGTTCTGACAGAGACCTTGTACCTCTTTCCAGATACATGCAGAAGTGCCTTCATTCCAGAGGAGGAAAACAACGTGCAACTGTTTCAGGTATCTATATAAACGCGATATTCTAGGCCTATATGATTAGAACTGTTATAATGTTCAACATATTAAAGGAACTCCACAGAGGTCCAAATGCCTGAAAACATAAATGTCAAGTGAAGCACTTAAAATGGGAAAAAAATCAAAAGATAACAATAGAAATATACTTAGAATTAAAATGGAAATCAATTTTTGGTACAATTCTTAGCCGGTTTTGATCGAAAAGCGTTACAAAGCTTTTCATTTTGGGGTCGTTTGCACTATAAATGATCATTTTGGAAACACTGAGAGAGGGAATGAGCCGAAAATGTGAAGTCCTGTCCTACATTAATTGAATATAAATATGAGCCGCGTCATTAAAACATTAAATGGGCCGTGTCACGACAAAACCAACATAATGGGTTTGCGACCAGCATGGATTCAGACCAGCCCGCGCATCCGCGCAGTCTGATCAGGATCCATGCTGTTCGCTATCAGTTTCTCTAATTGTAATAGGGTTTGTTAGCGAACAGTATGGATCCGAATCAGACTGCGCGGATGCGCGGGCTGGTCTGGATCCGTGCTGGTCGCAAACGGAAACGCATTACGTTGGTTTTGTTGTGACGCGGCTCAAATTTAAAGTTACGTCTAGGTACAACTATTGTTGTTACTTGTGCTGGCGGTCTGGTATTATATCAAATACTTATCATTTAGCATGTGAGCTTTTTAAGATGAAAGTCTTTAATTAAGATAATTATGTGTAAGGCTTTTGCGTATTAAAATCAAAACAGAACGAGTTTCTCAATAATTCCATTTTATTTTCTGCTGGTAGCAATTATGTTCATGAAAGAAACTATTAATAACGCTATTAATGATTTAAAGGCCACTAAACCATAATTTTATAAGAATTCATCGGTAATTTCCATAAACATTTGTATTTCTATGAGAGGAATTGAATTATTAATTGAATTATTATTAAATGCTGAGTCATTGACATAACTAAAAGACTTGTTGCTTAATATCCGGTTTATACCGGCTCAGCACCGACATTTATTTACCCAATATATGTACATGTATATACTCACCTATAGCATTTATTATCAACCGATTTCTACAGGTGCTATCTTTCATTTACTGTAAACATGACTCTGTAACATGACATGTTTGTCGTATTGTTTTATTGATTTTCTCTGTGAGCAGACGACAACATGAGATAATGGGAAACTGGGCAACTTGATTATCAGCCGTGATATTATAAATAGATATTGAGAAATAACTCTCTTTTAAGGAAAAGTGGAATATTTACTCGACTGTTTGTTTTGATTCTGGATGTAAATTTTGTCATATTATTTCTTAACAAAAATATTATATAATTACGTCACGTGTTGTAGTTAAGTGTACGTTGACGTTTTATTTTTTTCTGAAGAATGTTTTGGGAACTGAAGTGGCGATGAAAAATTAAAATATTTGTTTTCTTTTGCTTGGGGTTTAAAGCCTAATTCCTATCCCCATGGCAACGACGGAAAATAAACATATGTGTCTCAGATAAAGGAAATGGATTTTGGATCGGATTTCCTTTGCCGTGATATGGGTATGTTGAACTAAATATTGACATTCAAAATATTTATATATTTAATATACATAGAGGATATTTGTTTAGTTCAGTGTAAGATCGGAATATATTTCACCGAGTGAGCACCAAAAGGTATACATGTATTTCACGAGTGGCGCAGTCACGAGTGAAATATGAACTTTTGTTGTTCACAAGGTGAAATATATTTCGATCTTACACTAAACTAAACAAATTTTCTTTTTATTATATGCAAAGAAACGTTTTAAAAAGACATTAAACCTAATACTGAATGAAAAGCGCGCCAAATAATAATACAACGTGACGTCATTTACGACGTCACGTCATTAAGTTGGTACCCTGTACTGTGCACGCTGGTATTTCACTGAAACAACGTTAGGGGCTTAAATTCAAAACAGTGAAATTACCAAAGTGGTAATTTCACTGTTTCAAACAGTGAAATTACCAGTTTTATTTCACTGATATATTTCTATAAACCACCGAAAAGCATGTAATAAATTGATGATCCAATTCGCTTCTTGAATGCCACGTATTTTTTAAAGTTCTAACTTAAGTATTGAATTGTTGTTGTTTTGTTTTGTTTTGTATGTTATATGAAACTGATATGTTTTGATTCAATTATTAATAGTTTCACACTTCTGTATTCCATTATTGTACGGTTATTGGGCAAACATATTAACAGTATCACTCTCATAAATAATTAGTTGTTAGAGAGATCAAAACCCTGTTCAGATGGTAGAGTTATTTCATGCGTGGAAACTATCATGCTAGTTTCGGAAGGTCTACCGGTATTTAAAGACCATGCTTGAAAAAAAATACAGGAGTTTCCTTTGAAGAGTGATATGATATTCCTCGGGTGTCTTTAATATCTGCTGGTGTAATTTTGTTGTTTTTTCCAACCCTGTCTACAAAAACACGTATTCCGTCCCTTTGATATGTGCTACTAGCATATACAAGTCAACGTATAAACACGTTTTAATAGATTATTTTATTTATAATTTAATGGTAAAAGTGGGATAATTCCAAAAAAATCTATTTTTGATGATTTTTTATTGAAATCGTTTACAATAGAAAACTAAGTACTATTCTATATGGACAGGCATATTTGTAGGCTGTAGTATTTGTGTGGAGTGGTATTTGTGATAAATATTCGGACACAGAATATTAATATATACATGTATGTATTGAAAACATGTAACCAGCATAATCATACAGTCACGAATGACAGAGTTAATTTGTGAAAACTTTAATAAACATTAAACTTTTATGTTCTCATAAATCAATTTATCGTATAAAAATTGGTATTCATATTATTTTTACAGTTTAATGGTATTAACATTTGGAAATTGATTTTTATAAAATAAATAGTTAAAGGTGTGGAAGGGGGGTATAAGTTAAATAGGGTTCTTCACAATACAGTTACGGTGTCGTGTCTTGGACATCGTCGAATGTAACATAATTTTTGTATCTTTTTCATGTAATTTTAATATTTACGCCATCGTACTTTGCAAAATTTATTTCACTTTTTTCCAGAGTCCAAAAAGCGCATATCAAAAGCTTATCGTTCCCCATAAACATGTACCCTCGTTTTCATTTCAAGAGAGTCCAAAAAGCTCATACCAAATCCATATCGTACCTTATAAACCTCTTTTTCATTTTCACAGTCCCAAAAATCTTTATCAAATGTTTATCATACTCCATCTAGCCTCGTTCTCATTCTGAGAATCCTAACATCCTTATCAAATCATTATCAAAGTTCTTTCAAAAGTCAAAAATGGTGTGAAATAAAAAGGCCATAAAATATAGATTGAGAAAAAAACTGTTTTTGTTTTTTTTCTTGGACTTGTACACAACTGGAAAACCTTTCAAATGAAGACTCGGCTTTCGTCTCGTCCAATATAGTTTTGACAGCAGCTGTGTACTTGTCCAATAGAATTCTGTTGTACTAAACAATGTATAATAATCTCATAGTACCTGACAGGACACCATAGTGCATGGTTTATAATATAAAGATAGAGTGCTGTAAAATATATACACGACAATTTGTTAGTTTTAATTAGTCATAATTGCTAGACTTTTGATATTCGATATGGGTACTTTAACCCGGGGTTTAAGAACACCTCGCCACAAAAAAACTTTGTTTACTTATATATATATACATTTCCAATATGGGTTACACTGATACTTGACTATATATTTCTAATTGAAAGAAAAACTATTAGGCAATTAAAGATAAAGTTGGTCAACCAGAAGGATAAGAAAAAGAAAAATGTATAATGATCACATTCTGTGTTTGCAAGCGTGACATGAAAGAGGTTTTGTTCGTGTCTAATTGGCACACATACAGGACTGAAATATTAATAATAATCAGTATGGATTTTATTGAAGGAATAAATGAAGAATTCTAATAAAGGTTTGTGGGGGTATATACATTGTATTTATTTATTCAGTTATTCCTTCCTTCCTTCCTTCCTTCCTTCCTTCCTTCCCTCCTTCCTTCATTCATTGATTGATTGATTGATTGATTGATTAATTGATTGATTGATTGATTTTGTCTTTTTTTCTAATTGATATATTTATCTTATTATTTCTTCGTATTTTATGTACATTTTCAAAGTGTGTCACTTATAAATAATGTTACCCAGGTATGTAAGTATATATCCATCGCCAACGTCAAGAAAACATTACGTTCTAACTTGTCTTATTTAACTAAAGTTGTTGATGGATGCATATCTAAGAGGATTCTATGATATTTATTGGAGAAGTTCGAAAATAACATTTAACGCTTTTAAAAAATTCATGATAAGTAAAATTAGAATGTTAATTAATTGGCAATACTTGGGCTCAAAACAATTATTCTCATTAATATGTTTATATTGTAGACACAATTTCATTAGACTGACAATCTGGACTGGGGTGTAGATATAAAACTTTTTTAAATATAATATTTCAAACAACTCTAAAAATCATTTAAATTTAAAAGAAATCAATGTCATGTTACATGTACTATTATTTCAGTTTTCGGTGTCCATTTCCCTTTTTCCGCTAAATTAATTCATTTCGTGTAAAAGAGTATTTCATATTTTGAACACACGTTTTAAGTGTTCAAACATTAACACGTTGAGAATATCTATGATCTGAGATATAGGTGGAATCCGATATGTCCCAAGTTGCATATTTAATCCGCATATACATTTGCATACAGGTTTATTTGTTTAATGTATTGTTCTGTATTCAAAAGCTATAGACAAACTAATTATCAAATCGACGTGCGTTGAAAATGCGATACTCGGTTGAAATACAAGACATGCTTTATTAAAATACCGTATAGTCTGTGTTTTATGATATCATAACTTGTGTATGGTTTATACACGTATATCGGACGCCAACATGGGGACACAAGGCCTGGCTTAGCAGGGCGGGGCTGGTTAAATTTTGGCTATACTTGACAGGGTAAATGTACGGCACGTGTCTGGGTAGGGCATGGCGGGTAACTAAATGGAAGGACAGGGCGGGGCTAAGCTTGGTTTTACTAAGCAGGGCAAACGCAAGGCATATATGGTGCTAGGACATGACGGGTAACGGAAGGGAAGGGCAGGGCTGAGCTGGGCTATACTAAGCATGGCACGGTAGGGTATGGCTATGCAGGGTATAGGCAGGGCAGGATATCTTAGAATGAAAAAAAAACACAAATAGACAGACTCTCTATATGTACAAATGAACTGTTTTGGTTCACTTATACAAGAATTTAGTACATGTTTACTAAAGGGTAAATATCTCCCGGCGTGGATATATTTTAGCACGTGTTACAATTATAAGAATATTCCGATATAGAAGCATCAGAAGCTATATAGCATTTGTAAACTCAACGTTAATGAACTGGAACGTTGGTCAAACAACAGGTATATGTCCAATAATCTCCAATAATGAAATGAGCCGTGCCATGACAAAACCAACATAGTGCGTTTGCGATCAACATGGATCCAGACCAGCCTGCGCATCCGCGCAGTCTGATCAAGATCAATGCTGTTCGCTGTCAGTTTCTGCACTTGTAATAGAGTTGGTAAGCGAACAGCATGGATCCTGATCAGACTGCGCGGATGCGCAGGCTGGTCTGGATCCATGCTGGTCGCAAACCCATTATGTTGGTTTTGTCGTAATGCGGCTCAAATATTAAATTAGTTCCTTTAACACATGACAATTTAACAACAATCGCAAGTGTTCGTATTACATTGATAGTTACTTAGTGGAGTTCAGTGTAGTTTACATTCATCAGGAATAAAATAATGCTAGTTATATTATTTGTATAAAGTGTGAAAATATCAAAACATCAGATCAATTTCTGTGCCTTTTTATCAGATGAATGAAAAAAAAGGTTTACCAAAAAATCGTTTCGCAGGGGTGGGGCTGAATGGGGAGTGGGGAGTGTGAGTTAAATGCTGAAAGAATGAAAAGAATAATTTTCTTTACTATTAATCATGTTATAATGATATTCAAAGAACTGTTTCTTCACCCCTTCTCTACATAACTGACCAATCCTACATATCTGTTTTTAAATGAAAGATATTGATGTATTTAAAGGCTTAAGTTGTTACATTGATATTTGCTTACTTTTTGGTAAAAAAAAAGAAAAAAAAAAGAATCATACTCGATTCATAAGCTTAACACATTATCTCCTAATAGTATGAATGCAAAAGTTTTGTACAATATATAATTTGCCATTATTGAGCCGGTATAGATATACATGTAGTATGTTTTTTCTCATTTCAAGGTTTTCTTATTATTATTAATTATGAGAATTTTTGTATCACATGTGCAGATCCATATTATATGTGTAATTTATTGTATATTGCTGTATTTATATTCATGAAAGAGTCTGTATTTATTTGACAAAGTTTTTTTATTCCCGCGTTAACGTCACGTTCTGTTTAGCGTATAGTTAAACGGACGTTGCGTCATATGTCATTTGTTATTTTATAAAGAAGACTAAACATCGAAAGCTTAAAAAAGCGTTTGTTTTTAATGAACTGATTATATATACATTTTGGTGTATTTTCAGGTTTGGAGACGGACGGAGACGATGAGCACACGTTGGCACATAGGGCGGCTGCAAGCGGCGATACACAGTCAGTAATACGTGCAATAAAACAGGATCCTGGTGTGATCCAGCAGAAAGATAGAGATGGTAACTATACGTTATTAACCTTCTGGGAACCGGAAGTGATTAGGTTTTTACCACCAGTATAGAGCCAGGCCAGCCTAGGTGTTGCACAAAAGCCCTCCTCTGACAAAAGCCCCCACCTCCATTTAAAATGACATGGTGGGGGACTTTTGTCCGGGCTGGGGCCTTTTGTCCGTATCCCGGCTAGCCTTAACTCCCATGCAGTCTGACCCAATCTCCACACAGTGATCTCCCCTTAATTTTTCGGCGTAGATCTCTGCCCAATCTCCTACGCAGTGATCTCCCCTTATCAGTACAGAGATCTCTGCCATCACAAACATTGAAATATCAATATTTGGATATCTATCTTTTTTAGCTTTTTAATTTATTTTTCATTATTTTGTATACTTTTGATAATTTTTTGATAAAATATAACGGACGTAGGTACAAAAAGGTAAAAATAAAACAGAAAGAGAAAAATGATGTAAGATTTTCTATGTAACGGTCGATGTTTACATTTGAATTTCGACGTTACGTCATGTGACTTTCATCATCATGTGACGTCTGTGAATGCAGTGATTACAATTCTGCCAAGGGAGGTAATCAGTGTGAGGAGTTTGATCTCTGCCACCAAGGTCCCGATATATCAGAATTTCTGATATACAATATTTTTTCAAAAATTGTTTTATTTACTGCTTTTATCTATTAGATAAGTTGTTTCTCATTTATTTAACAATGTTTATGAATAAATAAATAAATAATATGAATATTTAGAAATAATTTTAAAAATTATGAGAATATTTTCTACGAGACAATATTTTGATATTTTATTTTTTTAGCTTTCGAATTTATTTTTCGTTATTTTGTATACCTTTGATATTTTTTTGATAAACTATATCGAACGTAGGCACTAAAAGTTAAAAATAAAACAGAAAGAGAAAAATGACGTTAGATTTTCTATGTAACGGTCGATATTCACATTTGAATTTCGACGTTACGTCATGTGACTTTCATCATGTGACGTCTTTGAAGGCAGTGATTACAATTCTTCTAAGGGAAGTAATCACTGTGAGGAGTTTGAGTCTGACCATGCTCTCTAATGTTGGTAGCCCTAAAAACCTTTTTACACTGGAGCAGTACGTCTAGACGCTTTCAGAAATCATTATCACAAAATAGACAAATATTTTTTTTCTTCTTTTACATTACGATATTTCCTTAAAAACGGAAGTAGCATTTTTATATTTTCATGTTGAAATCCATTTATTTTTAATGAACTGTTTCAGATTTAAGACTGGTCAAATTTATTTCACCATTTCAGTAGTATAAGGGCGTAACCAGCTTATCTTTTCGAGTTACCGGTATATCACGGGGTTTCACGGGTGGCGGGCGCGATACATAGTGACCTGTGCAGGAGTTATTATAGTTGGGGGGGGTATATAGGAGTCAGCTTGTCAGTCGGTCGGTCTGTCCGTCCGTCGGTCGGCCCACTTCATGGTTTCCGGACAATAACAAGAGTTTGGAATGAGGTATTGTAATCAAACTTGGTATATAGCAACCTTACGTGGAGACCCCGGTTAGTATTGCATTTGGAACCCCTGTGGTCAAGGTCAATGTCACCGTTACTAAAAATAGAAAAAATGGTCTGTACAATAACTAAAGTTAGGTATAAGATATTGTAATCAAACTTAGTGTATAGCAAGCTTATGTGGAGACCCCGGTTGGTACTTGCATTTGGACCCCCCCCCCCCCCCCGATCAAGGTCAAGGTCATCGTTAATTGTTGTATAGCAAGTTTATATGAAGAATCTTGTTGGGATTACAAGTAATTGGAATAATTCTTTGTACACAGTTGATGCCTCAATTACTATAGGTTGAGTTCAAATTTTTCTTCAGACTATTTATTTTTCAAAAGGTCAAAGTTGCTGGTGGGGATATTAATCATCTTCAGTGATAGCTCTAGTTGAATGAAAGTACAGATTTGAATTATAGATCTACTAGCCAAGTATTTCATAGCTGACACGTATAATAGGGAATAAAATGAACAGTGAAAGTCACCTCCGTCGATTCCCCGACTAAAAATCTTTCTTGAAAACACAGTGCGTGCCACTTAAATGGTTACGTCACGAAATATTTCCTTGTTTCCAGTATTGAATTTCAAACATCATTCTCTATTCTAGGGTCTTTAATTATTTTGTAACTGTAAGAACTGTAATTTTTACTAGTAATTTAGAAACTTTAAAATGTTTTCAAAACGGAAATTAACATCATTATTATGCATACATCTATACTCCAAAATGCTGTTTTTTCATTTCTTCAAAGCGTTTTGTATGTAGTGTTCCAACTGTATAACCGAATTACCAGCTTTAGCTTTGAGAGTTTTTAGCTCACCTGTCACAAAGTGACAGGTTGAGCTTTTGTGATCGCTTTTCGTCCGGCGTCCGTCCGTCGTCCGTCCGTCCGTCCGTAAACTTTTACTTTAAATGACATCTCCTCATAAACCACTAAGCCAATTTCATCCAAACTTCACAGGAATGTTCCTTTGGTGGTCACCTTTAAAAATTGTTCAAAGAATTTAATTCCATGCAGAACTCTGGTTGCCATGGCAACCGAAAGAAAAAACTTTAAATATCTTTTTTTAAAAAACCATAAGAGCTAGAGCTTAGATATTTGGCATGAAACATCTTCTAGTGAGTGTCTACAAAGTTGTTCAAATAAAAGCCCTAGGGTCAAAATTGGCCCCGCCCCAGGGGGTCATTGATTTTCCTTATATGTATATAGTAAAAACTTAAAAAATCTTCTTTTTAAGAACCCAAAGAGCTAGAGCTAAGATATTTAGCATGAAACATGTTCTAATAGGTGTCTACTAAGTTTGTTCAAATAAAAGCCCTGGGGTCAAAATTGGCCCGGCCCCGGGGGGTCATTGATTTTCCCTATATGCATATAGTAAAAACTTAAAAATGTCTTCTTTTAAAGAACTCAAAGAGCTAGAGCTAAGATATTGAGCATCAAACATGTTCTAATGGGTGTCTACCAAGTTTGTTCAAATAAAAGCCCTGGGGTCAAAATTGGCCCCGCCCCAGGGGTCATTGATTTTCCCTATATGCATATAGTAAAAACTTAAAAAATCTTCTAGTAAAGAACCCAAAGAGTTAGAGCTAAGATATTTAGCATGAAACATGTTCTAATAAGTGTCTACCAAGTTTGTTCAAATAAAAGCCATGGGGTCAAAATTGGCCCCGCCCCGGGGGTTCATTGATTTTCCCTATATGCATATAGTAAAAACTTAAAAAATCTTCTTTTAAAGAACTCAAAGAGCTATGGCTAAGATATTTAGCATCAAACATGTTCTAATAGGTGTCTACCAAGTTTGTTCAAATAAAAGCCCTGGGGTCAAAATTGGCACCGCCCCGGGGGTCATTGATTTTCCTTATATGTGTATAGCAAAAACTTAAAAAATCTTCTTTTAAAGAACTCAAAGAGCTAGAGCTAAGATCTTTAGCATGAAACATGTTCTAATGGGTGTCTACCAAGTTTGTTCAAATAAAAGCCCTGTGGTCTAAATTGGCCCCGCCCCGGGGGTCATTGATTTTCCTTATTTGTGTATAGCAAAAACTTAAAAAATCTTCTTTGAAAAAACACAAATAACTAGAGTTTAGATATTAAGCATGAAACATCTTCTAGTGAGTGTCTACCAAGTTTGTTCAAATAAAAGCCCTGGGGTCAAAATTGGCCCCGCCCCAGGGGGTCATTGATTTTCCCTATATGCATATAGTAAAAACTGAAAAAAATTTCTTTTAAAGAATGCAAAGAGCTAGAGCTAAGATATTTAGCATGAAACATGTTCTAATGGATGTCTACCAAGTTTGTGCAAATAAAAGCCCTTGGGTTAAAATTGGCCCTGCAACGTTTGGGTGGGTGGGGGGGGGGGCTATATACAGGTGAGCGACCTTAGGGCCATCATGGCCCTCTTGTTAAGTATTTTTATTGAAGTCAAATCACGGATTTGTTCACATTTTGCTATTTTTATACAAGAGATAAAACGCTCTAAATTTATTGTCAGAAGTCCTAAAACATTTCTTAAAGGCACATTATACTTCAGAAACAAATACATTCTTACTGCTTTAGAAAATTAAAACAAAAATCGTTTAGAGAACGTAAGATGCTTGTAACATGACAAAGAAGCTATTGATGTGAACTTATTTATGATAAGCAAAATGTAAACAAAGTAGTATTTTTGACTTCCATCCATCCTAAAATGCTAAATCACAGTACAACTTGGCAAATTGCCAAAAATCTTGAGATGAAAAAAATGATTTATGCAACTGAAAAATCAGTAGATTTTCTGAAATCATATTCGTAGAAATACAATTAAAATAAAAAGTTTTTGAGGATTCGAATAAAAATAAAGGCCTTTATCACACACCCGTGCCGATTTTGCGACTCCGTAAATATGGTATTGCACGGCCGTGCATATATTTTGACGTGACGTCATTAGCGTTATACAAACATAGTGTAAAGACGCGCTAAATATTAGCGTCATACTAAAGGCGCGTCAATGAAAAATGACTCTTATTTCACTTTAAACGGTCTTTATTTTGGGTATGTGATAAATAGAATATTAAATTCGTGTAATTTCACTACTGAATTTATTGCACTCGTTGAATAAAATAATATTATGCTCGCCAGAGGCTCGCATAATATAATTTTATTCAACTCGTGCAATAAATTATTGAGTATTGAACTTACACTCATTCAATATCCTCTATTTCTGAGGCATAATGGGCCTTTAACCTTAACAAGAAAACTTGTATTCATTTTAGCGCTTAATGTGCCTTTAATGTTTATCATATTGCAGGTTATACGCCGTTAGCTCACGCCGTCCTAGGCAAACATGTGCAAACGTTAAAGCGTCTCGTTAAAATGGGAGCAGACGTTAATGTACAGGACGCCCAAGGACGCACGTGCCTCGCAATAGCTGCGTATCAGGTAAGAACGTACCTACGTAACATTTAAATACAACGGAAATAAACTAAAAAGTCTTAAGACTGTAGAAACATTTATTTTGCAAAAACATTGTCAAAATAAAAAAAAAATGTGTGTTGGCATAAGATGGGAGAAAAGTGGTGGATAGTTTGTTATTTTTATAAATAAATCCTGCACTCTCTCTCTCTGTTCCTCTTACTTTATAAATTTCATGGATGTTAAAGAAACTTGTCAACTCAACTGTATGTAAACAAACCCTGTTTCTACCTACTCACATTTGTAAGAAAACGTGTATAATGTTCTTGTTTCATGTCAAAATGGAAAAAAAAGTTAGAAAAGAGTAGCTCTTTATTATCTGTATATTTACTAAAAACCTAAATAAATATTGAATTGAATTTAATTGGTACTACTGGATTAATTGGTAGGGAGAAAAATTGAAAAAGAAATAATTTGTAATAAGTTACTTATTGATTCTGTTATCTGACACTTTTCTTACAAATTCATTAAATTAATACTAATTATCACACACCCGTGCCGATTTTGCGACTCCGTAAGTACGGTATTGCACGGCCGTGCATATATTTTGACGTGACGTCATTAGCGTTATGCAAACATAGTGTAAAGACGAGCTTTATGTTAGCGTTCTACTGTGGCGCGTCAACGGAAAATGATTCTTATTTCACTTTAAACGGTCTTTATTTTTGGTATGTGATAAATAGAATATTAAATTCGTGTAAGTTCATTACTGAATTTATTGCACTCGTTGAATAAAATAATATTATGCTCGCCAGAGGCTCGCATAATATAATTTTATTCAACTCGTGCAATAAATTCAGTATTGAACTTACACTCATTCAATATCCTCTATTTATCACACACCCGTGCCGATTTTGCGACTCCGTAAATACGGTATTGCACGGCCGTGCATATATTTTGACGTGACGTCATTAGCGTTATAAAAACATAGTGTAAAGACGCGCTAACTATAGGCGCGTCAATGAAAAATGACTCTTATTTCACTTTAAACGGTCTTTATTTTGGGTATGTGATAAATAGAATATTAAATTCGTGTAAGTTTAGTACTGAATTTATTGCACTCGTTGAATAAGATAATATTATGCTCGCCAGAGGCTCGCATAATATAATTTTATTCAACTCGTGCAATAAATTCAGTATGAAACTTACACTCATTCAATATCCTCTATATCTGAGATTTTTTTCGGCAAATCATTTATCAATAATTTATTTCTAATTACCTCCCCTTATTTACACAATTGTGTCAGACATGCTTTCTACAATTTTAAAAATTCTTCATTCATATTGTAACGGGTAGGCGCTGTCAGGATGTATTTAGGAAAAATATATATAGATCTATATGCAGAGGATGGCTGAGCTGTTCCTAAACAAAACCTGTGAGTGGATTTGACGGAATGGGCCAAATTCGAAACAGACGACAATATAGAATTTAAACAACGATATTTATTAGTATTAGATTCTATGTATAATAAACGATGTATAAATAAATTAACTCTTTAATTTATATGAACAAATTTATGCGTTATTAAATTTATGTTATGAAAATTCAAGTAGAGTCTTATTGCTAGTCTATTATGTTCGAATGATTCCTGGCATAAACCAAAATGTATTTACATTACTGCTGGTCAGTTCCTCCTAATCTGCTCCTGTCCCGTGGAATACTATTCAAGATGTATACAATGTAATGATCAAGTTCCGAAAGTTTCCGTTAAAGATTTCCGTTAAATTTATAAAGGTGAATGATTTAGATGTTCTTGGCCGAATTTATTAAAGAAAAGCTGTTGGGCTATGCGCGCGTTCCTATTTTAAATGCCCCGCGCCATAATACTTTTGGTTGAAGGCCGAATAGTGGTAAATCGGTAGTCCCAGCCAATCAGAACGTCCAATTGGTGAACGCTGCCATTCTCGTCCAATCAAAAAGCTTCCCGGGTTTCCACGAAGAAAAGTGTGCATCCGCCATACAACTTAAACATCTCTCGTTGGAATTGATTTAGGCATGAAAAGTTACTCATATGTAATAATACGTCAATCTTATACGTTACTTTTAAGTCATTTTATAATTTTAATTACAAACAATACAGTATTTAGGGTCTCTGAATGTTTCTCACAACACTGTAATTTTACGAACACCATGACGTCACAGTTCGAATCATTGTTTCTAAATAGAATTAGCCTGCAACTTGAATAAATATGGGATTTGCGAACAAACAAGTTGGTTAACAGTAAGTGCATATGCTAATTAGTTGCCACAATAAAAGTTAAGTCTAGGGAATATGTTATTGACTGAATTTCCGACATTGTCATTTGTTTTCGCTACCCGGAAGTATAAATTTACATTCAGTCAACGTACCTTGTATTTCTCAACAAAGACATTACTAACTGTCACAAAGGACAGAACGGTATTTTAAACACGTTTAAATGTTCAAATAATAAAGAAGCAGGAATTGTATATGAGCTCACATTACAATATTATGTAATACCATAAGAGTTTTGAGCTTGATTTACGTGTACTTCCACTTGATATTCTAGAAAACATTGGGATTTGATGAAATCGATTAAAATGCATATAAGTCGAATATCATTATGGTAACCGTTACTGATATATGAAAATATTATTTTTAAATGTGCAACAAAAAATAACGTTTTTTCTTAATTATTCATATTATTATTAATATGTTTGTTAGTTATTGATCTGTAATCAATTGGTTCCTCTATATAACGTTCTGTCGTTACAAAAGTTCTAGTTTTCCAATACCTGAGGGTCAAGTTGGCCATGTTTCAGGTTTGAACATGGATGATTCACTTATGTATCGTTATTCAGTTTTGAGTCTGTGTCCTGGGTTTATTTACATAGAGGATATTTGTTTGTTTTGCATGTAAGATTGAAATATAATTTCACTGAGTGAACATCAGATGCAATATTTTCACGAGTGGCGTAGCCACGAGTGAAAATATAATAGCTGGTGTTCACGAATGGAATATATTTCAATCTTATATGTAAAACAAATAAATTTTCTTTTTATTTTATGCTTTTTAAGTGATTTTAAGTTATTTTTTTACTGATTTTGCCGCGTAACGTCGCGCATTCTCCTATGTGACGTCATTATATCATGACGTCACATCATCAGTTTTGAAATCTAGTTCCGTTAAATTTCTCAAATTTTGTTAAATTTCTAACATGATGTATGATGACATTGACTTTCTTATTCTTAAGAAGCGAAATTTACGTATGACGGCATTTATTTCTGCCTGTTATTCCATTTAGTTATGATTTTCTGTTCATCCGCATTCAGATATAGTCCGGCTACAGTGAAAATTATATTTTATAAATTTCACTAGTGGTTTATCAGAAAATAATCATCTAATATATTACAATAAAACACTGGAAAGCATGAAATAATGTTGTATCTTATGAGATAAATACCCCAAAAAACGGGTCAAATTTCCCAGGTTATGGGAGACACATCATCGCTCCTGTAACATAACTTTCATAATTTGCATTTCACAGTTGTAAAATTTTACAGTATTCTTATCCGAACTATGTCATTAATAATGAAATGATCGGCGATTTAAATGTTGAGGCATGTTATATTGAAGGGCTGGAGCGATGGAGTAGTGTATCTTCTTAGGAAAGGTGCGAGGCAAGATATTGTGGACAAGTCAGGTCGAACACCACTACATGCGGCTACCTATGACACAGATAACAGGTGAGTAATAGACACGTGCCTGATCGAAAACTTATGTTAGACAAATCGTAGGTCTTTGAGAGATTTTTATGAGTATTTTTCAAATAAGTTTATCCTGGGTGTTTTATATATATATATGGTCGAGGCGCGGATGCGCAGGCTGGTCTGGATCCATCCTGGTCGCAAACGCACTATGTTGGTGTTGTCGTGACGCGGCTCATATGTATAAATAAAGCACCGTAGTAGTTTTTCTTCTTTTACTTCAATTTTTCTCTAATTTGTTGTTGTTGTTGATTTACTAGATCATTACTGGCGTTGATGAAAAGACTGTCTGAGGCAGAAATAAACATCGGGGATAATGAGGTAAGCTTTTCTTTAATTATAGAGAGAGCAAACCTCAGATAACGCCGATATATCTCATTAAAGACGACCTATAGTAAACATTTGAGCCGCGTCATGACAAAACCAACATAGTGCGTTTGCGACCAGCATGGATCCAGACCAGCCTGCGCATCCGCGCAGTCTGATCAGGATCCATGCTGTTCGCTTACCAATTCTATTACAAGTAGAGAAACTGATAGCGAACAGCATGGATCCTGATCAGACTGCGCGGATGCGCAGGCGGGTCTGGATCCATGCTGGTCGCAAACGCACCATGTTGGTTTTGTCGTGACAAGGCTCATTTTATCTTTTAAAAACACAGAGAGGTTTCTTGAAAGTAAATATGGTAAATGACTAAATTAAGTCAACATTTTTACTATCGTGATGTGATACGAGGTTGTATGTTAGCTTGTAGTAGATGTACTTGTTAATTAATTTGGTTCTGTTGTATGTCAAATTTTGATCTGATATATATCATATATAAAATTATACATGCACGTCATAAATCTAAGGTTGATATGCGCAAGTGAAAAACAAGTACATTCAATGGTCATAAAAATAGCTTTTTTACCTTAGAAAAAAATTATGCATTGTTTAGTTTTCAAATACATTCGAATGCACATTTTTTTGCATATTTTGATGAATATTCATATCTCAAAGTTAATGTGATATCATTTTGTTTGATCATGTTTTATATCCTTTGGATGTTTTTTAGTGAGGAGATTGTTTCATTTGATGACGATTCTCATTAATAAATTTGTTTATGCTGTTTAACTAAAATAGTTTAATAATTGCATTAAGCGAATGACGGCGTTGCATTGGGCAGCTTTTCATAATCGACCGGAGCACGTGAAACAACTGTTACAACGAGGTGGCCTTCCAACACAGGTAGACATTGACGGAAAGACACCGTTACACTGGGCAGCACAGGTAATCATGGCGGTACAAACTTATCATTGAATGAATGATAAATAAAATGAATGGAATAGTCGCACGTAACAGTGGTCTAAACGTTTGTGTACACACTTTTCAACCTTGTGATTATGGATTCTTTGTGTAAGACATCAGCAATCGCATTTTCTCGGCCCTTTCCGTCAAACTTCGGATAAGGACGAAGTTATTATGAATAAAATACGAGGACATACCGATTGAAGACATCAGATAGTTAAACATGAACTCAAAATATCCTACGCAGTGATCTCCCCTTATCAGTCTACCAAGGGAGGTTATCACTGTGTGACGTTTGATGTTGTAGGGTATGCACTCTCCTATATTTCAGAGAAACATTCAGTATAGACGAATGTTATATACTGTACAGTACGTATTTGTGGTTTTGCTGAATGTATAAACGTATATTTTAATCATAAAACAAACCATGGTGTATGGTTTACAAATGACCTTTTCCTGGCGACCTTATTTCTATAATTTTTCTCTCTATACAACAATAAATAAATCACCAAGTTTATTATCTATATTTTCATCCATTTAGAACGGAAGTGCGTCATGCTGTCCGATATTAACCGACCACAACATAGATCTTGCGAATACGATAGATAACTGCGGGAAAACAGCGCTCCACCTAGCGGCGGCTGCCGGATATACGGCGATTCTACAAGACCTTGCACGGATATCACCGTCGACTTGTGAAGCTTGGGACAAAGACGACAGGTTATATGTCCTCTTTATCAGCAGGGCAGCTTACAATTATAAACTTATTTTTGAACTTCACTGCTTTTTTTCAAGATTTTTCTCCGATATGTTTTTACTTAGAATATGTTGAATGCTATAAAAGCAGCATTATTTTCACTTTACAATTATGTACAATTCTAGAACCATTCGTGTCTGTTAATTGTTTCAATTTGTTGTAACATCACATGGTGTCGTGTAAAACAAGTGTTACTGAAGTCTACATTAAGTTAATAGTGTGTCTTCTAAATAGGAAATTTGATATTTTCTTGACGAAGATGTTATGAAATTTTAGACTTAGACCTTCTCGGTGTCTCGACGTTAACTAACCGAATAAACGTTATATACATAGTTTAAGTAAATAAATGGTTTTGACATTTGTAAAATCACATTATTGCATTTAATAATGCATTATATTTACTATATATATGAATATTACAGAACTCCATTACACTGGGCGGCTGCCACTGGTCACACCAGCTGTGTCCGAGCACTGTTGAACATGGGTGTTACCCCTAACCCAGTCGACGTGGACGGTGTGACACCATTAGAGTATGCGACTAATGCCGGCCATAGAGGTAAGGTATAAGCCTCATCCATGTACTGATTAGGTGATTATCCAGAATTAACAATCCAGTAATTTTACAATCCTGTTCTTGTTTAAGTGTTGAAATTAACTGACCCAAAGTATCGAATGAGTGACATCTCTCATAAATATTCATCTTATGATAAGCAAATAAAACATTGTTATTAACGAGTTCTTTTGTAACTGGTATTATATCCTTGCCTACTGCGGAATTCTTTATGCTGGCCTATAAGAACGTAATGAATGACCAACGTATAGACTGGTTTTCAAATAAGTCAGTTAACATTATTACGGTTAACAGATCAATCATGCTTCCATGTCCGAAGATGGTCGTGTCTATGTAAAATTAACTACCAGAACCATGTCTTTAGACCGCAGAGTGTAATTTCATCATAACAGGAACACGTCGTATAGACAAGTAAATACTGTATTACTCATAATCGTTTTTTAATTCTTTAACCCCAGTCCTAAATTAGAATTCTTTTTTCTTTTTAGAGTGTATTGTTTTGCTACGAGACAGACTTGGCATCAAACCAAGCGGAAACAAACGAAAACAAAACGATCAGAAACAAAGTGCAGGCGGATTCTTTAAAGGACTGTTTTCAAGAAAGAAAGACGCAGACAACAGAAAAGAGACGGTATCCAAGGATACCAAGCTTCCACAAGTGTTTGGTGTTAAGAATGAATCTATGATAAATAAGAACAATGACACGAAAGGCGGTCTTTCTGCGAGTACTAGTCCGAGGGGCGTGACCACACCAAGAGAGGGCGGTGCTAAGAGATTGAATAACGCTAAAAGAGACGCTGGCGCCTCTACACCTGCGACAATCAAAACTTTATCTACTTGGGTTCGTAGAATTAAGTGTTGAAATAATAAGATTTTTTATGAAGTATTCAGTATTAAATGTTGCTGTTTTTTCATGAACCATTCAAAATCTCATTCCGTCGTTACCTTCACTACGTTCTTAGAGCTGAGACAGAAGACTTTTCCATGAAAAAAAAAATTGTTTTCATTATATGTCAACAAATGTTAGGTTTGGTATTTTGTATGTTTATTCATTAATATTATACAATTATTGAATAGTGAGCCTTTGAATATGATGTGATATTCACCGGCAGATGACATATTGACCGTGACGATAGCCGAGGTCAATATGATATGCTGCCGGTGAATATCACATCATATTCAATGGCTCACTAGTCAATAATTCTTATGAATAGGCAGAGATAAAAACACACGCACAAAAATTGAACAATTATTTTTAATGCGCTCCCGTAATTTACAATTTACGATGTATGGTCATTGAATATGAGTCATAATCTATTTTTAGATTGGGGAAATCCAATTAGCCAGTGAATATGATCTTCACCCAGTTATTGTCCAACAACATTGACTTGGCACTCTTGCATTTGACCCTGTAGTCGGTATATTCCGTAAACGTTACGATCTACTTGTAAATCGATATGAATTTTAACATGGTGTAAAGTAAAATGCCCTCTTTGCGCAGTTGGTAAAGAGTTTTCACTTGTAGAATGTACACGTAAACTGGTAGGTTCGAATCCTATTTCAGCGATTTATTTTTTATTTTAATTTTGAAATTGCCATTCTCTTTAAACTATTGGAAATCTTTTTATTGTGTGTACTATCTACGTAGAATTTTTTATAACTGCCTTTATAGCATGTATGCGCTTAAGCATATACGATTGCATAATGTCACAAAAAGAACCGTTGAAAGATACTGTAATGAAATAAAAGACGTAATTGTGCATAAAACACCCTTTAAAGGTATTCGTAAACCAGGTGTAGTAAAACGATTTCAAATTAATTCTTGCAATTAAATTTAAAAAAAATTATAACGTGGTGTTGGTATCGAACCAGAGACCTTCAGATCAGTAGTCCGACATCAATACCAATACACCACACCTCACTGACGAGTGAAGTTAGCAAAAATATCGATATATTCGATAGGTAATAGTCAATCTTTATTCATATGACCTTTCAGAAAATTAATGAAGTGCAAGGTCAATATTGTTGGACAATAATATGATGTTATAAATAGTTCTGTTGACTTCTGTTCGGAGCAATGATTTTGCAGCTATATTTATATCATATAATAATATATTTTATAATATTTATGCAAACAGATAATTATAGACTGGTAAATGCTGCCCACATGCACTGCCCAAAGCTAAAAGTGTGTTTGATATACACATAAATACTAAAAGCGTTTTATTTGTGTTTGACAAATAAAAAGTCTGAGAAATACACAATACCAATCTCCTTCAACAAAAGTTATATTTACATTTTCGATTTATTTCAGACCGACAACTCTAGCTACCTTTCAGGTAATACTGATGCTCGGGCAACACATTTGTCTCCCTTAGGTGGTCTTCGTCCTCCTTCAATTTCGCCTCGAATAGCAAATTCACCAGGAGTAATGGAATCTCCACGAATACGGAAACAAAGAGAACTCAGTCCATTACGTCTTGATAGAATGGTGAAAGGTACGATACCATTTAAGCTTTATAAACAATTTGTATAATGGAATTATCATCCATTTTAGTGTTTAATGGACTGATCCCCTTTAACGGAGCGATTTGTATAATGGACTTATAGCCTCTTCATGGACCAATTTGTTTAAGTGAGCTGATCTTTCTTTATGGGCCAATTTGTGTACTGGACTTACAGACCAATCTGTTTAATGGACTTATTCTCCATTACGGACCAATTTTTTTTATCGGACTTATCTTTCTTTACGGACCAATTTGTTTAATTGACTTATCTTCCTTTACACACCGAATTGTTTTATTGACTTATCTTCCATTTGTTTAATGGTCTTATCTTCCATTACGGAGCAATTTGTTTAATGGTCTTATCTTCCATTACGGAGCTATTTGTTAAATGGTCTTATCTTCCATTACGGAGCAATTTGTTTAATGGTCTTATCTTCCATTACGGAGTAATTTGTTTAATGGTCTTATCTTCCATTAGGGAGCAATTTGTATAATGGTCTTATCTTCCATTACGGAGCAATTTGTTTAATGGTCTTATCTTCCTTTTGATTAATCGTCTTATCTTCAATAACAGAACATATTGTTTAATGGACACATTTTCCTGTACGAAACATTTTTATGGATATATCTTCCTGTACGAAACATTTTTTAATGGACATATCTTCCTTTATAGAACAATTTATGTAATGGTCTTTGCCTTCTATACTGACCTTTGTATTTTGGACCTATCCGCCTTTTCGAACCAAATGTTGTAATGAACTTAGTCTTATTTCTTTATAAAGCAATTTGTGCAATGGATTTTGCCTAATTTACAGAGTTATTTGTTTGATATTTCATCTTGTTTCAAATGGGCATTCTCCAAAATGAGTAACCAAATTTGAAAACTGTCAAAAGAAATAATGAAGAGTCTGAAGGCTTGCAGTTTTAATGTGAAATTTTATACAGTTTCCATTGTTTATAACAAGTGACATCATTATAAGATTTAGATTTGAAATACTTAGATTGACGAGCAGTTATTATCTTATCGTCAACAGTATTTAGAGATTTATTATATCATCATCCGGGCATTTTCTCTTTGCATAATATTCTATGTTGACCTCTAAGTAAGTTGTAATTATTCTTCTCAATCCAAGACTATTACCTTATATTCACGTACATATATTTCATTAGCGTGAAAACAAGTACTGAAATGCTCTTTAAGATGTAGACAGTTCAAAACAGAGAAATCGGTTAACAAAATTCTGTGAATCGGAAATTTCAATTTCAATGCCATGTTGTTATTTCAGAAAGGTTCGAACTTCCAGTGCCAGAACCAGTATCGACGTTACAGATGGATCAGGACAGAGTCCCTACATCAACCCCAACAACACAAATAAAATTCAAGTAAGTGTGATAGGAATTTTATACACACAATGATTGTGTCTTTTACTTTACATTAAACGAGCAGAATAAATATTTTTCTTCAGATGAAACAAGAAAAAAAAATCTACCTTTGAAGATGTCCAACAGGAAGAAATATCTAGTTAGTTCTAGCCTTGACTCTAATATTTTGCCCGAGGTAGATCATGCATATAATGACAATGTCTGATTTCTTATCTTTTTTCAGAATATATTTTAGCTCGATTGTATAGTAAGCTAAAAGCTTATAAACACATTCTCAAACTAACCAGTATTGAGCAATGAGTGAAAGTTTTTTGCCCAAGGAAACAACCGCTTGCCCATGGCGAGATTTGAGCCCTCTCAACAGACGATCCTTAGATCGTTACACCGACGTCTGATTATAAAAATAATTTATGTATTTTTAAATATCTGAATATTGTTTCTTTATATCATTTTAGATATATAATTAACTTAAAGATTTAAAGTATTATTTCATGCTTTCCAGTGTTTTATTGTAATATATCAGATGTTTATATTCTGATAAACCACTAGTGAAATTTATAAAATATAATTTTCACTGTAGCCGGACTATATCTGAATGCGGATGAAAAGAAAATCATAACTGAATGGAATAACAGGCAGAAATAAATGCCATCATTTGTAAATTTTGCTTCTTTAGGAAAAGAAAGCCGATGTCACCATACATTATGTTAAAAATCTAACAAAATTAGAAAAAATTAACAGAACTTTATTTCAAAATTGTTGATGTGACGTCATGATGTGATGACGTCACAAAGGAGAATGCGCGACGATACGCGGCAAAATCAGTAAAAATTACTTAAAATCACTTAAAACGCATGAAATAAAAAGAAAATTTATTTGTTTTACATATAAGATTGAAATATATTTCATTCGTGAACACCAGCTATTATATTTTCACTCGTGGCTACGCCACTCGTGAAAATATTGCATCAGGTGTTCACTTAGTGAAATTATATTTCAATCTTACATGCAAAACAAACAAATATCCTCTATCTAATCAACTATGTTCTTGTTTATTTTTGATAGTATAAACGGCAAGACAGTCTTACCAAATATTCACGCCGAATCGGCAGAATTAGACATGGACAGCAAACATGGCGGACTCATAGATTCGGACCCAGGCCCTTCCGTGAAGAAAAAGAAACATAAGAAAAATCGGAAAGAGAGGGGGCAGCGTGAACCGGAAGTAATTACAGCAACGCCGCTTGAACACGAAACTAACATTTATAGACCGCAGGATAGAGGCAAGGAGAAAAACGCGCCAAACTTGACAGCAGACGACACTAGGGACAATGGAACGCTGGTAGATAATACATGTAATAGTGCCAACAAAGACAGGCAAACAGAACAAGAAGTTATAAAAGCATTAGCAGGTCTAGAAATGAATGAACTAAGTTATTTATCAAGATGTTGATTGACAAATCATCACAAAATGTGCTTTAATTCAGAATTTTTCCATGAATTTTGACAAAGTTTATCGTTATTTTATCGTATTAGTGCCTTTTAATAAATTACTATTTTCTAGATATAGTTGATGTCTGTATGCAAATGAGTGTATTTATGTAAATTTGAATATGGGCACGCTATTTTCAGCAAGACATTCTGTACCATTTCATTCAAATTTAAATATTCGGAAGGATACACAGTTTTTCTATTTCCGGCGGATAGTAAATTAATTTCCTGTTTGACCGGTATGATTACACACGGATTATTATCGTTCGGTCACAACATAACCATTGCAAGATATCTCATTTGCAGGTCACACGACTTGCTGTCGTTATTTCTTTTGTAAAAACAACTTAATTTAAGACAGTAGACGCCAGCTTCTTGCCTTTTTCCACAGAATTATGTGTGATAAGGCTCTTTTTTTATGTCTTATAAATAATTGTTTACTCCGGCAACTACCGTGAAATTTCGGCAATTACCGTTGAACTCGGGTAATCACCATCTAAGTTCGTTGAAGTACAAGAAGAATTGTATTATAAATGTATATCAAGGGGTGCCAGTTGACTTGAAGAATGTGCACCATACCCACACTATTCAGAATTCGGTAAATGTCTTGTTCGTACTTCATTGTCAGAGTCAGGGATTTCAGTATTATAATAATACAATCAAACAAACCCACGATAGAGTCTGCACAGATCAGGCTACGGATGAGCAAGCTGGCCTAGATATTTTTGTTATAAGATAAAAAGCTTTGTCACTAGCTTCGGTGAGTACATTTTATATGGTTAAAGAAAAAGTTTCTGGTAAAAAAAAACGGTTACTAGTATGCCACGCGGAAATCTCAAATCAATTTTCCTTGGGCTAGAGCTGTGTGCCTTGTATTGCTGTAAAATAAAACTTCCAAATAATTTGCGACGAAATCACCTTAATGGTGTTTCCACAGTTGGCGCCAGAAAATGGTGTTTTTTACGATAATAGTACACTTTATATAGGGAAAGAACAAATCGCCGGTGCAAAAACGACCATGCCATGAGGAAATCTGAAAGTCATAATTCTTTGTCAAGCGCTTTTTGACTTATATTACGTAATGGAGAACCATCGAACTAATACAATTTCCAATGCGCAACGAAATCACTCAAATGGTGTTTCCACGGTTGGCGACATTTCTCCGTGGCAATTGATCTAGGACATCGAGACCAACAGGGTTTGTCTCTCACCGCCGACTCAAAAAGCATATGGGCTAGCAGTCGGTCATTTGCGGAACAATCACTGCATGGTTAGTAATAAAAGGAAAGACAATAAGGTGCACCAAACATTTTTTAATAATCGGCGTACAAAACAGACACGCAAAAATAAAACAACAAATAAATATATATGTATTAACATTGAAAGAAATCAAATTTACGACCCTGTTAAGACTCAAAAGATTCAGATGTGTGGAGTTGGCCGCTGTGCCGCCAGGCCGCCAACTTCACGCTGCTAGGCAGCTGGGCCGTCAACTTCACACATCTAAAAGATTCGATAAGTTTTCGCACAATTACCGAGTTACCGGATATTACCAGCCACAAGCATAGTATTCAAGAAATCTATCCAGTATACACAAGATATGTTTTACTTTTTGTAACATAAAATTGGTGAAAAAACATCGACATTCACTTAATGTTTTAGTCATTTACATAAAAAAAAGAAAATAAACAATAATTATCATTTACACAGAACAAAATCACATATTTGAGATATGATGTGATATGATGTGATATGATATGTGTATTGGATTTGTCTTGCTTTAAATTTAGAACACTCCATTCAAAATTTTAGGGATTTCAATATCATAAACAAAACAACGAACAACCACCAGTATAAAGCCAGATCAGACTGCACAAATGTGGCAAAAACCAATCACTTTTGGTTCGAATGGGTTAATAGTTAACAGAAACAAACAAATGCTTTGTTTTCTTTGATCAGAAAGATAGCAAAAGAGCGTTGAAGTCTTTTGACTAAGTCATGTAAGTAGGTCAAGTTTATTTAGCAACTACTGAAACTATTGTGAAATCACTTTTAACACATGTATTTCTGGCTTTAGCTATGTTAGGATTGCACAATATGTTGCGGACACATATATTTAAGAAATAACATCGGCCTGAGAGGAGTATATCGGCTATTTAACACCGGTTTGGAGTTTTGATGCGTAGGAATTGACCACGAAGGCCGTAGGCCTGAGTGGTTAATTTTGTCGCATCAAAACGACAAAACCGGTGTTAAATAGCCGATATACACCTCTCAGACCGATGTTATATCGATTCTAACACGATAAAATAATAAAAATCACAAAAAAGTTATTTTTCAAGCGGAAATAACTTCCGGTGCGATTTTCGTATATATAACGCTGTTCGATTTTTCGCACCCTACTGTTGCGAAGATATAGAAATAATCAAACAAAGAAATAATATAGAAAAACACGTTATTTTATCAAAGTTTTTCAACAATAAAAACTTACGTCGTATTGTGTTTACATCAGTGCCCCATTTATCATTCTTGTATGTATGAAGTAACGTTAGCTTGTTTATGAATGAGTTGTTTACTTAGGATGACGTCATTACGCTGCTTACGGATTGGCGCCGTTTTGTCAAAATATTTATTAACTGATATGGATCTAATATGTGGCGTTAGTGTATGTGAGATATTATTTCGGTATTGTATGAAAAGAAAACATTAACACGAACTGAAAATATAAATAAAAATGCTTTTTTATTGTTGCTTTAAAATGCTTTGTAAAAGTATACCAATCGAGGGTGAAAACATAACAGCGCATATACAAGTTAGTCCCCTAACCGGTGTTTATTGGCAGTTTAACACCAGTTTTTTTCCTTCTTTGCTTTGTCTATAGTGGCAAAATCACGTGAGTGTTAGAATTATATTTTAAAAGCGTTTCATCGACTGTTGAAAGATTGTTTTCTGTAACAATGACAAGATGACGTAAAACACGCGTCTCGTCAATCATCATAAATGTCATAAATGATCAACTGAAAAGTATTTTACTATACATTGTTGAGTACAATTAATCGTTTATGTACACAGCTACAAAAACCTAATTGAACTATCAAAAAAAGCTAGGTTAGATGGTGTATAGTATGCATTTGATAACAATTTTTAGACATTAAAATGAAAACATGGCAACGTGGATTGTGATATTGACTTGATATAAAGCTTTTAGTTTCTAGAAATGAAAATGAGGCTAAATTAATTGGATCCAATAATAATTTCTATTCGAACATCACGAGGGTGCAAACGCTGAAGGTGCATTTAATAGCGTTATTTTCAATATGATATTCTAAAAGGCTTTTATTGTTGCTCTTGAAAGGCTTTGGTCTTTTTGTCAAAAGTTGACTAACTAACAAAATGGGTAGACATGAAAATGTACCACTAAATGAAAGAATACGCTACGGCGTTTTAAGCAGTCTGCTATTTATTGTTATTTTTATTGTTATTATTATTGTTATTTTAATCAAAATTTGATAATATCCGATCTAATTATTTTCTTGTAAATTAAACGAAAATTAACGATTTCTTTTCTTTGATGAAATCTTAAAGTGACGAAACCGATTCTAGAGTACATGTATTTGCATATTTTTCACTTGTTGAACAGTATGGATTCTTGACATGGCAATAATTTCTTTATCACATGTATGTGCAATTACATTTCAATTGTAAATGTACGTGCATATGTCTGTACTTATATTGAAATGTTTAAAACTTTAATGGAATGTAAGTGTTGAGTTGATACCATTCTAACTTAAGCAATTGCTGTACAGTGAATGTTTGATCCCCGACTTGCCAGCTGATTGAATCATCTTCAAATCCCCCAGGCTGAGACTAAAACACTGTCAAAAAAGTCATCTAACCGAACTTCATCTTCAAATACAACGGCAGATCTGTAAGAATAGAAAATGTTAAAAGAAATTATCCTAAATGTTCTCTGATTGCTGAATATATATTTGGCCATGGAAATACTATAACTGCCGTTTATTTTTTTTAGTAAGACATACTTGTATTTGGGTAAATTCGTAGAATTAAAACAAAATGTAATGTGTGGGGTTAAATAATATTATACATTGGGACCAACAATTTATGCGTAATGACGGCTTCACAACAATACAAGATAAGATTCGATAAGTCAATATATGGATTTCAATAACCGTCAACTTATCATTTGGAAATATGTTTTTTACAATCATATATTGACAAACTGGACTTAAATCACGGCATCTATCAAAATTTCGTGAAAATTCGGTAGTTTCCGCAACCTTTCGTTTCTAGCCGAGGTCTACTGGCGATTGCAGTGCTAAAAACCAATGTGTATTAATTTGTAACGTGTACAGCTGTAACACTTTTGAAAACATTCCCAACTTTTATCCCTCGGAAAAATTGAGTTTAAAAATTTTTTTTACAAACCTCTCTTTGTCCCTCTCTCCTTTATTTTGCACAGTTTACGCATGATGTACATTCGACGACGTTTACAAAGCAGCCCACATATAACGATTAATAGGCCTACTACAAATGCAATGAATATGAAGAACTTTGGCCAATGGTCTGAAATTTCAAAAAAAAGAAATACGTCTTCGCTGAAATTAAGTTTCATTTAATACCCTTTTTATGTATCCAACTAAGAAAATGATTCATCACCATGTTCCTTACACTGGACTTGTAAAATTTATTTTTCTCCGACTGAAGCATGACAAATTTTAACAGTTTTTTTTTTATCAAATATTGGGTTATTATCCTTCTATAGTTGTTTTATAGTTTATTCATATACATAGAGATGATTTAATGAGTGTAAGTTTACTAAAATACTAAATTTATTGAACGAGTTGAATGAAATTATATTATTTGAACCTCTGACAAGCACATTATTTTATTCCACGAGTTCAATTAATTCAGTAATGTTTTGGTGTTCTTTCTCTTTTGTATCATAGTCAAACATAAAAGCACGTTCCCTGTTGTCACAATATGAAACCCCGGCAAAAATGAACCAATGAACGAACATCTGAATATGACATTTCTGTCGCTTTCCCTTTCTCTGCCGTCACAATATGTAAACCCCAGCAAAAATGAGCCAATCAATGGGCATGCTCTGGAGTGCGGGTAACTAATACCCGCAACTCCAGTTAACGCACTGTGCATGTATATGTATACGATTTAAACCTGAAAAGGTCTCCAAACTATGATACATTATTCAGTAATGAACTACCAGTCTTCATACAGTCTAAGGCTAACATTTAACGCGTTTTAACGATGTGCTTATATACGCAAATGACATCGCGTCAATTATATGCACGGCGTGCAATACCCGTATACGGAGTCCCAAAAGCGAAACATGGGGTGTGTAATAAATGTATCTATATAATTTCAAGGAAATAACAAAATTCCCAATCCCCGGTTCAAACGAGCAAACGAACCCATTAATAGATGAAAGTACTTGCCTATTTCGCAATCTTTTCCAGCGTAACCAACTTGACATGTGCAGTTGTATCCGTCTAGTCTGTCTTCGCAAGTACCAGCATTCTTGCACGGATCTGATGCGCATTCGTCAAGTTCTTAGAATTGAAAAAATAATCATGAATGGACCTGAATTGAAGTTATTTTTAATGGTTGATTTTACATTTTCTTCAATGAGAGCGTTAAATGATATTTATCTATTTATTTTTTTTTTTTTTTTATTTATTTATTTATTCATTTATTTTTATTTTTTTTTATTTATTTATTTATTTGTAAATTACATTCATTTAAAAGGTACTAAATGTATGTACATGTATGTATACTAGGCTTATTGAGGGGCCTTCCGCCTTTTCAGAGAACGGACCCCGGACATGTCACCATTCATGTCCGTAAATATAATTTTCAACCAAAAGGTGACCTTTAAGAATAATCTAATATCTTCAGGAATTCTTTTTCCTGTTTTGTTTGCTTATTAAGCAATGAAGTTTCGAGTGCACTCGCACTAGTGTCTATTAGTCATTGAAGAGTACGCTCTTTACTTTAGATCGCTCATCGTATTTCGTTATACTATTTATACTATGTAAAGTATTACATTGTCCCTCTGCTCTTGTATGCACAGAAGTATCAGTTCCTTGCGAAAGTGAAGGCAACTATAGTACTGGTAAACTGCTTGACAACCTGCCCAGGAAACATGGTGGTGGCTGAACTGTGCTCTGGTAAATTCAATTTGGCTTACTGTCGTGATCCGGAGTGAAAACTAACTAACTATTTCCCCTCTACCACCAGGGCGTAGATGGTGTATCGTATTGAACACATTTTAAAAACAATTGTCTGTTCATCGAAACAGGGCTCAAATTTTATGAAATAGCACAGTATATGTGTTCTTGAATTCTATATCCGTTTTTTTTCTTTGTCTCCCCTTAGAAATTTAGACAGAAAACAATTACGTCGATTAGCGCACTAATGCGACTTTTATCCGCAACAAAATCACAGAAATGAACCAATGAACGAACATCTGAATATGACATTTCTGTCGCTTTCCCTTTCTCTGCCGTCACAATATGTAAACCCCAGCAAAAATGAGCCAATCAATGGGCATGCTCTGGAGTGCGGGTAACTAATACCCGCACTCCAGTTAACGCACTGTGCATGTATATGTATACGATTTAACCATGAAAAGGTCTCCAAACTATGATACAATTCAGTAATGAACTACAGTCTTCATACAGTCGTCTAAGGCTAACATTTAACGCGTTTTAACGATGTGCTTATATAACGCAAATGACATCGCGTCAATTATATGCACGGCCGTGCAATACCGTATACGGAGTCCCAAAAGCGAACATGGGTGTGTAATAAATGTATCTATATAATTTCAAGGAAATAACAAAATTCCCAATCCCGGTTCAAACGAGCAAACGAACCCATTAATAGATGAAAGTACTTGCCTATTTCGCAATCTTTTCCAGCGTAACCAACTTGACATGTGCAGTTGTATCCGTCTAGTCTGTCTTCGCAAGTACCAGCATTCTTGCACGGATCTGATGCGCATTCGTCAAGTTCTTAGAATTGAAAAATAATCATGAATGGACCTGAATTGAAGTTATTTTAATGGTTGATTTTACATTTTCTTCAATGAGAGCGTTAAATGATATTTATCTATTTATTTTTTTTTTTTTTTATTTATTTATTTATTCATTTATTTTTATTTTTTTTTTATTTATTTATTTATTTTGTAAATTACATTCATTTAAAAGGTACTAAATGTATGTACATGTATGTATACTAGGCTTATTGAGGGGCCTTCCGCCTTTTCAGAGAACGGACCCCGGACATGTCACCATTCATGTCCGTAAATATAATTTTCAACCAAAAGGTGACCTTTAAGAATAATCTAATATCTTCAGGAATTCTTTTTCCTGTTTTGTTTGCTTATTAAGCAATGAAGTTTCGAGTGCACTCGCACTAGTGTCTATTAGTCATTGAAGAGTACGCTCTTTACTTTAGATCGCTCATCGTATTTCGTTATACTATTTATACTATGTAAAGTATTACATTGTCCCTCTGCTCTTGTATGCACAGAAGTATCAGTTCCTTGCGAAAGTGAAGGCAACTATAGTACTGGTAAACTGCTTGACAACCTGCCCAGGAAACATGTGGTGGCTGAACTGTGCTCTGGTAAATTCAGTTTGGCTTACTGTCGTGATCCGGAGTGAAAACTAACTATTTCCCCTCTACCACCAGGGCGTAGATGGTGTATCGTATTGAACACATTTTAAAAACAATTGTCTGTTCATCGAAACAGGGCTCAAATTTTATGAAATAGCACAGTATATGTGTTCTTGAATTCTATATCCGTTTTTTTTCTTTGTCTCCCCATAGAAATTTAGACAGAAAACAATTATGTCGATTAGCGCACTAATGCGACTTTTATCCGCAACAAAATCACAGAAATGAACCAATGAACGAACATCTGAATATGACATTTCTGTCGCTTTCCCTTTCTCTGCCGTCACAATATGTAAACCCCAGCAAAAATGAGCCAATCAATGGGCATGCTCTGGAGTGCGGGTAACTAATACCCGCACTCCAGTTAACGCACTGTGCATGTATATGTATACGATTTAACCCTGAAAAGGTCTCCAAACTATGATACAATTCAGTAATGAACTACAGTCTTCATACAGTCTAAGGCTAACATTTAACGCGTTTTAACGATGTGCTTATATAACGCAAATGACATCGCGTCAATTATATGCACGGCCGTGCAATACCGTATACGGAGTCCCAAAAGCGAACATGGGTGTGTAATAAATGTATCTATATAATTTCAAGGAAATAACAAAATTCCCAATCCCGGTTCAAACGAGCAAACGAACCCATGAATAGATGAAAGTACTTGCCTATTTCGCAATCTTTTCCAGTGTAACCAACTTGACATGTGCAGTTGTATCCGTCTAGTCTGTCTTCGCAAGTACCAGCATTCTTGCACGGATCTGATGCGCATTCGTCAAGTTCTTAGAATTGAAAAATAAATCATGAATGGACCTGAATTGAAGTTATTTTAATGGTTGATTTTACATTTTCTTCAATGAGAGCGTTTCATGATATTTATCTATTTATTTTTATTTTTATTTATTTATTCATTTATTTTTATTTATTTATTTATCTATTTATTTATTTATTTTGTATATTACATTCATTTAAAAGGTACTAAATGTATGTATGTATGTATACTATATAGGCTTATTGAGGGTCCTTCCGCCTTTTCAGAGAACGGACCCCGGACATGTCACCATTCATGTCCGTAAATGTTATTTTCAACCAAAAGGTGACCTTTAAGAATAATCTAATACCTTCAGGAATTCTTTTTCCTGTTTTGTTTGCTTATTAAGCAATGAAGTTTCGAGTGCACTCGCACTAGTGTCTATTAGACATTGAAGAGTACGCTCTTTACTTTAGATCGCTCATCGTATTTCGTTATACTATTTATACTATGTAAAGTATTACATTGTCCCTCTGCTCTTGTATGCACAGAAGTATCAGTTCCTTGCGAAAGTGAAGGCAACTATAGTACTGGTAAACTGCTTGACAACCTGCCCAGGAAACATGTGGTGGCTGAACTGTGCTCTGGTAAATTCAGTTTGGCTTACTGTCGTGATCCGGAGTGAAAACTAACTATTTCCCCTCTACCACCAGGGCGTAGATGGTGTATCGTACTGAACACATTTTAAAAACAATTGTCTGTTCATCGAAAACAGGGCTCAAATTTTATGAAATAGCACAGTATATGTGTTCTTGAATTCTATATCCGTTTTTTTCTTTGTCTCCCCATAGAAATTTAGACAGAAAACAATTATGTCGATTAGCGCACTAATGCGACTTTTATCCGCAACAAAATCACAGAAATGAACCAATGAACGAACATCTGAATATGACATTTCTGTCGCTTTCCCTTTCTCTGCCGTCACAATATGTAAACCCCAGCAAAAATGAGCCAATCAATGGGCATGCTCTGGAGTGCGGGTAACTAATACCCGCACTCCAGTTAACGTACTGTGCATGTATATGTATACGATTTAACCCTGAAAAGGTCTCCAAACTATGATACAATTCAGTAATGAACTACAATCTTCATACAGTCTAAGGCTAACATTTAACGCGTTTTAACGATGTGCTTATATAACGCAAATGCCATCGCGTCAATTATATGCACGGCCGTGCAATACCGTATACGGAGTCCCAAAAGCGAACATGGGTGTGTAATAAATGTATCTATATAATTTCAAGGAAATAACAAAATTCCCAATCCCGGTTCAAACGAGCAAACGAACCCATGAATAGATGAAAGTACTTGCCTATTTCGCAATCTTTTCCAGTGTAACCAACTTGACATGTGCAGTTGTATCCGTCTAGTCTGTCTTCGCAAGTACCAGCATTCTTGCACGGATCTGATGCGCATTCGTCAAGTTCTTAGAATTGAAAAATAATCATGAATGGACCTGAATTGAAGTTATTTTAATGGTTGATTTTACATTTTCTTCAATGAGAGCGTTTCATGATATTTATCTATTTATTTTTATTTTTTTTATTTATTTATTTATTCATTTATTTTTATTTATTTATTTATTTATTTTGTAAATTACATTCATTTAAAAGGTACTAAATGTATGTATGTATGTATACTAGGCTTATTGAGGGGCCTTCCGCCTTTTCAGAGAACGGACCCCGGACATGTCACCATTCATGTCCGTAAATATTATTTTCAACCAAAAGGTGACCTTTAAGAATAATCTAATATCTTCAGGAATTATCTGTTTTACCGGCTTCGCAATTTAATCCGACGATTCCCGGCGGACAAGTGCAATTATAACCGTTCTCTTCTTGCGTACATGTTCCGTTGCCTTGACATGGTGACGCCGCACAACTATTGTATAAGTCTATAAAACAATTAAAAAAAGAAATTAGCAAATAGTTTACGTCAGAGCAGCATGCTGTCATTTCGTTATGTTAATGCAACAATTTGTATCCGCAATCCTTCATGGAGTAATCCTTAAAAATGTGTAGTGCACATGCACGAATGATTTTAATTGCACTTAATGATAAATATGGTAACATACTTTCTAGTCTTTTCCTTTTAAGCTAATCTTTATTAAATTCACTTCCAATGTTACTTTGGCCCGTTAAAACAGAGTGGACTATTTTTGCCGTCTATCCGTAATGCATAAGTACGACTATAAAAAGGATCCATTCTGTTTTTGTTTATTTTAAATAAATTATACAAAAAATAATTTATTCAGATAAACATAATTTAATACAACTTCTATACGTTTAACATTCCTTTACCAATTTCACAATAATCTCCGGGGTAAGCGCTATCACATTTACAGTAGAATGCATCCACTTCGTCAATGCAGGCGCCGCCATTTTGACACGGAGATGACATACATTCATCGATGTCTGGGTTGCATGCAAACATTAGAAAAATATAAATACATTGTATAATCGACTAAATGCGATGGCGACAGTACGACAATTATATACATGTACATCGATGGTATCTTAATTAGACGGTGAGTAATTGTCTGATTTAAGCTCAGTTTCTTTTCAAAGAAAAAAAAATAAAGGTATTGTTACAGTCATGTCAGCGTTCCCGTTCCCGTTGCCGTCCGCAATCTTTAATCTTGATCATAACTATTTAAGTTCTTGGTGTATTGTGTTTATACTTAGCCACAACAACCATCGGGAGGAGACTAGACTTAACTTGACCTTGATTCATAAATGATCTTAAACGTAAAGGTCAAATGTCTAAATTACGCTTGATTTCTTAATATCTTTGCTACATGTATTAGTGGCTGCAAGTTTGTTATTTTTTAATTGGTTTATCTTCAAACTGGAACACAACACTCTTTTAGGATAGACCTTCACGTAAACTTGACAGACTTAGACCTTCACTCATCAATGACATTGATCTTGAAGGTCAAATTATTTAACTTCTCTTCTTCTTTTTTGAGTGTAACAGGATATGATGAATGGATTGACTTATAATAAAACACATGTTTTAAGATAAGGCCTGCGGTGGTGGCTTCTGTGAAATAGTTGTAAAATCCGACTTCAAATAACGAAGTTATGGGCCGGACACGAATTTGGAACGTACGGACGGACTGACGGACGAACGTTCTAACTGGCCAGTAATAATGTGGCTACTCTATTGTTCTCTGTATTGTTCTTTTAAGCCACACAAAAGAAAATAGCCATATAAAAGCAAAACGGAATAAATGGCATCAAAGAAAAAGAACAGTTACTTAATATCCCTCTAGCCACGTGAGAGCGGACTGACGGACGGACGGACGGACGGACACTCTGGCGACTATATGTTTCCCCCGAATTTTTTCGGGGAGCATAAAAATGAGGCATTTGGCGAAAAAAAAAATCATGAAACATACGTTTTCTAGTGTAATAAAGCCATTAACATCGTCAATTTCTAAAAAATGCTTAAGAAAAATCTATTTTTAGCACATGACCTATCTATTTTTAGCCCATGACCTACTAAACCATCGGACTGGAACCAATTATAAGACCTTTATAGAAAGTGACCAAAGTATAATTTCTGTAAAGAATTACTGCATTTTAAAGTAATTTTATATTATAGTGGATAACGACGAAAGGTTGACGGCCAAAAGTATACTCAGCGCGTTCGACCCGAAGTGCGTTGGAATGTTACAGACCACTGTGACGTCAGTAGCGCTAGAGTATGTCATAAAACATAATATATAATGGCATAGAATGACAAGGAGGAAATAGATAAAAAAAAATTAATATTTTACCAGTTTCGCAATTACTGCCTGTGAAACCCGAAAGACAATCGCAGGAATAACGATCATTATCCCAGCTTCTGCATATCGCTCCATTATGACAAGGTACGTTGATTTCACATATGTCATAATCTTGAAAATGAAATTTAATCAATGATAATATCATACAATAGAGATGAACGGTATTCCCTTCACTAAGACACGCTTAAACCTTTTAAGATATTGTCAATAAAAAAAATCAATCAGTCAATCAATCAATCGATCGAAAAGAAATTATTCAAAAAGAAATATGCATACGAAACATAGTACATTTATATCTTAAAAATGCGCAAATATTTATTTCATTTCGCTTAAAGCTGCATGACTTCAGCTGAGACAAAATACTTCAATAAAATCAAAGATGAGAAAAATGTACTAAGATTTTAGGAAAATAAAACGATTCAAGCTTCATGTAATAATTACATGTTATGTTCGTTTAATCTGGGACAGAAAGATTCGTCCCAGGTTAAATGGCAGATTTTTCAGTATTTGTATCTATTTTTCTACTGCGTTACTAACGCAGTCAGGGCATTTTTTGAATATTTTGACCCACTTTTTTGGCAATTAACGTGGGTTGTATGTGTAAATTGCTTACTTTTGGTTTACTTCACAATTTTATACTTTAAAATTAATTTTCAAATTTTTTACATGAAAATCAGCATAGATCTGGAGGCGTGCTGCTTTAAAAAGAGAAGATCGTATTGATGCAGCAGCAAATAATTTATTTGGATGTAGATTATGATTGTTTGTAGATACTTTGATAATTATGTTCTTTTCTGTGACAAACAAATAATCTGAAGTTTAAAAAAGTGTTGAAAATAACAATTACTTAAAAGCACACGATGCCTCAGAAATGAGTATTGGTTTCCTTTTTAACAAAGGCCAAACATGAGTTAAGGAAATACTAAATGAGCCGCGTCATGACAAAACCAACATAATGGGTTTGCGACCAGCATGGATCCAGACCAGCCTGCGCATCCGCGCAGTCTGATCAGGATCCATGCTGTTCGCTTGCAAACCCTATAACAAGTAGAGAAACTGATAGCGAACAGCATGGATCCTGATCAGACTGCGCGGATGCGCAGGCTGGTCTGGATCCATGCTGGTCGCAAACCCATTATGTTGGTTTTGTCATGACACGGCTCAAATCAGTATAACCGCAAATTGCAATAAAATCAGCAAGGCCAAAATATTGTTCAGGTTATTGGCCAATTTATAAATATTTGGAAACTATGACAGGGCACCAATAATAAATAGTTTTTGAGGCATTCCTTGTGCATTATGGGCCATAAAATCCCATTCTTGTAATAAAACGTCGTTTTTTGTACATATTAAAGATTTGAGCCGCGTCATGACAAAACCAACATAATGGGTCAATGCTGTTCGCTATCAGTTTCTCTACTTGTTATAGGGTTTCTAAGCGAGCAGCATGAATCCTGATCAGACTGCGCGGATGCGCAGGCTGGTCTGGATCCATGCTGGTCGCAAACCCACTATGTTGGTTTTGCCGTGACGCAGCTCAAATTTTGTTTATAACGTTTGGTTTTTACAAAGAAGTCAAACCTACGAATAATTGGAGTGCTGTCCGTTTCGCAAGATTCGTCATCCGGTGGACATCCTTCAACATGCACCGGCGGTAAACTTTTGACGGCTTTGTAAAGAGAGAATTACATTTAAAGTGAAGGATAAGCTATATGCAATGAATTTAAATGGCATTGTCGATTTATTGATACATAAATGATGTTCACATGAATAGTGTTCGCAAACAAAAAAATGTTCACGTACAAAATATAATACTGCTTAACTAAGCAGTATTTTAACGCTGTACCAACAATTTCGATTATGTTCCAGTCGCTCTTAAATAAACATAAAAAACATATTTTTTTAATACAGGTACGGTGGTACAAAGGTGACATGTGCGTGTTTTTATTTATCTCGTGGGAAAGAGATACTATGTCGTGGCCACGAGTTACTAGTATCTCGTGCGTTTTATTTTTTTTGTTGTTTTTTTTGGTTTTTTTTTGAAGATATGGAATATATCTAATCTCGAAGTGATATAACCTCAAATTTTCACTTTCCGCTCGTGAAAATATTCTTTTGGTCAGTTTTTCTTCGTTGTTGTCAAATTTGCTTAGTTTTTGTTATTTTGTACTCTGTACCACTAAAACGAAATTCTGTAAGTTAGCCACATTGAACATTTTATATACAAAATAGAAACATTTCAGCTGAAGGCAGAGTAATGAAAATAAGGAACAGCAAAGTGCTGCGCAACGTCACTGTGTACATGTATCATTACATGCCAAGAAGTTCATGGCCTTGTTTGATATAATTTCTGGACTGAAGATTTGCTATTTATAGGAAATGTAGAATCTAACATTTGCAACAGAACGGGATGTAGACAAACATTTTTCAACGTTTGGGAACTATATAAAATTGGTTTTTACTATAATAATTGTCGTCAATGATTTAGAACAGAACGTGCTTTTTACACATTTGCCAGTAGCGTATCCAATGATGTTTTACTGTATGATTTCGTATAGCGCATCATTGAAAGTGGTCATAATTCTTTGACTATAGTGTTGACCAATTACATGGATCGTATATCGTTGCGACGTTAACGGTCATGATCTTTTATGCAATATTTAGCGCTATAGCAATTGCGACATTTAGCGTTATTGCGACATTTAGGCCAGCTTTAAGTCAAGCTTGGCATTAAAATTCCTGTATGTTGTGATTGAGGTTGTAACCGTGTGTGTGTCTTTGCGTTTATTTATACTCGCCACCGGTTGTCCATATGGGCGAGTCCTCCAGAAGAGTATTAGTCATTTTAGATTTTTGAGGATAGTGCAATTACAGGTACAGAAAGATGCCCCAATTCGAGAAGCTTCTCCTGGTTCTTTAGCGTGCCAAGTGTTAAAGCACACATACACAGGACCTCGATTTAAAGTATCATCCGAAAGACTGATTAGTAATTTTAGTTGGCCAGCCCGGGAATCGAACCCACAATGTCGAGATTACAAGTCTCGCACTCTAACCGAATGAGCCATCCGGGCTAGCTGTTACCACACATAAGTGAAATTTTTATATGTATATAAATATGCTTATAAAACAATTTTCAAAAAACCGAAGAATATGTAAAATATGTACTGCAAATATTTGTCAATATTATAAGTAATCATTAAAATATATGCATTCATTTCTTACAGACAAATCTGACTTAGACTTTATAGAAAATACATTTCTTATAACCTCCCTTTATTAACATGAAATGTTAAATTCGGTAATATCTTTATAAATAATGCTCTTTAGATCTTACAATATTGATAAATCTTAATTTGACCATTATATTTATGATATAAAACCTTAAAAATTTTGTGTTACAGGATCTTTAAGTGGCGATGTTCCATTAGACATTGAAACAACACACAATTAAAAAACAGTCTTTGAATTGAAATGATTGAACTCACGTATTTGGCACCTACGGCCAACAAACCCTTCAGTACAATTGCAATGGAAGGCGTTATACTCGTCTATACAAGTTCCTCCATTTTCACACGGGTTTGTCGAGCACTCATCTATTTCTAAAAGACGAAATAAACATAACTAAAAAAGAGAAAAGTCAAGTCTAGATTACATTTGTTTCTAGGTACTTAGTCTATCATTCAATTTTGTTAAAGAATATTTTATTTAAAACCGACATAGAATCATTTGTTTTGTACCAATGTGTTTCATCAACCACTTATTAGTAACTCGTAGCCGAATTATGTTATTTGTGCGTCGTTTTTATTTGTTTGGGTCGTCAGACCAAACAAATAATGGTAGCGAAATTTCAGAGCCTAATGCTGTTAATTGCAAATGCCTAAAGTAGTCCACTTTATATGTACACTAACGCCGAAAAATTCAGGGGAAATCAATGCATAAAGATTGTCAAATGACAGGCGCATTAATTTCCAAGCAAAGTAGTTCCCGAATGGTCGAAGGTTTCTAGTATTGTTTCATTCTTTAAAGATATTCATGCTTATAGTAAGCTCCATGATTCTTTACATCTGTATTAAACAACAGGTTTAGCGTCGAAATAATAAGAGTTGCAAACCCTAATTTAGAATAATACGGTTTTCTTCAGGCTTTTAAAATATAATTTCACCGTGGCCGAGGGGTTAGCACGCTCGCTTATGAATCGAGAGGTCTGCAGTTCAAATCCGAGTTGAGGCACCTCATTTTTTCCAGTTTTAAGTCAAATAAACATTGTATTGACTATCAGTGTTGCATTTAGTCTTATAGCCAATTTACTACAGTTAAAACACTGGAAAGCATTGGTGGCACTAAACAAAAACAAATTGGTTTTTAATCTCACAACCTTCACCTTTCTGACATTCTGAGACCCAAACAAATTCAGCGCCTTCTGTGCTTTGATTTACTATTCAATACTGATGAAACATGGAACAAATGTTGACTGGACTATAGCATCTGTAAAAGCATGCTCAATCTTATATTTCATGTAACATTATCAACGATGGAACGTCTCTAAATTACCAAAAATCACTATTTTGCATTGGTTTTTTTTCTTCATCAAAACTGATTTCAAAGTGCTGCAACTTCTCAATGGATTGAGATAAATAAAAGGCTTTTCAGTGTTGATTACACGTTACCTTGCAATCGACTTGAGGCCATTTTTAGTATGTCACATGTCCAAAATTTTCTTGGCGATAAGGGGGACTGCCGCCCTTTAAACCCCAAACCACAGAAGGGGGCACATCCCCTTCATTTTGATTAGCATTTCCTGAGAATGCTATTGACACGTTTATTTGACAGGATGGAATTAAATGGCAACTGGATTAAACATAGTCATTATGAAAATGGGTATGTTTTTGTTGTCAAGTTGAAGCCAAGTTGACCTGAATTAGCAACATATTTAAAAAGAAAAGATATCACAATGGGGACGGACTGACCAATAAATGATTTTGACAAATGAATAGGATAAAAAAAATAAAATATCTTACCCGCATCACATTTTTTACCCGAATGTCCCGGTCGGCATTCACACTTGAAGTCGTCAGTTTTGTCAAAACACATTGCAGCATTATGGCAAATAATATCCGAACAGTTTTCTGGAATATTAAGATAAAGTTAAACTAGAAATGGGCCGCGTCACGACAATACCAACATAATGTGTTTGCGACCAGCATGGATCCAGACCAGCCTGCGCACCCGCGCAGTCTGATCAGGATCCATACTGTTCGCTTACAGACCCTATAACAAGTAAAGAAACTGAAAGCGAACAGCATGGATCCTGATCCATGCTGGTCGCAAACCCATTATGTTGGTTTTGTCGTGACGCGGCTCAAATATGGCCATAGGACACGAGTGCCCCATGACTCCACTGTTTCGTCAATCTTATGACTATATGTCAAATATTTTTGGACGGCACGTGTTACATGTTAAAAACTAAAAATCTTTTACTAAGTCAAGGGCAAGAACTTTTAAACACTGAATAAATCCAGAAGCGAACCTCATGGTGCATTAGTACACTGCTGTCTAACATTCTTGTAAACTTTCAGGCCTACAGGTCAAATACTTTTTGAGCGATGCATGAAGGCATGGACAATACCTCAAACAAAACTGAAAAAATTCACATGCAAAAGCCCAGGTGCACAGTGATGTTGATCATTATCCCTGTTAAGTTGGTTGATTCTAACTGTAGCACCCAAGGAACACATAACACAACATAATGGAACGGTTTTTACTAAGTCAAGGGCAATAACTCTACAAATACTGAATAAATCCACAATCAAACACCAGGTGCAAAACTACACATGCTGACCAAAATTCATTTCTATAAAGTTTCATGACTCTAGGTCAAATACTTTTTGACCTACGCACGACCCAACTTGAAAATTACAAATTTTTACTAATTCAAGGGCAATAACTTTAGAAATACTGGATAAATCTACATGCGAAACCCACTTAAGTGGGGGGCACACAATATTGATAATATCTGTCATATTATGTTACGTTTCGGATCGAATTATACCTCTCGAGGGTACTCCATTGGGCATTTATCTTCAATTTTAATTAAGTTCTAATTTATTTAGCTTTACCTAGGAATAACCACATCCTCCCAAAATATAATTGCTGTGTTTTCTGTTGAAAATTTGTTGTATATATCAGGTTCTTAAAATTTTTAGGAGTTACTTTTCGTGATTTTTGCTTACAGTCACAGAAAGAGATATAAACTTCAGCATACGCTGGGTATTAAAACAATACAGTCAGCATTCCGTTAACGGTATAGTCGTTACTAAGACATGCCTTGACATTTTGAAACATAAGTATGGAAAGACATCGACCATATATCAAGATGGAACATGCCTTTATAAAGCCAAAAAGCACACTATCACACTCACCTCAGAAACATTATCTATATAAATACAAGACATTAATGCTCAGGTGAGCTACTGGGTACAAAAAAGGGTTAACTGATATTCAAATTCAAATCTGTATATAGTCCGAATTTCATGGCTGTAGCTATACACGAGTATATACAAAAATGTAGGTCACTAGGTCAAAAACTAGCTAAATTGATATCAAAACTCTGAAGCTGTGGTTGTAGTTCATAATTCCATGCCGTAGCTCCCAGTACAAATAAATAGGTCAATGGGTAAAAGTATTGGCCAAAGTTCAATTCTGCCATTACGAATTTATTTTTGTAGTATACATTGTAGTTCTTTTTACAAAATAAGGTAACTGATTTAAAATCTAGGTAAACTAATGTCAAAGTTCAGGCCATTTCCAAATATCACCACGATCAGATTATCAGACCCATTTCCAATTGCACATATGCTTATTTTCTTTTCTCAAATTTCTTAAAATACGATTGTATACAATGTAGCTAAAACGCATAATTACCCGGGCTATCGGACAATATTTGAACAAACTTACCAAATTTCTATGTGCTTTTAAAGTAGAGGATGTTTTTATGTTATTTTCTTCTGTTGGCATGGCAACCTGAGTTCAGCATAGAATTGAATTCTATAAAGAATTTTGAAAATGCCAGAAATTACCCTACTAAGTTTTAACAGCAATGACCCAACGGTTAAGGAGAATATTTATTTAAATCTGAAGTTAACGACGTTGGGGTCCACAATCAACGTGTCATAAAACATGGATATTATTCTCTAGCGATTCAAAATCTTGACAAAAAAGATTTCCAAATATAAAATATACATATATGTTTTACTCGCTTCTTTTTAAAGACATACTTTGAGTGGAATGACTAAGTAAGAAATAAACACAGATCTAATGGTTTTTAAGTAAAAGAAGATTATTTTTACCTGCTCGGATAGTATTGACAAACAGCAGTAAAAGCATCGGTATACTCAACATTCTGAAAGTGCATACATTATTGGTACTACAGTAGTTATTAAATTTGATAATTAACTTTAAATTTGAATATCGTAGAAATTTCTGTTTATACCTACTTATTTAGATTTTTCGGAGAAGTGATATATTTCAAAGTCATATACCATGTATATCAGGTTTAAAAGTCATTAAATGGGTTTGCGACAAGCATGGATCCAGACCGGCCTGCGCATCCGCGTAGTCTGATAAAGGTTCCATGCTGTTCTATATCAGTTTCTCTACTTGTAATAGGGTTTGTAAGCGAACAGCATGGATCCTGATCAGACTGCGCGGATGCGCAGGCCGGTCTGGATCCATGCTTGTCGCAAACGCGCTATGTTGGTTTTGACATGACGCGGCTCATATTTCGTGATTTAGAAAGAGAAAACTTGGAGGTTTTTACATAGAAATAATGATCTATGAACATTTTAGATGTTTATTTTCCTAAATAAATAGCGCTGAATATGTAATTATTTGTCAAAAAAAGTAGCGAAATGTTGATTTTGACTTCCACACAAATAACTAAATCATTATAACTGTATAGATTGCCAAAATGCATCAGATGCGAATGACGGTTCATAACTTGCCGACGAGTAACATTTTGAAAACTGTAACAGAACACCAAACCTAATAAATAAATAAATAAATAAATAAATAAATAAATAAATAAATAAATAAATAAATAAATAAATAAATAAATAAATCAATCAATCAATCAATCAATCAATAAATAAATAAATAAATAAATAAATAAATAAATAAATAAATAAATAAAATAATAAAATGAATAAAAACCGAAATAAAAAGCCTTTGAGAAAAGAAAAATTAAAGCGTTTCTGGGGCATAAGGGGTCTTCAAACTTTTACATTGGGGAAATAAATGAGATGTGTGAAGTTGGCGGCCTGGCGGCCTGGCGGCGTGAAGTTGGCGGCCTGGCGGCCTAGCGGCGTGAAGTTGGCGGCCCAGCGGCCTGGCGGCCTAGCGGCGTGAAGTTGGCGGCCCAGCGGCCTGGCGGCCAAAAATTTTAATGTTCTAGAAATGTTTTTTTAACAATAAAACGGCATTTAATGAAGTTTTAAAGATAATTATTGTTATTTAAACGATATATCTAAAGAAAAAATCACTTTCAGAGATTTTTTTAATTTTGTCATTTTTGTGAAGTTGGCGGCCCAGCGGCCTGGCGGCCTAGCGGCCAAAAATTGTAATGTTGTAAAAATGTTTTTTTAACAATAAAACGGCATTTAATGAAGTTTTAAAGATAATTATTGTTATTTAAACGATATATCTAAAGAAAAAATCACTTTCAGAGATTTTTTTAAGTTTGTCATTTTTGTGAAGTTGGCGGCCCAGCGGCCTGGCGGCCTAGCAGCCAAAAATTTTAATGTTGTAAAAATGTTTTTTTAACAATAAAACGGCATTTAATGAAGTTTTAAAGATAATTATTGTTATTTAAACGATATATCTAAAGAAAAAATCACTTTCAGAGATTTTTTTAAGTTTGTCATTTTTGTGAAGTTGGCGGCCCAGCGGCCTGGCGGCCTAGCAGCCAAAAATTTTAATATTGTTAAAATGTTTTTTTTAACAATAAAACGGCATTTAATGAAGTTTTAAAGATAATTATTGTTATTTAAACGATATATCTAAAGAAAAAATCACTTTCAGAGATTTTTTTAAGTTTGTCATTTTTGTGAAGTTGGCGGCCCAGCGGCCTGGCGGCCTAGCAGCCAAAAATTTTAATGTTGTAAAAATGTTTTTTTAACAATAAAACGGCATTTAATGAAGTTTTAAAGATAATTATTGTTATTTAAACGATATATCTAAAGAAAAAATCACTTTCAGAGATTTTTTTAAGTTTGTCATTTTTGTGAAGTTGGCGGCCCAGCGGCCTGGCGGCCTAGCAGCCAAAAATTTTAATGTTGTAAAAATGTTTTTTTAACAATAAAACGGCATTTAATGAAGTTTTAAAGATAATTATTGTTATTTAAACGATATATCTAAAGAAAAAATCACTTTCAGAGATTTTTTTAAGTTTGTCATTTTTGTGAAGTTGGCGGCCCAGCGGCCTGGCGGCCTAGCAGCCAAAAATTTTAATGTTGTAAAAATGTTTTTTTTACAATAAAACGGCATTTAATGAAGTTTTAAAGATAATTATTGTTATTTAAACGATATATCTAAAGAAAAAATCACTTTCAGAGATTTTTTTAATTTTGTCATTTTTGTGAAGTTGGCGGCCCAGCGGCCTGGCGGCCTAGCAGCCAAAAATTTTAATGTTGTAAAAATGTTTTTTTTACAATAAAACGGCATTTAATGAAGTTTTAAAGATAATTATTGTTATTTAAACGATATATCTTAAGAAAAATCACTTTCAGAGAACTTTTTTATTTTGTCATTTTTGTGAAGTTGGCGGCCCAGCGGCCTGGCGGCCAAAAATTTTAATGTTGTAGAAATGATTTTTTAACAATAAAACACATACGCGTTATTTCATACTTGTTCGTGTTTTTGATAATATCGATCAGCCGAACAGGACATAAGAATGGCAGACTGGATCGCAGGCTAATATATGGTGTACAATTTCTGTAACAAATTTGAATTGTCCTTTATGAAGTTTTAAAACATTTTTTCTGGTCCCATCCAATTTATTATCCCCGTTCAATCCATGAGTATAAGTCATCCTTTACTGACTTTACAAAATAACTTTTGCTTACACATTTATTAACAATAACTCATGATTACAGATGGGGCTATGGTCATACACTAAATGATTACCTCCTTGTTATTGGATGAAACTGAAAAGTTGAATGGTTGGGATTCTGATTGCTAGCACAAGTTATTCGGGTAAAAAATGTATTGAATGTTTCCATGTTGTCATTTTAACGCTATTTTTTGTTAGTTCAAAACGTTAACTTGTAATTTTTAAACATTGATTTGTTTTAACATTTGTATATGTTGTATGTTGCTTGTAAAAGTATGTAGTTGTTTACATTATTATCCTGAATCACATGTTTGTCAATATAACGTTTTGCTATTGCTGTACTTTAACACTTCATTCTTATGGTGTTGTATATACGGATATTCCCAGAATAAATATACAGTACCTTTGCTTTGTAAGGTTTTGCTCCCATTTTCCATCTGCATCGCATAATTGTTATACCTCAACATCGCATAAATTATGGTAAAAAAATACATTTTGTTACAATGGTGCCAATATTTGGAATAGAAACTTATTTTATAACGGTCATATTATTCTTTAAAATCTTTTGAAAATAAAAATAAAAACATAACTTGTACACGAAATAAATATCTTTATAACCATATCATTATGTTATAATACTAAATTATGCATGTATATAATAAATAAAGTATTGTTATGGCGAGTGGTTAGCGCGTCGAAATAGTCAACTATGTATCGCTCACCGTGTGGGCACAAACCAAGACAGGGGCAAGCCGTTATTTCTTGAGCAAGAAACTAAACACTAAATGAACAAAGGCTACCAGGTCACGAAACAACGGAACTAAAATGGCGAGAGGTCGAAAGTACGATGACGATGATACGATATTATGCCGAGTTTTCAACATCGTGGTTTCATTTGTTTTTGTTGTTTTTTTTTCTATTTTTTTCTTCTTTATTTTTTCGACTTTTAACCATCATAAATATGTTTTAACGCTGTTTCGCGTTATATGTGTGTCGTGATGGCTGTAATGGGACATCGTGGAGATCCCTCAAGAGCAATATTCCAAAGCAAATATATATAGTTGACACTTGCAGTCTCTATTTTCTTTGGAGTCTATTATTGAGAGATAATAAATTATATTATACCTCATTTGCATACGGTCTTCTATATTCAATATGACGTCATCCGGTCCAAAAACCGCATACAGACCGGGGGCGGTCCATAATTCTTACAAGTAAAATGGTTTCCTGCGGGGAACATTTTAAATGATATAAGATATTTCATTTAACTATTTTCAACATTGTTTGGGGGACAACATATAGTCGATCAATATAGAAGAAGGTCATTGGAAACTGGTGACCGTTGATGACCGGAGAAGGTCGAACATAAATTAAAACAATTATTTCTTTTTAAGAAAATGATTCAATAGGCCTACCATTTTATGAATAATTCCGAACAAAAAAATAAGTAAACACACAAGTTTACGCAGAAAATATCCCTATTTATTATGGCATATGCCACTACGATCGAATATTTCAATTAGTATGTATCTCAAATTTTACAGACAATAAATTGTTTATATTAAAGAAACATTGATAATTTTCAAACACATCATTCAAGTTTTTCAACCTTAAACGGTAAAATATTTAAACAAAAATTACAAATATCACGTAACAGTTATTTTGTTCTAATTAGATGTAATTCTGCCTAATTCCCCAGAGGTAAATCCGTCACGAACCGGCAAACGGTATTCAGCCAGGTTTTCGAAAGTTCAATTAACCAATCATGTAAGGTTTACATATCCCGTGCTCCTCCATGTACCGAAAACAGGTCACGTGCTCCTCCATGCCTCAAAAGTTAAACGCGTATCAATACCCTGCGGTCTCCAGACCGCAGGTTAAACGTAGCTTTCACGACGTGCGAATTTCACGACGACACAAACAGACGATAACTGTCAAAATGGATAGGCGATTTGTCTCTTTATCAGAGACATAAATGTACTACATGTTGATCAAAAGTCATGATTTTTTTTTAATTTAGTTATAAATTTTATTTATACTGTTTGTGAAATTCTTAAAGTCCGGGTTATTTTGCCTAGTAACATTAAATTAATATTGAATTTCATTAACAAAAATGGAATCACAACTCCTAAATCATCGGTAATCGGAATATTAAAAGAAGAGCATACACAAAATCCGTTTAGGGTTTGAGATATTTCACACACTGAACAAGTAAAATTATTATTTGAAAGCAAATAATAGTAAAAATGACAGCACAAAACAAGGGGATGAAAGGATTTAGATTCGG